CTCTCCCTCTACGGCTGTGCCGGCTTGCACTTCTTTTTTTTCGGCTCTTTTTTTTTAATATATGTACATCTCATCTTTTTTTATTTTTGTATGTTAAACTTTTCCCGATACTTTGGTTAATACCTACTCTACTTCAAAAAGGTATAAGCTCACTCCCTCCCTCCCCCCCAAGAACCCAATTCCCTTTTATCAGTTTTCTTGAGGGTATTACCTGTCATACCATCTCCCATTCGCACCTTCCTCAAGTGTTACCTCCCCTTTTTATGGTTCCTATGGCAAGGTATCTTCGCCTCTTTTGCCACTCCAAGCTCGCCACCAATTTAATGAAAGCGTTACTGACGGCACAGCTACTTCACTTCATTGTGAATTGAACCTTTCTTATCTACTCCCCTTCTTGTGTTGAGACACACAAGTCGGCCGGATGCCATACACTGCGCCGGTGAAGACGTTGCTCGCCGCGCAGCATATTGAATACTCAAAACCAACCGAGCCCGGCGAGCGGCCCGGTTTGGTTCGATCTTCCTCGGGACGGGTTCAGACTTCCCGTTCATATTCCTCCACCTCATACACCCGTCGTCATCGGAGGAGTCCTTCGAACAAACCGACAGTGCATTCCGCTCCAGAATCCCCAGCTCGGGCCTCCCCCTCAATCGATCCACATGCTAGTCTCCGCCAGTCTCCACCACCTATAAGCAATGCTATCATCCCTCCCGGGGCGGTAATCTCCCCTCCTGAGTCTGCACTGAACTCCAGTGATGAAGAATCACCATACTGGAATGGTGAGGGTGTGAAGTTTGATGAGCTGGAGGCTGCCGTTCGATCGATTAAATTGAGGAGGGAGAGTTCCCCGGAAAGAATGGGTCAATCAGATTCAGAAACCTCGGCTGGGTCCTTGACTGCGGAATCGACTGAGGCAAAGCCCACTCGACCCAAGCTCCCCCACCTACCATTGTCCAAAGAAGCTCGCAAGATCACTCACTCTCGATCATCCACTGAAACTGCCATCGAGTTGGCTCGGGAGCAGGCACTGACTAGCTCGCCCGAAGAAAGTGATGTGGAAATGTCATGCAAGCCTGCAATGGTCCGTAAGAAGTCAGGTGAGCTCGTTCGACCTGCTCTTCGTCCTTCTTCGGCACGGCGACGACCATCTAGTATGCCTGGAACCCCCGTCTATTCCAAGGCGGTGCACTTCGACTCCCACTTGGAGCATATTCGTCACTTCCTCCAGCTGGACCGGCCATTGGCTGTCAGCACTGAAACATCACCCGTCGATACCCACGACAGCAAGGCTGAGTTTCCCTTTGGATCTGGTGCTGAATCCCGGGGTCCGTTGTGGGAATGGGAGATTAAGCTTGCCAATTGGCCCAAGGATACCTCGTCACGCGCCACTCGTCCGGTCCGCCTTGAGCGGTTGTTTTTGTCGGCTGATAAGAGCACTTTGATTGGCACTGTGGCAGTAGCCAATATTGCTTTCCACAAGAATGTGACAGCTCGTTTCACACTGGATTATTGGAGGACTACCTCGGAGGTAGCAGCATCATACTGCCATGATGTTCGTCGCCAGCAAGCTGCAGATGGGTTCGATCGCTTTTCGTTTGACCTCAAACTGAATGATCAGGCCAATCTGGAGACCAAGACCATGTTCATGTGCATTCGCTATAACGTGCAAGGACAAGAGTATTGGGATAACAATGATACTGTGAACTATCAGATTGATTTCCACCAAGTGCCCAAGACCACCACGAGCAAGCCTCCGAGTGGCGGATCTCGCCCTGCTCTTCCACGCAGTCGATCATTCACCAGTTCTCATACCATGCGGCCGCACTCTATGCCGCCGAACTACGACTTCCCCGACCTCGGCGACAAGAAGCCATTTACAAACCCTTTCAATGGTGCGAATGATGCGCCCTTGGCTCGCACGCCCTCGGATGAGATTGATACAGTCGAGCCGCCTAAACGCCGTGAAAATCCCAAGGCATTTGGGAACCGATACGACTTCGGAGCGTCCCTGTCGGCTGCTATGCGGTCCAAAGCGCCTCTGGATCGGACTGCTATGACCGCCCGTGCGAAATCTGGGGAGACCGTAGTGTCAGATACCTCCAAGCCGACCAACAAAACCCCCAATTTTGAGCAGGATTCTGCTTCTGCAGTGAGCCATACTCTCCGCACCGGAGCTCGTGTGGAAGATCTGAAACCTTCATCTTTGGTATCTAGCAAGCCACAGCTCGAGTCTTCCGTGTACCGAGAGTTGGTTGATAAGTACTGCTTTGTAAGTTCCTCGACAGGAAATCTCACCTAGACAGTTAATTAACTTCTCATAGTATGGGTCTCCGCAAGGATCGAACCTGAAGGCACAACCATCGATCTCCAGCGGTCATGAGGGCGAAGCCCCAAGGCACATCTCTGCCCCAGCCTGTCCTTCGCCGCCTCTGTCTCCCCGCTCTCCTGCGCCTCTCAGTGCTCCTGTGGCTGTTAATCCACGCGCCTCTCCGCGACCCTCGGCTTCACCCATGTCTTTTCGCTATTCTTTTAACCGCGGTTTCATGACTGACCCTCACTCTCCAACCGTCATTAGAGGGTGAGTAACATAGACTGTTCTATGACAGCGTCCAACCTGGCTATCATCCTTCCGGTCGGCCTTCGAATAATATCGTTGACGGCTTTCGTGAAGGGGGTTCGAACTGGACAGACCCGTCAGCCCAATTTCCGTCTTTCTGAACCTGCCATCTATCAGAGCACTCTGATGGGTGGATTTTTTCTTTTTTAACCACCTCACCACACTACCTGCTATATCCCCTGTGGTTTTGATCAGCAGCACATGTGAGCGATTGTACAATCCTCTGCGATGCATAATAAACCGCGGAAGTTTCGTTGAATCATTCGCTGTGCGGCTCGCTACCACTAGTTGTCGGCCCAATTTATCGACGCGGCCATCCCGGTTTTCGTCTGGTGCGGCCATTCTCACTTTATTTCTGCGTGTCGCTTCGGCCACGCATGATGACGCTACGATTTCCTTTCTGAGGCATTTTTCGATTCTTTGCTGTTCTTTGCTGGATGGCCCTCCCTTTTCAACGCAAAAAGTTTTTAGTATGCAGCCTCCGCTCGTGATCTTGACGCATTCCACTTTATGGGGGTTTTTTTATTGCATGGTGTTCTGGCGTTTTCTGTTTTTATTTCGTCTGTTATTCCGGTTTCAAGTCTACGGATACGACCTACCTTTATGGTTGGACGTGGGAATGGGATATGAAGACGTGGGCATGCGAAAGTGATCCATGACTGCCTACAATATAGGCAACGCGACGTAGTTTTGAAATGACATGAGCCATGATGAACGCGACCGAATCGATCTTTCTCATTCGTAGATGATTAAGACAGCATTGAAGCAGAAATCATTCTCCCACTAGTCAACAAAAACGCTAGTCACGCGTTGACAATCCAAGGAGTATGTAGATAATATGGAGTTCACATTCATTCGAGTGGAGTCCTGGTATATAGTTCCCGATTAGGCTAGCTCCATTTCTTATCTTATCACCACGTGACCAGTATCAATGTCGTTCGACGCTGGAAAATGCGGGCGCGGCAATGCCTGGTAGATGCGCTGGAAACCGACCCTTCATAACGCCCTTTTTCTTTTCCCCCCGCCCACCAATCACCGCCTCATTGCAGAATGATGGGTAAATCTCGCTCGCTTACCTAAAATACTCATTTCCCGGATCACGCGTAATCGCCCTTATTTAAACTGCCTTCCCCCTCCATTTAGTCATTTTCTTATTTTCCCCTCTCTTAACCTCAACGCCAACCCATCAAGCGCGTGTTTTTCATCGTTTATCGTCAACACAGACGTCGATCCATCTACATTTCTAATACTTTCAATTCTTCATATCTGAAACTATGTCTGGACGTAAGTATTACTGTCTTTTCATGTCTTATTGCCATTACCCCTATTTCTTTGTTGTCGGCGTGGCAAGGTGAAGTCCAAAATAAGGAACTGATGATGTTCCTGTCGACACGTGATTCAAGCCTCAGGCATCAACTGCATCCCACCTTTCCTAATTAGGAAAAGCTATTGACCTTTGCGCATCTTAACACAACCTCCAACCACCTCACCTCCCTATACCCCCCTACCTCTCATCCTATTTTATTTTCTACTTCCCATATACCCACTGAACCCTACTACCCTCATAAAATTCTTTAAACAAAAACTAACAATTCCAAACAGGCGGCAAAGGCGGAAAGGGTCTCGGCAAAGGCGGCGCCAAGCGCCACCGCAAGATCTTGCGTGACAACATCCAGGGAATCACCAAGCCTGCTATCCGTCGTCTCGCCCGTCGTGGTGGTGTCAAGCGTATCTCCGCCATGATCTACGAGGAGACCCGCGGTGTGCTCAAGTCCTTCCTTGAGTCTGTCATCCGTGACGCCGTCACATACACTGAGCACGCTAAGCGTAAGACCGTCACTTCTCTCGACGTCGTCTACGCCCTCAAGCGCCAGGGCCGTACTCTCTACGGTTTCGGTGGTTAAATTTGTCTTACGACATGAATGGCCTTGAGCGATCTTGCTACTCACTCACTGTACGTGACGTGATGTGAAGGCTTTATTTAATGCGCTACGGTGTGATGGGTCTGGATTTTTTTTTCGTGCGTTAACGGTTATGGGGTTTATGGGATTTTTTGGGACTATTTCTTCGTCCGAGATTGGGATTGTCTTTTGGGTAATGGACTAAGAGTGTCCGTATCTAGTTGCTGATAAGCTCTCGAGTTGACTCTATAGAGTTCAATACAACGTCTGCTATCGCTCATGTGTCCTTCAGTGTAGTTGGTTGTAACAAATAATTGAGAGTAGTTTGACTAGACTGGCTATGCTGGGGGTGTCATCGTAAAGCGGAGAGTCACGGGCGGAGAGAGTCCCCCCAAACTTTAAATTATTCTTTCAAAACATAGCTTGCAGCTTCCACTCACCTCTTATACGGACTGTCCATTAGCATTCCAGCCATTGCAAAAATGGCTTCATCTTCATTAAAGGCTGGAAGGTTTTTCTTACCCCCAGAGACTGCCCGTCATGCAGCGACCATTCTCGGATTCCCATCCCAAGTCTCTATCGCCTCGAGGTACTACGAAAGCGCATGTGTCGACATAGCTAATCTGACCTCTGTCATTTCGGTCCATGAACCAGTTCGACTATACACGCGCCCGGAAGATATCCACAAAGCAAAGTCAATGGTCAGCCAAGCTATCACCAAATACCCAAGTAACATCTCCAACATCGTTGTTATTCCGTTCCCGACAAATCATCTCTGGGTGCGCGACACAGGCCCTGTCTATGTACGTGGCGTTGGCGAATCCATCAAGCAACGTTTCGCAATCAACTTCCGTTTCAGTGAATGGGGGAGAAAAAATGATATTGCCCACCACGAACGGGCTTCCAATGGGCCTGATGATTGGCCTGTGATGACACCTGAAAATATCGAAGAAAACACAAGTTTTGCCCGCAAGGTTGTCTTGGCGGATGCCTCCCCGTCTCTGGTGACTCTAGTGGAATCAAAGCTTTGTTTGGAAGGTGGTGCACTAGTTGTGGATGGGGAAGGTACACTTCTGGCCACTGAGAGCAGCATCATCAACGAAAATCGCAACCCGGGTCTTTCGAAGACCGAAGTTGAGACAGAGCTACGACGTCTCTTGGGCGTTGAGAAAATTATCTGGTTCCCCGGCAGAAAGAATTTGGATGTCACTGATGTGCATGCTGATGCTGAAGTCAACTTTATCCGGCCCGGAGTTGTCGTCCTCTCGCGACCCCATTCTAGTGTGCCAAGGCCATGGTTAGATGTTTATGAAGAGATCAAAGATATTCTGGGACAGTCAGTCGATGCGAAGGGTCGTCCTTTTGAGGTACACACAGTAGACGAGCCAGACCCGAAGGTCTTTGGGGTCTTGTCTTGCAGTGACCCGGCGACCAACTATGTGAATTTTTATTTCGTCAACGGGGGGCTTATACTTCCACAGTTCGGCGACATTCGGCGAGATCAGGAAGCACTGGTACTGTTTCAAAAGCTGTGCCCTGATCGCGTGGTTCGGCCTGTGTTAATGTCTGCACTTCCGTTGACTGGGGGGGTTATCCACTGCGCAACACAACCAGTTCTTTCTGTGGATGAGTGAATAGGTACTTGAATACTAAATAAATATCAAATTAACACCCTTGAAGATTAAATGAGATCTGATTTGAGAACCTAAAAAGGAAGTCCATGTGTCGATCTGCCCTCGGCTATGGGGAAATCCTGGGGAGAGCGGGGAAATCGGCCGATCTGACTTAAAGTCATAACAACTCTGACCAAACACGCTACCACAGAGCTACTCGGTAGTCTATTACTATTTCCACACGCGTATTTGTGCTAGAATGATGTCGCCAAAGTCCTGCGGCCACTACCATCTGAGTAAGGAGAAATATGCTGCAGCTGCAGGTGCAGGTGCTAGTCCGGCTAGTCCGGCATGCCTCAGATGTAGTGGTCTGAAGATTAGCTCCACCCGTCGCGTCAAGCGGATGGGACACCGCTCTCCTATCTCTCCTGTCTCTCCTGTCAACAACTTCGCACATGCGGATTTGCGACCTTCCAGTATCATGTTGCATCGCGCCAAGTCCAAAGAAATCGAGAGCGATGCCTCGTCTTCTTCATCTAGTCAGCGCTCATCTTCAAGCTCACCTCCCAGAGCTGACGAAGCTTGGACACCAGAAACCGATGTCGTGACGGTATCACCAGAGAAGTTACTCGCCGCCCCGAGCAACTTTGAAACGACATCAGATGCGCTGCGCACCGTTATGGACGTGGAACAATTCTCAATCATACATTTACCATTCATGTTAGGAGATAGCTTTATTCCGACATCCCAGAAGACTGTTTACGTTATTTTGCAACTATCCGCCCCCATCCTGATCGATGGATACCTGGCATTCCTAGGAGTGATGTCAAATTACCAAAAGTCCCTCGTTGTACGGCGGGACGAACCAGATATGAATAAGGCAGCGAAGGGATTGCAACGTCTGAGAAGTGTGAAAATCTCACATGACTACGACGCAGCTTGTGTTCTCTTCCTGGGCCAGACTATGTACGTGTTCAATGTACTCACGGCACCGTACTCCCGTACCGCCCACTCTATCGTCCGGAGCTCCCTCATCTCAGCCAAACCATGGCTTCCCAGATTGGTGCAAGCCCCTATCATGGACACAATAACCATGTCTCCGATCTTGATCGACACAGTCGAGTGTTTAGTACACCGTGAGATCCCTATAATACGACTCGACCCTCAACGTCGTGTCATCGTCGACCGCTATCTTGGTCTTTGTGCAACACTTCTACCTCATTTTTACGACATCTGCGAGTGTAGCAATACATTGAAGATAACCGCTCCTGATCCCGGATCCGAATCATACTCAGCTATTCATGACCAACTGGATGTAATAGAGGAGACGATTCGACGATGGCGTCCCCACACCCCTACCGGGCTGTTCGACAGCTACGGGAAGAATGCGGTTTTAGCAATGGTGACACAAGCGAATGTCTATCGTCTGGCAGGTTTACTAGTCATCCATCGCCTAAGATATCCGCTAGGAGTCGAAGACGAGGCAGCAGGGAAACTTGCGAATGGAATATTTTCTGAATTGTCATTCTTTGCCAAATCAGCGGTCAATATAAAGGAATCTAGTGCGTTACCTGTGGTGTTTCCTTTGACGATGGCTATGATTGAGATCGATGGGCCCGGAGAAGTGTTGATAGAACGCTTGGCCACCTCATTTACAGTCCAAAGTGCTAGTTCATGGCGGCTTCAGGAGTTTGTGAGGGTGGCTAGGGCATCAAAGGAATCTGGATATCAGGAGATTTGGTTTGAATTAGTTGATGCACATCTTCGTGTGGCAGTGCCACCATAGTCCTGAGCTGGTCTCAACAGCAATCTTTTTATGTATATTATTGTTTCAGTCATGTTTCTGCAGCAAGCTTAGGTATGAAGGCGGGGTAATAGGTAGCACTTCTCAATGAAACCAGAGTCTATCAGCCTTACCTATCTTGCTACGAGTTCATACTTTCCCTATATCTTTCTACAAGAGTGCGACATAGTCTGTAATTGACTGGCTCGTTTCACCAATTGGCCACGAACGGTTCCACTGGGTTCATGCACAGCCTAGCACTATGACCGCTGAACAAAGCCGTGCTCGCGTTTGCATCGTTGGAAACGGACAGGTCCTTGCGTGATTTTGTTTGGGATATTTAGCAGTGAAATGACTTTTTCCTAAAACACATACATTGCCACTATCCTCCGGGAATTGGATTATTTGAGCCTTGATACTAGAAAAAGATCGAATCGTGCAAGTGGTCACGCCAATTTCCAAATGTTCTATACCTAGCTCGTTCATTGCCGCAAGTGATACATCGTTTGGTTGCTAAAAAATGATAAACAAAATTTCACACCACAAACACCGCCTGACCATCTCCTGTCTGTATGTATAGTGCATAGTACTCATTAATCCAACTATCTCCAACCATGAAAATGCCCCCAAGTCAAATCCCTAACCTATACCTCCAAATCTCTCCATATTGAGGCCAGGCTAATCCTGTCGCAGATCGACAACTGTTCAATCAAACTGGAGCAATGAAACTTTCAACGATGTAGCCTCAGTTGCGCATTCATTGATCAGACACTTCAGGGAGAGAAGCACGATATGATTGAGCGGGCGCAACTCCTCTCAAAACCTCCCACTCATGCTCCAGCATAGACATAGTGACAATATCATGCCAAGCACGACAATGGTATACGGCCTCACGTTCACGACCTTCATCCACAAATCCAAGCTTTCTGTAAAGCCTCAATGCATTCTCGTTGTATGAGAATCCACCTATGACGATTCTATGCAGTGCAGCATGTTGGAATCCCCAGTCCAGTGCCCAGTTAATAGCTTCTCCGCCATATCCTTTCCCCCGATACCCGTCAATAAGAGAGATGCCTATCATTGCATTGCGATGATGGTCGTAGCCCATTCCAGTGTGGCTGAAAAGACTGATGTGGCCAATTGGGATTGGCTTGGCTTTTTTAACAGGTTGACTCGAGGTTTGAGCCTCTGAAGATTCCGTCCCTGTTTCGGGAGAAGTTTGAGGAGGAAGACATATGAGCACTCCTAGAAGGGATTCTTGGATAGTTTTGATGAATTCCTCTGCGGACTTTTTGGAAGCTGGGCGTGGGAGACGTCCAGTGCTCTGTGTTTGGATTATCTCATCGTTGATAATGTAATCCTGGAGAAATGCAATGTCCTCTTCGGAGTTCTCTGGGGCTCGGTAGACGAGTCGGCTAGACTTGGAAAGCTGTCCTAGGGGTGTTGGCGCCATGTTGGAAAACTAGAAATTGTTGGAATGTAAGCCTTGGTAGTTCTGGGAATTATCGATTGCTCTTTATAGCAAAAAAAAATAAGCCTAAGTGGGGTAAGATAAGTAGCTAGTCCCCGTAGAGTAATCTCGGGGTCCTGATTAGGTGGGCTAACAACGGAGTACTCCCGAGCCCCGAGCTCCGGACTTCGTATAGAAATTATATATAGATAGGTGGTATTTGACTCATAGCTTTCCCGGGCCCTTTTCTGCTCAGTAACCCAACCTAAGTCTTAAGAAGTGGTGTCTTATGAGGTGGTGCTAGAACTAGGCGATCATCCTAGATGGTAGTATGTTATTGACGAGTCAAGTGGCCGAGAAGACTAAGAGTCGATGCCGTCAATAACAAAATCACTGCAAGGAATGCGATTCTGTTATGTACTTCAGCCGCAAAACACGAGATCATCGTACAAGAATGCCTAAATAAACCCCAAAAGCACTATAATTTTAGCCCCCAAATCAATCCCGCGACCCATGATCCTTTGTCCAGAACCAATGATAAAGACTCTTCCACTCAGCCGCTTCATCCTCAACATAATCACCGACCAGCTCAGCTGTCTCATTAATCTCATCAGAAACCGATGAAACAGCACCCTTCAGACCTGAAGAAGCATCAATGCCACGGTTCGCACTTCTAGCAGCATCGGCGGCAACACCGCCAGAATTAGCACTCAGCAGCTCCTCGGCACTCTCCTTGGTTCTCTCTGCTAGGTCACGAGCCCCTTCCCGCGCGATCTCTGTATACTCCTCGGCCTGTTCACGGGCACGCTGAATAAGTTCGTCGGGCGTAGGATAGCGACGTCTCAGAATTAGAAGGAGATAGTAGCTCTTGACTATAAAAGCGTATACGGCGTCTTTTGCGAGCATTGTAAAGCCGTGTGAAAAGAAACCTTTTAGCATTTCACCCTGTAGACCAGCGTAGAGCCCTGGTATACCATCAGTGCGGGCGATGGTAGCAACTGTGCGAAGTATTTCGGGTGTGAGAGAGGCGAGGATAGAAGTCTGAGTCTTCTGCGCAGCTCCAGACTTAGATTTCGAGTCCGAGCTCATTACCTGAGCTCTGGTTTTCGCGAGGGAGAAGGGGTATGTGATTGATGAAGCGGCAACTTTGCTTAGGGCCGCCACCAGGAATGTCAAAGCCGGAGGGGGCTTGTCGCGCTTTGATCGTGGGAGGAGGGTCCGTTTGAGGAACTCATTGAGGAAAAACGTGAGAGATGGGTTCAAGGTAAGAATCAGGGTGGCCGAGTATCCAGACCAAAAGCCCAGTATACCCTTCTCGGCGCGAATGCGTGCTGCGATATTACTCGTTGACAAGTTCTTCGTATTTTCACCTTTTCGTCCCGCAGATGTCTGCTTGCGCGCGACAATATTCGAAAGTGGTGTGGTGAATAGCTTGGCAAACGAGCCAGCCAAGATACCAACGACAAGTTCGTCCATTATCGGGAGGACTATATTTTTGCTCTTGGCAGCTCGCTCTGCGCCTACATGCGCGACTATCCTTTTCTGACGGATGGCACTATATGCAAGGAAGAAAAGGAACGAATCCGCGATGGTCTTCCAAGTATCCTGTGCCAGACCAGGGTAAAAGCCGGCGATGCCTTGCTGTGCATATATCTTGCGGGCAGCATCCACCACGCTGTTATATTCTTCGTCGGCATTCTCATCATCGTCTGATTTCTCGCTCGAGTTGCTGCCTTTCTGCTTCTGGGTCTGTAGACGGGCGACGATGACACTGAGGGGATAGACGACCACATTGGAGATGGCTGCGCCAACTGCACCGGCAGTTGCATTCCCTAGGGCCGGGAGAGCTGGTCCACGGAGAGCGGCAGATTTCCAGTCGCGCGGGTCATGGGCCTCGTAGCGGTAGGAGGGATGGTAAACGTCCTTGGATACGGCATGTTAGTATAGTCTGATGGAGGTGTAGGGAAGTAGATGCGGATGTATGAGGAAATAGGGAAGCTAGCTAGTTTTACAGCACACACCAGCTGGGACTCGTATGATAGCTTGTATTCAGCCATGGCTCTGCTCGGGCTAGTTCGAAATCTGGTGCTTGAGGATAATTGATGGTTATTATTCTGCGGATTGGGCCCCTCAACCTCTGATATCCGTTTCAATCAGGATTCGAGGCATGGGTAATTTATTTCCAAGATTATTTGAAATGATAATATTTACAGAAAGTGGGAAGTTTCTCAATTAACTACGAACGTGATCTCTTGGGTTAAAAGCCGAGGTCCACTGCGGAGGGATTACGTCATGTCGATCATATGTCTCAGGCCACAAGGCAGTAATTTCTTGCTTACTCATTACATACAAATGGCATTGCTTCATCTCTCATCCCAATATTCACTTATCCCTGGGATCAATCACAGATTCCTCCCCCTTTCCCCCCACCACCATCCCCCACCCCCAACTCTGATTCAAATAATCAATGGAGATCGTGATTCATCGCACCTCGCCGAGTGAATGGATGTGCCCACTGAATCTTGCCGTCAAACCCCCAGTCGATCTTCTTATTTGGGCAAGATACTCGTGACTCCCCGGTGATCCAAGATCTGACATAATCGGTAGAGTTGTCAATTGTTGTCAATTTCACTCCAGCTTGGTTTGCGGCTTTGGAGAGTGTCTCAAATAAGTGCTCGCCGTGATCCTCGAAGGGGGCCTCAATGATAATCTCCTTGAGGTGTTGAAATTGGTGAGCCTCTGATAGAATGGGCACCACTCTGCCGTAGAGACTTTGGGATAGCTTCTCACACAAGAGGATAAACTCAAGCCCATCATTAATTTGGACGATGTGCAGCTGCTCAAGTGACTTGGGAAGCAGCTCGTGCAAAGGTCTTCCACTGTTCAGTATTCCATCCTGGTCATATAGCCTCCAGAAGCGACCTTCAAAATATTCCATCTTCGATTCAGTCTGGACAAGATAGCCGGCTGATATTCGCAGTTTCTTCAAATGACGAAGACCCGCTAGGTCGAGAGGTTGAAGATACAACTCCTCGTATACCTTCCGGGCACATCGATTAATCGACAGTTCAAGACAGGTTAGGGTCTGAGATGTGTATTGAAGCGCGTGGCTCAGTTCCGCAGATTTCAGGACCCACCCCTTCTTATTCGTCCAGCCGCGTTCGTAGATGAATGTTTCCAACTTGTTGGCTGATTTGAGGAGTCTTCGGAGATTTGGGCCATTAAAGGTACAGTCACGAAGTTCAAGGTGAACGAGGCGTTGGCAATCGCGATATGCAGGTCTCACCCATAGCGGCAGGTTGGTCCATTTGGTGCCGAATACATGAGTCAAGGTGGGAATTTGAAGAAAAACCATAAGCCAGTCAATGTCAGCCGAGGGAAAGGTTCCATCGATCTCAACTTTCAGGTGAGTGAGCTTAGATAGCATAAGGGTTTGTGCACCAGCTACGACGCTGGTGCCCCCCGGACGCATGCCAGCCATACTCACCAAGACACGTTCAGTCAGGCTCCAGGCTGTGGTTGTAGGATCACGGGGTGGGTCATCACTCTCCATTGGCATCTCAAGGCGCTCTAGGGCAGGCAGATATCCCAAAAGAACGGCCACTAACGCGTCTGACCGTGGTGGATTGGGCTCAATGGCCTGCCCCAGTGACTCCCCCATTATCTTCCCCAATGGTATCTTCGTGGCTGCATCCACAATCATTTGATGATCTTCTGGGCAGAGGGGCTCGATAGTGAGCTGTTTTCTCTTTGGGTGAGATGCACTCAGCTGCCTGTGCGCGATGCAAAGGTCGTGTAGGTCAGTCAAATCGAGGGATTTGACAAGTATAGCAAGGTGAGGTTTGCGGAGCATCGTAAGAAGAAAGCGTTCTAGCTGTATTCGGCTTAAGCAAGTGCAATTAATTCATGGAAGAGGGGCATCATACGGAACGACGATCGGCGGGCCATGCCAAACCAGGCCAAATCCGGTAATGAGTAGGAGCCCCCAAAGATACATTAGCATACAACGTAGGCATTGCCATGTCATATAGCTCCCTGTTACAGGCAGCAAGACGACTCAGGGTCAAGGTGTCACGATCAAGGAACTCAATGATAAGAAGCTTGATTTCCGCAGGGAGATCCTGGAACCCCTTCTCTGGGACATGAGGGGTCGGATAACAGAGAGGGAGAAGGGCGATGGGAAAACAGAATGCCATGTTTGTTAGGTCCTGTATGCGATGGAAGAAGGGAGGAATGCTAGATTGGATGATGGAAAAGGTGACTGTGTGTGGGTGAGTGATGGAAAGTAGAATTAAATTGAGTAGAAATGAAGTGCGGAATCTGTTTCATAGACGGGTCATTTGGTCACCATGCCGATTGCTTACCTCGTCAAAGTCCCGCGTAGCTGCCTACAGAGATTGACGGCACTCATCGCACTATTACATGTAAAATATAAGGACCAGTGAAAATAGCCAGAAACAATCGTCTTTGCACCGTAACTTCCAGTGGCCTTAATCTGATATGAAGCGAAGATTCAGATAAATAGCGTAAAAGAAAAAGTTATTGAGTCGTACCTAGTAAGATAGAGGTATATCATGCATCGTGGAACAGGAGCGTGCAACTGTTCTCGCTCAATCATTCAAGTTATACACAGTCAGATCTTGGCTCATCCCAGGAAGCACATAAACAGCACTTTCTTTCCCTCCAAAAACCTTCAATTTCTTTACTCCTCGAGATTCGAACCCGATCTTCTCCAAAACCCTCGCGCTGTGGGAGTCATCCTTAGCACAGAACCCAAATGCCGAATCGACTCCAAGTTCTCTCCGCGCATATTTCAGCAATGTGACCCCCGCTTCGGTGGCATATCCCTTTCCAGTTTCCTCAGGTAGAATCGCATACCCTAGATCTGGTGCCAAATAAGAATTTGGTGGTTCACCTTTCATCAGCGACACGGTGCCGATGGGGGTGCTTTCAGACAAAGATGCACTCTCATGCGGCTTGAGCGAGACCACAAAGATGCCGTACTTATTTCGGGTATAGTCAGCGTGGACGCGGTTGCGAAGGAAATTGGCGGCCTTCTCTGGCGTATCAATGCCAGTGCGGCCGCAGGCTTTGATAAAATCTTCGGTGTTCCATAGTTTGACGAGGAAGGCACAGTGTGCAGGGGAGTCGGGTAAGAAGTAGGATATATGGAGGCGTTCACTAGGAATCGAAAATGTAGGAGATGCTGTGAATAGAGAAGCCATTTTTGTTTGATTCATATGACAGTTTAGTAGCCAGGGTACAATGAATCATCTGTAAAAGTAAGTAAGTGGTGAATTTAGAACATCCAGAGCCAAGTGGTATAATCAAGAGTGGGCAATTAACGAGCGTACTTAGATAAGCCTTAGACCAACCTTAAATTTTCCGCTAGTGAATTGTAATATAATGGAAATTTCGAAATATCGTTATCCGGCCCAGAGTCGGAAGCCCGACTGCTGAAGGCGTTTCTTGTTTCTGGCTGTTTTAAAATACAGCGATCTTCAAACCGTAAGCCAATCCCTGTCGATCATCTAGATAGCGGTTCGGCCCGGGCAATTATTACCGGTTTGGTCATTCCCCGCGTTATCTGGATCTTACCAGGTACGACCCGTAAATACATCCAAGTACACCAGTGACGATACTAAGGAATTACGGTTCGAACTAGTCATTGGACTCACTTCAAAAGCTATCGGTACATATGCATACAGGGTGTATCTTCTTTATAAACATGATGAATCCGGGTATCCGGCATCCAAACCGCCGGAAATAGGACAATAACCCATATATTCAATGTAACCATCCAAACGTACAACGTCTTCCAAGTCCATATATCACATATTGAGCTATACCAGGTGCGGTGTAGTGGTAAGGAATGCTGTTCGGATGAGAGCATCTTCGAGGGGCCATCTACAACCCATCCTGTCCGGGAGATCCCATTATATATATATATATATATATATATATATATTGTAGTAGATGGATAAAAGCAAAAGTCCAAATACTTTCTAATAACACGAATGTAACCTAATATAGCGAAACTTTAAACTCGTGCCTCTTTTCGGCTTGCCATTTTCGTAATCCATCAAAGTCAATACATTCATGTACCACCCCCCATCCCAGCCCGCCAGCTGTCAGCTCCGGTGGTGTTCCTGGTGGACTGGCAGGTTCCATAACAAGGAAATCCCCGCATGTAATGGAAAGACGGAGATATTCAAAGCAGTGATCAGTATGCTCTTTCCAGTCCGCTACTGTAGTTTCTGATTCGTTGACGGGTTTGCTGAGTTGAGATTCATATTGTCGAAAGCGTAACCGAACAACATTCTAATAAACCATAACACGATGTCAGATTACAATACTGAATGTGTCATTCTTTTCCTTGGACATTTGCCACTTACAAGACAATGAAGTTGGTGAAGGTTTGACAAAAGGTAGAATCGCTCATCCGTGTTATCCTCATGAAAAGGATCAGAAATACCCTTGTCTAGGCCATAATCCGATGGATTTTGCAGCCAAACAGAATCACCTCCTGCGTTTTGGAAATCAATACTTTTTCTTTCGCTTTTCTTCGCCTCTGGTGAGATAACAATAGAATAGCTTACCTTTCGTGATTTCTTTCCAGCCTTGATCGACGGTATCACCACTGCCATAGTACCTGTTGTCAGGCACAAATGGTATTTTTACCCGTTTATCAAAGATTTCGTTGGGTATAGGAGTGTTTAGATGTATTTGAACGGACACAGGCATCTTGAAGAATCCAAGACTGGTAAATCCAAGAGCAAGTCCCAACCCAAAGACAACGGGGAGAAGAATAAGATATGCCTTGGAAAGACCCTTGACTCTATGAGATGGCATGCTGGTTTCTTCCAAAAGAGTTTCGCCAGAGCCAGATCCTTCATCGTCATCATCATCATGCGGGTGTTTCTCAGGGAATGTATCTGGACGTGTATAACCCCTGGAAAATATTGATGGTATACTTGGAATTTTCATTTTAGCGGTGATTGAAGATGCTTAGAGTAAAAGCTATACCAATTTTGAGTGAAAGGCGTATATTTATATAAATAGAGCAGTAATGGTCGAATACGTATGCTAAGTGGAGCATAGTTGATTAACTAGTGCATGGCCTCGGATTGAAGGGCAATACAATCCCGATTCTAAGACCTGTATACTAGCACGGACTTGCTTCATATTACCCTCCCCGTGTTAACGGAAAGACCATCGAAAATTACTAGTATTTGCTGCAATTCATGCTCGTTCCAAGTCTGTAACTCGTAAGAATGCGTTGGTATGAAGGAATCTATTACAGCTTCCATGAAAATACTACGTACTATCCTTAGCTTGATGCACAATAAGCCACATTTATCTTATCATCGATGGCAATATTCGGTACGTAAAAGATTTATTGATAGAAAGGATTCATCGGACGCTGAAAGGGGAAGTCAAGTAATTGGCTCGGAGCACATAGCATCCCTCACAACTACCTCCGCGCTGCATTAGCACAATGTTCGATTTTCACAGGGAAGGCAAGGATAGCCGATGCAAGTCCGATCCTGCGAGTCGAGGGACGAGGGACGGCATAGAGAATAATCTTGGTTATGTGGCCGCAGGATGAGCAGCTTGCACGTACCGCTGATTCTATAAATACTTGGTGTGTTGACCATCTCCAATCTACTTTTTCATCGACGTCAGCATCGAAGTCCAACACATCATATTTGTTCAAATCCATTTCAACCTTCTAAGCCGAAGACAATACCGCATTGTGAGGGCTCAAGCGTTGTTATATTTCACTTATGTGGAACATTAATAGGCTAATTGCACCTAGTATTCAATATGAGGTCCATTATCACTCAGGCAACCTTGGCCGTTTCATTGGCTGCACTAGCCAGTGGTTTGGTCATGAACCCCGAGGCTCGGGATGTTGAGGAGCCTGCAAAGCGCAACGTCGACGAGCCTGCTTACGTCTGGGCCTCTACCGGTAAGAAGCGCGATGTCGACGAGCCCGCCTATGTCTGGGCTTCTACCGGTAAGAAGCGTGACGTCGACGAGCCCGCCTACGTCTGGGCTTCCACCGGTAAAAAGCGCGAGGTTGACGAGCCTGCTTACGTCTGGGCTTCTACCGGTAAAAAGCGTGACGTCGACGAGCCCGCCTACGTCTGGGCTTCCACCGGTAAAAAGCGCGAGGTTGACGAGCCTGCTTACGTCTGGGCTTCTACCGGTAAGAAGCGTGAGGTTGAGGAGCCTGTCTATGTATCCGTCAAGGAATAAGGAAACCGAAGACTAAGGGCTACATGTCACTTAATCTAACGGGAAGAATGAATGAAGTAATGCATCAAGAGCCACATCACGAAATTTTGGGACAAGAGAGGAATTTAACGAGGGGATGCTTTGTTGAGTGGAGTGCTATTGTGGACCTACATTTTTCTATCTTTCTTATGGAATAAATTCAATCTCCAAGACTTTGGATTCTGCATGAAGTACCAGAATATCGTGTTAAGATCAGATAGAGTAGAATAACCAAAATACCATCCCGTCCCTTACATAGACGACATGGAATCTTGTCCGCTAGATGGGAAAAAGGCCTTGGATGATCTTATCTTTCAAAAGACGAGCAACCTTGGAAGGTCTGAGACACCCTAGATGGACGATAAATCAAGATAGGCTAATGAAGTTCTAATTTGGATTCTAAAATTGCATCAATCTGTGAAGCGAGCACGGCATCAGCAGGTGAATTAATTGTCAATAACAAATAGTCATTGCTAATCTCCAAGTAACTGTAAGTATGAGCTACCTCTGGGTCTAGGTATTATATATAAGGCTAGTGTGCAAAGCCATACATCATACAGAAATCATGCTAGTTCAAAAAGGGCAACTACTACCTATTTTATAGTGCATACACGGACCCTTTTTTTAATCTAAACTTAATGCACTATATATCTTAATTATCCAATCTGTACACACAAAGTACGTTAGACATTCTCCAAGATTTGTGATTTGTACACGTCAGTTACACAGTTTCACCAAAGTTGGACCTCCATAACCGCCTTTCCTATAAAGCAATAAATATGATATACTTCCTCTTGAGGTTACATCCAACATCGTAATAGTGGATAATATAATATTAAATATCTCTTTTTTAAAGAACATATCTGGTCAAGCATTTGCTGGGACGGTAGATATGACTGAAAAGAAATTTGCGGGGTACGTAGTAGATAATAAGGGAGAGAGAAATAATCGAATTCTGCTTCAATAATATGCTATAGGTCTCCCCGTCCCAGGGGGGGGTGCTCTATGTCTTACCACCTCCATAGTTCAGCCTTTATCTCACTCGATTATCCAAGTCATGCTGCCACGTCAGATTATATTTTCCTTCTTGTTCAATCTGAAATTGACGCAGTAGATCAAAATCAATACAGTCGTGCTCGACCCCCCAGCCAGTAACGGAAGTAGCATGCCCTAAGCGCAAGGAAGCATCAGATTAGTCCATAGCAAGGATACATGACAGAAAAAAGTCGGCTTACCTTTGCCAACTTTAATCGGGCTTGATCCCTCTATAATAAGATCACCTCCGCAGGAAATCGCTTGTCGGAGGTATTCGAAACAATGTAGAACATGTACATTCCATTTGACCGCATCATGCTCTGTATCGAGGTTGACACCATCGCGAGCCTGCCAGAACTGAAAGCGAACCATATTCTGTCAGAGTCAGACGGGGTACTTTGATAATATGATGCTGACCAAAAACTTACTAAACAATGAAGCTGGTGAAGGATCGAGATCACATAGAAATCATGTTGTGGAGGATCAGTGATATTGGGATGATCGAAAGGCGCGACAATACCCTCGGGCAGACCCCACCTATCAGGGTCCTCAATCCAAACGGCATCATGACCTACAAGTGATGATGATTAAACAAGCTGAAAAATTGAAGGGAGCGGTTCACCCATCTCACCAGCTACTAAGGCATCCCAGTGATGGTCGACCTCTTTTGAATTTCCAACGTATCTCTCGTCTGGTTCAAATACCCTTCTTACTGGCTTAAAAACGTCTTCTGGGATAGGGGTCAACATGGTGACCTGGAATTTGCCTTTAATTGTAGTAGCAATAGGAGATGATTTCCAATAGAGAGCTCCTGTCGTAGCCCACCCAATTGCAAGAATTGAGATCACAATGTATAGGAAAAGGTTCCAATGTCGATCTTCAGGCACCGGAGTTGATGTATCTTCTCGATCATTGTTTAATTCTTGATACTTCAAATTTGAATATCTTTTCAAAGGCCACATGTTGACAGTCCATGGAAGGAAGCAGAGTATCAGACGGTGAGCGGAACAAGAGCTGCAGATCCAAAGAGATATTTTCAAATTGTTCCGCTTTCCCATTGATAAGACACCAATATTTCAAATTGATAATAATAACGACATTTAACCTTGGAATTTTCTGGGCCGTGATATTCTACAATGTTTATTACGCCCTGCTGAAATAATATGGCAAAGATACCCAGCTAGACGAGGTATCTCCGAGGGCGGGGAAGCCAACAGGGAAGACGGAGAAGCCGACGGGGATAACACTCGGTGGCGTATTTTCAAAAGCTAGGAGATGCAGTCACTTTTTGGTGTTCATCTGACCAGAGGAAGTACAGAGTATCTAGGTAAAGATAGCCGATCCGCTTTGCTTAAGAGTATAATAACATTGTGTATACTGCAGAGTGAATTGCATCTGCATGTAGTCCATACATGATGAAACATCACCAAAGGATGCAAAGTTAAAATACGAAAGGATTTGTGCAAGGCAAATAGTGTAAATCCCATTTTCTGAGATAATAGACCAAAAATACATAGGAAAGTTTCCCTAAATTATGGATTTTTCCTTTAATCAATGGACATGCCCTACATGGGCCTCGTCGAAATCATTCCGATCGCCAGGTGTATGGGTAACTTTGCCACCCGTATACCCCGATCCATGCACTTTATCTGACCGATGCTCGTACGCCCAAGAAAAGATCTTATCGAAATCGCGGCACTGATGGGTAGCTCCCATGCCGTTGATTCCCACGCTGGTCAATGGCTCGAAAGTAGCGTCTGCATGGCACATGAGAGCTTGTCTAATATAGTCAAGACAGTGATCACGATGGAGTACGACTTCATCTGCATCCATATCTTTTACGGTTGAAGCGTGATAGGCGAATCGGAGGAAGTTCTGCATGAAAGATTAGAAATTTCCAAGCTGAATAGGAATCCCAACTATAAAATAATGGAAGCTCAGGTATCCATACTAAGCAATGTAGTTGATGAAAAACCGACACTCCGTAAACTAGTGCAGTATCTGGATTATTTGGGGCGGGCAAGGACTGAGGAAGGTTCTTTGCAGCTTCAATTGGAAGCTCCACGATACCATCACCCGCTAACAGGCAAATCAGCTATAATCTTATTTAGTTGTAAAAGGGCCTTTACTCACGGGGAGAAAGTCGTTTCCACATTTCATCTGTCTTGTTCGACGGTGGTCCGCCGAAATAAGTATGAGGCTGGAAAGTAACCCGGCTAGTATATTGCACTGTAATGTAGAAAGCTCTTGATCAGCTAACTTATTCCCACTATTTCTCCAGAGGGAAAATTTATGTTCTCACAGTCTGGCTCAAACATGGATCCCCACGAGTGCATATCGCAATGGCATTTCTCGAACTTCCCAGCAAATGTGCTGCTGGCCCACAAGCCTACACTAGTGAGGAATACGAGAGCATTAAGGGCAATTAGCCAATTTCGATAACTGCAAATCTGCCCTCTCCAGCCTGACTGGGAAGATGTTCTAGAGTGGTTCCTGTGTAGCCAAGGGTCGGCGCGAGGAAGTAGTGTTGAGTTCGAATCACTGCCATGTGACTCAAGAGGAAAGTCCTTGTCGGACTGAAAATCATCTTGGGCATTCATTGGAATTGAGGGGGGGGATGGTTGTCGCAAAAAGAGGATAGGGATAGGTATTAGGATCAAGGGCATAGCTTTTTCTAAATATATAGAATACACACTACCACAGACTGAAGTAGTGACCTGGCCAGTCCGAAAATGATAATAAATGACAATTAATAGGTACTAGATAAATAATAATACAAATGTACTATGTATCGTCAGGAATGATACATGTTATTATACTAGCTCGGTCTCCTGTATGTTTCAAAGTATGACTTTACAAGGTTACCAGATCTATACTTGTTCCAACATATATAAGCTCCCAATCTGGGTCTCTGTAAATCCTATATCCTTTTTCAAGTGTGGACTATGATACATTGCATTTATTTTCACCATGCCAATCAAACCCCAATCCGGCTCTCATTATTTCTCTCGGAGTACCATTGCATTTGGAATGATACTTCTGGGTCTGTGTGTTATCCAGTCAAAGCTCGGGTTCCTAGAAGGATGGATAGAGTCTACCACTAGTGTTCTGTCGAAGCTTCACGCCAATTCGCCATCGCTAGAGAACCGCGCTCATATCATACCTGAATCCACAGAGGCTGCCATATTTGACCAGATGAGGCAAGAGTATGAAGCACAATGTCCAGTGCAGAAACACCAGACGCGCATTTTCTCCACCGATCCTATGATAATCTATATTGAAGACTATCTATCCTACGAGGAGACTAAATACCTGCTCCATTTGGCGTGAGTAATGGCCCCTAGACATACCTATCAGTGGATATGACCACGAGAATAAGAGAGGGAGAAATAAAGAGAATCAGAGAACTCGTAACCAACTGATATTTCATAGTGATCCTCTGTTTATACAGTCACCTGTGTCCAAAGGGTATCGCCTCGACGAGTATGATCTCAGTATTCGGTCCTCGAAGTCGGCAGTTCTCCCTAGCGATCCCGTGGTGGCATGTATTGAACAGCGCACAATGGACTTCCAAGGCTACCAGTCACTGAATCGCCTCGAGGATCTTCAGGTTGTCAAGTACGGGATCAGCGACCAGTTTCGACCTCATTTTGATTGGTTCGCGGGGATGGAAAACCCTCGGGTATCGACCATATTTGCCTATCTTGAATGCGACGATTGCGTCGGTGGCTCCACCCAATTTCCTTACTACCGCGGCTCTTTCCCTGCCAGTTGGTGTAAGTTTATAGACTGCGAGGATAACGAAGATAACCGCGCAGCTGGTGGCACTGGCTTCAAGCCAATCCAAGGCAATGCAGTGTTCTGGCGGAATCTATACGAAAATGGCACGGGCCATCCAGGGGTCTGGCATGCGGGTATGCCGGTACACAAGGGCAGGAAGTCCGGATTGAATATATTTACGCGTAAGGAGACGGCATATTCCGAAAATACTGATGCAGTTGAGAATAGCGATGCTTAGAGAGTTGATAGGTGACACTCCTCAAACAATGAATGAACCAGTAGTGCCCTGAAAATGGTCAACCCAGTGCTTGCGTAAAATCTTAAAGACCTCAGGAGAAGGCTGTAGAGATACTTATGGTTAGGACAGTATGGTTAGAACACCGAAACTTATATATAGTCTGTCTTCAACTTCATATTCCATCGAGATAATATTAGGCAGGGGAGGTTTTTATACGGAAGCCTCACGAAGTCAAAACATGAGACAGGCAATGGGAATTATAATGCAATCTATTCTATGACAATCCTTTGACAGACGTGGCGACATTTTGCCAGCATTATTTTGTACTTGATGGATATCAACCAATCAAGATTTCCGGGAAAAAAAAAAGAAAGAAAGAAAGAAAGACCTTCAAGCACAAGTTCATCCGAGCATTCCAATTTCATCCGCGCTCAGACCGAGCTCACTGAGTCTTCCTCTCATTCTGAGCCTCCGCTACCACAAAGGCATTGCGTAGCTCTTTCGCCGCCTCCCACAACACCCACAGAGGGATAAAGACCCAGAGGGTATTGAAGAAGAACAAGTATAGCCAAAGGTAAACCGGATCCTCAGTAGCCAGCTGCGAGCTTCCCGTCAGCCACTCCGGTGCAAAGGTCATGAATCCACCATACAACTCGGCTGTAGCAAGCATAGCTGAAACCAGCCACAGCGTCGCCTTGACCCCACCACGGGACTTGGCACTGATCTTCTCATTCGACGACCGGCACAGCAGATAGCAGATGTATATCGCAGCTGGACCCCCGAGGAATACAGTCAATAACTCCAGCGAAACGACAGTCAAATCAGCGCCAGCCCAGCGGCGATCAGCCTTTGCGTATTCCTGCCACAAACGCGAGCTAGGTCTAGTCCCGTAGACAGGACCATATATACGGGTTGGGTCGTTGAGGAAGAAGGGCCCCACATTATGATTGTCGGCGACAGTGATGTAGCTGAAGAAGCATTCATAGAGCCAGGAACCCTCAATGAAGAGGTGAGTAAGGGCATCATACGCGTGCCAGAAGAAGAGGATGCGATCACGTGTCCTATGTGCTGGCACAAGATTCCTGCTCAGAAAGTAGGCGATTGGCATCATAGAAAGTGAGAACACGAGACACAGGACTGTCGGCGCGTCGAGTGTGAAGGACGCGGTTGACTCCATGGTGGATTTAATTAGTTGGAGATCGCGCAGATATATGATAGTTAATCTTGAAGATGTCTAAAATTAACAATATCAGGTGTGTTTCATGCTTTGTGAAATGAATTGAGGAAGTCTGAGAATCAAAATAAAAATTAGGGGCTGAAGGCGATCAAAAGTTGACGCCTCAGGCAGAAGTGGGTCGCGACTTACAATTTTCTAAAGAGTAGAAGAGTAGAACATGTAGTCCTATAGTCATATCTATATCTATAATTTGAGAGTTCGTTTGTATCACTTGAAATCAGTGTAACACCCTTGCACCCTTGCATCTCACCGCATATTGCAATGTTCAACTTCACTTGAGCTCTGGAAAATCCGGGGAATAAGTGGTCAGTTTCTACGCGGTCAACTTCACGTCCAACCCAAGATGGAAAACGTCAATCTAGGAGAACAAAATCTTGTTCTCTGGTCTCACAATTATTTTATAGCTCCCGCCCAGCTTGTAATCAGCCGACGCCACTTTCCCAAACTTCTTTGTTTGTCTGCAGCATACACACCTAGTGACGCGTTATCAAAGAAACATGCGTTTGGGAAAGGCCGCTTGCATTCTCCACCCATACCCATTCATACCATTGATACAGCCTCTCAGTGCAATACCGTGTGAATGGCTAGCCGACTTGGGAAAAAAATTACCTATGGTTGGGTGCACTCATGAAATAGTGGAATCGGCCCTGATCCCCGTATTGGCTCGGAACCCTTGGCGAATTATCCCTTGAGGCCGTCTCTTTCACGGCTATTACTGTGATGGTTAAGCGGTATTAGGCTTGTCTCTCGGTAACACTTTGTTATATTCTACTTCCAACCTCAGCTCGGACCCGTTAGAGGCATTCTATCTACCTGGAGCTGTGGACCATGACTGTGGGGAAGACTCCTCTCGCAGCTTCTTGCCCGTGCTCCTTCAAACAATCCAGCTCATTGGCAGTACATTTCGTCGCCAAAAATGTCTTCAAATCTCGGGGTTTTCGATATCCCCGCCCTGGCCAAGGTGGCATGGGACGTATACAAGCAATGCAATCTCCTCGCGAAGGGTGCTCCCGAAGGATTCCAAAAGCTGATGACTGAGCTGGGCTCGTTACAAGGCACTTTACGTACCTTCGGCGACAAGGTGAGCTCTAACGCATCCTTCTTTGAGGAGATGGATGAGGATCGCAAACAGACGTTGGAACGGTCCCTCGGTACTTGTCTCGCGACCCTACAGCGATTGAAAGAACTCCTTGCCCCGTTCAAAGGCTTCGAAAATAGCGACGGAAAAGGCCTCTGGAAAAAGATCAAATGGGTGGCACAAAGAACTCAGATTGAAGATCTAAGATCTAAGATTATGATTCACACCTGCAATCTCAGCCTGTGTGTAAGCAGTATAGGGAAGTGAGTGTACTTTTCCTGTCCGAAATTCAAGGTTTATAGTCTAATTGGTTTAGTGACTCTCTTGCTCGGATAGAGAAAACAATGGTTCTGGCAATGGAAGAGGATAAACAGATTGTTCTCAGCACAGCGGCATCACCTGTTCGGGATACAGACTCCGTTGTCTCGCCGATGACCCCGAGCCCGGGCTTGGTTGAGCTACCTGCTAACAACGAAGAAGAGTGCGAAATCGATATAATCGAGGAAGTCCGCGTCAGAATGTCGGAGTTGGCTAATAACAGAAGCTCCGCGGGGAGCAGCAAGGTCAGACATACATCCACATCCTCCGAATCGGCAATAACTGGGTCCGATGATTCACTCTTTGATGGTAACTCGCCGACTTCTTGGTTATCCTTGAATACATCACCTCTCCTACCTCATCCAGGCCGAATACATCATACGCGAATGCGCAGTGAGCAGCTTCTCTTTGGCGGCTCTATTGACGGTCGGACACTTGGTGATGGAATATGGGCGAACGACCCCGACCTGACGGAGAAGCAAGTTGTGCATCACACCAGAGCCTATTCTGATGCTGGTCATGGCCATCCTCACGTTACCGAGGCCGTGACGTCCGCCATGCAACATCTTCGTGATGTTCGGCACCAGGAGCATATCTCAAGACCAATACGCTTTGAGCCGCAGAACCAACTACATAAGCCAACTGCAGAAATGTTAAAAATACTCGAGGCGTCGGTGAATGATGGGTTGCAGATCACGAGGCTAATCACAAGAGATTGGCTCCGCATGGCGACTTGGTGGTTGTTGAAAGTGAGCTCTCGATGTAAAACAACAGGAGACAATATCTACTAACTACTTGTCCAGGCACGCGCGACTTTGGCAAATTGTAGCAGACACAACTATGTCAGTGCCCGTGGCAGTATGAGTCCCTCCACGGAGTCAAGGTCAACTAGTCACCAAGCTTATCTTGACCTCCTCAAGGCTTCATATATCCTATACGATATCGTTCTGGAAGAAGAGATCTCCTCTTCTCTTTTGGTTGATGAGGATCGCAAGTCGATTGTCGAGCTTTCTGAAGTCAGTGTCTTCGTATCGTTTCCTAGAACCTGTGACTAATCCAATACAGGGCATCAACGAAGAGCTTTCCCAATATACTTCTATCGACATTCCCGAATCGTCAACTCTGCAAACCCAAAGTCTTGCCATTTGGGAGCCCATGCAGCCGGAGGAAACATGGGATGGGGGCATTGATCTAGATCTTGGCTTGGATAATTTACGCTGGATCGCCGTCGATCTAGAGGATGCAGGTAACGAACAGGAAAAGGTCCTCTACCGCACCTTTGTCAATGCCGGCATCGGTGGCAAAAAGTATCGCATGCGCACCAAGGGTGCCCCCTACATGCTCCTGCTGGCAACACGAGAAGGTGAAAGCGAACCCAAGATTGTTCTTTGCAATCAAAGTGGCACTCTGTGCCTAGAACGAAATTGTAAGTGATGATTCTCATATTACCCTCTCATGGAGTTGACCGATGATGCTAGTCACACTAGATGATCTACCGCCCCTTGTCCAGTTATCAAATGCAGCTTTGACTGGCTTCCCTGGTGCCCGGGTCTCAGAACCGGTACCATTTAAATTTGATGATATGAGCGTTTCGATATCATTTCAGTTTGACGGGGATCTCGCACAATTCATCAATATTCCGAAAGCTTACTTCGATGCTGTATGGCAGAGAGAACCAGTTGATTCAACCGAATTTACTGAGAGCGTTCTTTTCAAGACCTCGGTTGATATGTTTGAGCAGTTGAACACGCCGACCATGAAATCAATGAACCCGCCTGTCGCGGTGAAATCCTGCGAGGTGCGCATTCTGGAACGGTCTTTTGGAGAAGCCTGGCGGTCTATCCGACGCATGGTGATCACTTCCTCTGCTGCTGAGAAATCCCCGGGAACTATGGAACTTTTCATGCCTCTCAGTGTTGTTCAGATCAACCGAGGACGTACGTCCCGCCAGGTGCTCTTGCAGTGGTCTGACACATGCCAGGCGCGCTCTGACAAGACTGACGGCAACTATAACACCTTGCACTCCTACGTGTACGATGGCACTGCCCCAAATATCGGCGTCGGTCTACAATTTGGCATGCATCAAGAGGCGGAAGAGTTTGAACAAGCCGTACTAGAAATGAGCCTCCGTCCTGAGTTTTCCTGGTCACAGCCCAGTAGCTCCGGTCTCATTTACAATGTAGTTGATGCTGGCACTGAGCACAAGCAATACAAAGCCGTGCTAGTATACCGCACTCGTGCATCATGGCGATATTCAGAACTGTACTATATTTATCGTGACGCCGACTACTCATACGACCACTCCTCATTCAGCATCCATTTCCCCCGCATATACTACACAGACTACATCTCAACTCATGTTGACCAGCTCTACCATCCAGAAAGCCCTGTCACATTTTCCCATTGCGACAAGAAGGCTACCCAGACTACCATCGAGTTCGAGAATGACCTCGAAGCGCGCTCATTCCTCAGCTCCCTATCTCCTCTATACGATCTCCTCTACTCCCGGCGTATCCACTCGCTGTCAACGAAAGGCAATTCCCTGTTTGGGCTCCAAATTTCCGGTAAGGGCAGCGCCGATATCCAACTATGGCGTCGGGGAACAACGTTCCAACTTGCCACACGGTGGGATGACTCCGTGCCGGACAAGTGGCTTACCATGGCTGTTCCGTCAGAGTTCATCGATTGCTCAAAAGAGAATAGTCGCGTCACCCTTCCACGTCTTCCGTACTTGCGTGGTACGACACTTGATATGATGAATGTTATGGCTCGATGCCCTAAGAACTCTAGTTCCAAAAACAGAGAGGGTGCTATGTCAATTTCTTTTCGAACAAGTAAAGGTTAGTCGAACTTTTCCCTTTTGTCTTTCTATTCTGCTAATCTTTATCGGAATGGATCATAGACCGAGACGAGTTTCTGGCTGTATTACAAGGGCAGCAGTTGCCGAAGTTCCTATAGAAGTCTCTTTCTCGTCCACTCAGATAGAAATGAACAACCTTTTCAGAATCCCACTCCTCTCCGAAGGACAGTAGTTATCTTTTCTAACAGCACTCCGCAATGAGCGAGACTGCGGCTTGACGCTCAGCTATATCTCTGGAAGTGATTTAAGCTAGTGACATTCATATTTGACACACCAGTACTCTAGTCGGTGTCTGGCCGAGGTTCCAGGCCATGCGCCCATAGAGCTGTAACCATACATAATGCTTATTTTCCAGGACTATAGACGCTGGTAGTAGACTGTAAATATACCAGATGCAATCTCATAGAGCTAGATACCCGGATATCAACGACTTTCCCAGAACTGCGCATCAATCGCAACCAACCGATTGAACAGTTGATTCCTTGATCGCATACCAGTGAGATGGTAAGACTGGCCCGGCTCATCACCGGTGACAACCAAACCATCCGCAGCCTCCTTACTTCCAGCTGTTAATTCAACAATCAATTTCCCCTTCCATCCTAATCCCTCGGTCTTCTTCAACTCCTTGATTTCAGTGACAGGAATCTGGAACAGAATAGAACCCTTCTTCCTACTTTCGATGCGTAAATCATCCAGCCCAGCAGATGCATATGTAGTGAAATACAAGATGGGAGGCTCCTTCGACGAGTCAATGACTGCCGCACCTCTCTTGCGTTCATACTTTGCATCAAACTTCAAAGGCCCAAACTGCGTTGCGGCAGCAGCAAAGTTTCCGCTTTGAAGCATTCCAATCAGATTCTTCGTATGTGCTGATCCTGCAATGGCCATGGCTCGGTCAAAGGCGATATGGCCCTTGATTGCCGTGGCAATTGTGCGGCGGAAAAACTTGAAAAGCTTGAACACAAATCTCTTCTTCGGTACCTTTGTTTCCGGGAGCGATGTGGTAGAGCTCGACGACTGGAGGCTCACAGATGATCCCTGCGTAGTGAGGTCTGTAGAGCTGGGTGTCTGTGACTTTTTGCGGCGAATGGGCCATACCGGCTCGTCGTCATCAGGGGATGGAGCGGGTGGTAGTGGAGAAGAATTGATCTCGCCAATTCGAAGCAGGGTCAAAGTGAGCTGCGCGTTTGTAGGAACGCCAGCCAAAAGTGTCCTGCAGCTCGAGTCAGCAACACGAAAAAGGCTATAGAAAAAGGATTGCTATCCATACTTTTGCAAATCGAGATGATCTTTCCAGTTTGGTACTTTATTGTTCAGTAGGTCAAGGGTGTAGGTGAATATTGGGTCCCCAAAGAAGCCCAGTCCAAGCGCAAAGCCAACGAGCTTGATGATCCAATAACTAGATGTGAAGGGTACAATAACAGACACCAGGGTAAAGATACTCGCAAGGCGAAGTCTAGACGTAACCAAAAAGAACGGAGGTGTTGGAGAAAGGATACTGTTATATCGTCAATATCGCCTATTCATATATCCTTTTGGAATGGACTCACTTGGCGAATTTCTCATAGATATCAGTAATATCGCTCAGAATACGCATAACTTTATCGGTCGCATTGGCTACCTTCTTTTTCATGGGCTTCTTGGTTTTGTCTTCAGAGGAATCGCCTGTCGGGGTTCCGGCTGCAGTCTCGACGGCTTCTGGGCTCTCAATAAGCGCAGGCTTGTCAGTGTCCTCTGTAACTGCTTGCCCATATTTAGCCGCTGCACTCTCCATAGCAACGTTGGCGAAACTGTCGACTAGATTTTTGGCTTCTCGTTCAGCGGCTTCACCCTTATGGTTTTCTGGGGCGCCCGTGAGACTATCCTCAGATTGAACTTGTCCGTCTGCCGAGGTCTTTCTATTTGAGTATTCTGTCTTTGCCAAGCCAGGGAATAATAATAGTCGAACAGACGGAACCATTATCAGGGCAACAACAAGACCCAGGATGGTTGGAACTAAGAGATCCACGGCCCAAGCAACAAAATAACCCTATAAATTATCAATATCTTATCAAAGGCATGACTTTTTGTAATCCACATACCGCACAGAATATTGTTGTTCTCGCTGGTTCCTTCCATGATCGCAGGCGCGTGATATGGCGGAAAAGCTCGGTCACTCCGACAACCACGGAGGTATAAAACCTCTCAAGCGTTATGCGCAGCTTTTCGGGTGGAAATTGCTCATTTTCTGTCCGATTGAGATCCAAGTTCAGAGCAGCGGTATCATGAACCGCTTTCACATGGTATATTTGCTAGTTCACATATCAGCAGTTATTCTCAGCACAGGTGGAGACCACACTAACCTTGTCAAATCGCCGGATCAGCATCCATAAATCTTCATTGGACAGGCCCTGAGCAAGAGTCTCTTCTACTTTCCGTGACGATGCCTTCCATTGAGTGGTGGGTGGCCTCGGGCTCAGTGACTCGAGGGGGCCAACCTCCTCTGTCTGGGTGAGATCATAGCTCTCATCTTCCAAGTGTCCAGGCATTTGCGATCCATGGCTCATCTTCAATAGTTATTGAGCAAAGGGGAAAGAGAATTGCTTACTTGACCCGTGGACGTCCGGACTAGCGCGAAACCCCGTGTTGATAAAGTGTGGGGTTTGACGTCATATCTTATCGGAGCTTGGACCACTTCCAGGGACCAACCTTAGGTAGATTGGATCTAGCCTTTGCTTAAGATATCTCTTCTTAGATGCCTAGTTGTCTTCACGGGTGTCTTGCGCGTCTTTTTATATATATTTTAAGGCTATTTCGCTTCTTCATGTTGTAGCTAGGAATATGAGAAATATCGCCGCAAGACATGTTGATAAAGAAGTATTAACTGGGGACATAGAGCAGGAGCTCTCTCCCAGATGGGACCGTTGAGCGACTATTTATAAGTATGACTACGCATGTGGTAGCCCTTCTTGTAGTTATTCACGTCCTCTATATATGTTGAAGCGGACAAAAAAAAAACTCCCAAATGCACTGTGGGGTGTCTTAAAAGGATACCCAAAAGGAATAACAAGTTTTCTCATTAAGTATAGAATGTGAATAATGTACGCCGTTCCTGTGCCACATCTCGTTGGAGAACTTGCCCTTGCCAACACATCCAAATCGTCATTCCGCGCGCAAATGATCTGTGCGCAAAATCTCCATGAACTCCACGAAGTTCTTCTCCGCTGCAATCGCCCAAGGTGTCTGCCCATGCACATTGGTCTGCTGCACCAACTCCGGTGCTTTGTCTACAAACAATGATAATGTCCGTTGAGTCTCAATCGACGCAAAGTGATCGTCAGAGCAATCAAGGTCGGCCAGATAATGCAACACATTGTTGCCTTCGTAATCGACTGCCCTCAAATCGGCTCCCCGTTCATACAGGGCCATTGCACGCGTGGGGTCACCCTCCTTCCAGGGCGCCAGTGCAATTTCTCCACCTCGGAGCGGGTATGCCGAACACAAGCAGGCATACGAGTGGGTTCCAGTTGTACTGCTGGCTGCTGCCAATAGTAGCGTTTTTCCTGTAGGGTCCCGTCGTTCGAGGTCAAGGTTGGGCATATCTAGCCAAGGCTGGACGATTCCTCCGCTCGCAAAAATCTCGTGTAGAACGACTTGGGTATCGCTGCAAGGCAGGAAGTAATCTGCACCGCGTTCTAGGAGGAATTCAATCATCCTACAGGCGTGCTCGCGGCAGTTGGCTTCGTTGAATGGTAGCATTGAGATGTAGAAAAGAGGGCTCAGGGTGGCCCCGCGGATTTCCGGAACCTTTCTAACACGGTGGGTGTGCCAATGAGGCTGCGCATCAGATAACACCGTCTTATTGCAGTCCAAGTCCATTCCTAAGAGAGCGGAGACAACGTCTTTGTTGAAACTAGACAATGCAGCGAAGAGTTCCATGGGGTGATCCTGAGATGGATATGCTCCGTGTTCAATCAATAATTGGAACAGCTGGGTGTCATGCGCCGACATAGCCAACGGGGTATAGCCACACGTCGCAGTGAGGTTAGGATCGGCGCCGCCCTCCAGCAATATTCTGGTGATTTCGAGCTGGCGATAGCCCCCCAGCTCTCCTCGTGAAACTGCATAGCATAAAGGCGTCTTTCCCTGGTCATTCTGGGCGTTGGGATCGGCCCCGTGTTCCAAGAGGTACCGGATGGCCCCTCCATACCACCAGTGCGTGCCATGGGCTAGTTGGTGAAGGATGGTGTCTCCCGGCTTGTAATGCCGCTCCAGTGTCATCTTTGTTCGGCAGATCACCCTAGGCTTATCTGCCATATCTGCTTGAAATTTGATCTTCACATCCGCGTTGAATTTCTCGACCATGACCCGAATAACGTCCAGATTGGGAAGGTCTCGCTGAGCAGCCATCAGAAGATGCGGAGTCAGTTTTTTACCCCAAATATTTGTATCGCCGCCATTGATCCATTTGCCGGACATCGTATCGCCAATCCGGCCAAAGAGCTCCGAAAATCCCCACCTTGCAAGCGACGCCATGATCGCTGGCATAGAGAATTTAGTATCGATAACAGATGCGTTCGATTCTAGAGCTTGTACGACCTCCTCGTGGTGGCCGAGCAAGACCATTGGGAGCACATTACGTTCAGAAACATACTCCTTGAATTGCTTCCGGAGCAGGTCTGGGAGGTGTTGAGAGCGCAGCAGAGTGTATTCCGTTTTGGTATGGCGGTTATTTTCCATCGGAAAACTCATTTCTCGGGACAACCTGTCCAATTCCACGGCCATTTCCTCATTTCCCTCCTCAACTGCATAGTACATGGGACCAGCACCAGACTTCTTTTCATATGCCAAAGCCCCATGAGATGCCAAAGCTCGTATGATTTGTCCAATTCCGGTTGTCGAACTTTCAGATGTGATTTCTCCTTCCCACCCCAAACCTTTCCCGTTGCGGTGCTTCGTTTCCATATTTGATGTAGGCTGTGTCGGTCGATTATTATCTTTTACCAAAACGCCTCCTGCGGAGCGCGTGTTCATTACGTTTTCTTGGTCGTCACTTCCCTGCCAAAGCTGGTCTTCCGCGATGGACTCGGCGCATGCGTCTAGAGGGGTACGGTTGTGCTTGTCCTCGATGTTGACATCTGCTCCGTATTCGAGGAGAAGATTCACTGTCTCCAATCTTCCAGAGCGGCAGGCCACATGCAACGGTGTTCTCCCATCTTCTGATTGTGCATTGAGCATCAAAACCAGGTTCTTAGAGTCGCAATGGTCCAAAATCAGCCCAACAGAGTTACTTTGGCGTGCAGTTGACGCAATGTGCAACAGATTACGTCCATCCTTTGTTGAACTTGTGATATCAGCCCCGCGAGCGAGTAATTTGCCGACCAGGTGTTCAGAAACCGTAGTCGCAAGGTGGATCGGTCGTATTCCCTGGTGATCACTCATGTTTAAAGCGACGCCAAGACCTGCATCTAGGAGTAAGTCGATAGCACACTTGCCTCCCTGTGCGGTTGCCGCAAACAAATTGTCTGAAGACTGGCTGCATAGCATGTGCAGAGGCGTCCGACCTCGGAAATTGGGCGTGGTCGAGGAGACCCCCATTTTGATAAGTTGAATCATGGCCAAAAGAGCCGTATCTTGGTCAATTGTAGCAAAATTGGCTGCGAGATGATGCAGCAATGTGTCTCCTTCGTAATTCGACATTTTTGGATCTGCTCCAAGGGACAGGAGAAATTCTAAGTGCTCCGATCGAAAATGATACGGTTTGATTAAATAAGATAGTACGCCGTTACCTTTATAATCCTGTGCGTTGATATTGGCTCCGCGACTAATGAGGTAGGGAAGAAGTTCGCGGCGATTACACCCCTGCGTGCCGTACATGGTCTTGGTGAGAAGCGTGCATCCGTCATAGTTTCTAGCCTCAAGATCTGCACCGGCTGCGCAAAGGATGTCCAATGTATCCTGGACATCTTCTTCGGGTCCCTCTACCTTGTGAATAGGCTGTTCCCCCTTGTGGTTCCTCTGATTGGGGTCAATTCCAAGCTTCAGCAGTTCCACTATAGTGTTGCTCCCGCGACGATGCTTCGCAGTGGCGATATGAAGAAGTGTGTCGCCATTACCGTCAGTGATCGACCAATCCGACACAAATGGCTGGAACAGTGAGAGATCACCAAGTTGCCATTTAGAAGCGTAGGCATGCAACGGGGTATGACCATCTGCATCTCGAACAATATCCAGGTGGGCTCCCTTTGCCATCAATCCCTTGAACCATTCTGGGTGGTCCAAGGGATGGTGGAAAAAATGCATAGCTGTCCCCCCTCGGTCCTCTGCGATGTTCGGGTCCGCGCCATGTTCCAGGAGAAACGGAACCAACGCGATCTCCTTGTGGACGGAAAGCAGCAGTGCGGTATTTCCGTGGGTATCCTGTGCGTTGATGTCGCACCCAGCATCCAGCAGCATCTGCATCAGCTCTTCGTAGCGGGGCAGGTTTTCCAGCTTTTGGTAGGGATACAGACTGTCCACCACTCCGTGGAGGGGCGTAAAGGCTGGGAGCTTGGCTCGTGGCCGCTTATTCTTCGATCTGATCGTGACATCGGCCCCATGCTGGAGCAGGAGTCTGACTATTTCCAACTGAACCTTTTTTGCGGCCAGGAATAAAAGCGTGTCCCCATCAACGGCCGCGTTGACATCACACCGCCCGGTCTCAAGCAGAGCCTGTGTGCTGGTTATTTTACCACATTGGCAAGATCGACATAGAGCCGCAGTCAGATCGAGAGGGTCCGCAGTGGCAGCCAATTGGCACACCTGGTCCACATCTTCCGCATCAACTGCCGCGTGGAGTAGAGAAAGAGGCTCTTCCTGTTTGGGGGACCCATCACTCCCCTCAAACAATCCAGACATTCTACTACGAAGATTAACCAAAAGGTCCATGGTGTTTTGGCAAATTGCTGGACTAGGAGTCTGAAGCGGTAGAGGTGGTCTCATGAAATAAATATCACACGCTTAGCACGATTAGCCTCATCTAGGCTCCCGTGGCAAAATCAGCCCCTTTAGTCTCTCTTACATCGCGCAATCCTGCCTAGATGTTGTGGGAATAAATACAGGGTATTTATCACTCGATCACACAAAAGGAATGAATATCACGTTTAAAAATGCAAAAAAATGCGTTTATTCAAAAATTACAGGGTTCACTAGAAGGTGGTGGTACTCCCGTCTGAATACAAAATATATATCCAATATCAATATATAACTTCCGCTAATTAGATTTCATATCCTAAACTAAAACTCTAGATAGAAAAGGTAGTAATATAGTAATCACAGAGGCCAATTTATTAGATACAGTCGTGCCGATGGGCTTTAGGCCCCCAATAATGGGTTGGGTTGGGCTTTAGACGCCGGGTCCGTACTCCGTGTCTATCTAGAGTCAGAGGATCAGTAATAACAAGGGAAATAAAATACCGCGGCCTCTTTAATTTACTGTTTGAAATTTGTATTCATTTTGTAGCTATCTATTTATGTAACCAGTTGGCCTCTATGGCGGAATTAGATAGCGTATATGACTTGCAACTTGCATACCTTGGAAGTTCCCCGATTATGGATTTAGCTAGTTCATTTAGTTAAAACCACTTTCATTAACAAAAGCCGCTGTGGCGCAATCGGCAGCGCATACGACTTCTAAATCCTCACGGATGCCTAAATCGTAAGGCTGCAGGTTCGACCCCTGCCAGTGGCTTCTCTTTTTTTTTCCCCTGCCAAATTAGCAGAGCTGTTATAAAAGCTTTTAAAGTCTGATAAAACACCATAGGTTGCACTACTATTACTAAGAGAATAATTAAGGGAGCGATAAAAGTATTCGAATGCCTCTCTAGTAGTATTCCGCACGACCCAGTAAAACCCAGAGCGAGTTACAAACTATACAAACATGCTTAATTTGTATTTAGCTAGGTTATGACCGCCACTGTTCAGTTTCAATTAAATATGCAAGGCTGCCTTAGAATACCTGAATTAACTAACTTGCCTAATCTATGCCTGATTTTAGACCGCTTTCGCCACCGCTCCATAGAGTGTACTGTAAATTGAAGTTATTCCCACCCTATAAATCATCGTTTTCGTCGAATCTTACGCGTTGAACCTCCCTCTGGCCGCATAAACTATTAGATTGAAGCTATTCACACTATACAAATTTTCAAATCCTCTCTTCCTTAGGCTCTGAAGCCATTCCGACCGTACAAATTCCCTAAGATACGTCCACGTGTCGGTCTTAAAAACTCTCTTACGCGGTAAACATGGTATCACGATCGGTTGAACGAGCCTCTGCATAAACCTTTGATACAGAGAGGTCTACATACTATCACGAAGCAGGCAGGCAGTGCGCGGTAAGTAGCAAGTAGGATAGATAGAACAGCTGCAATAGCAATGAGGTCAGACTCGGCAACAGTGACAGACTCGACGGAGGGGGCGCGAATCGCTCAGTGCTTTATATAGGCTCTGTGATTGTATTTCAGGTACCTTAAGTTTCTGCTGTGTTTAAAGAAGGCATCAAGGCAGCAATGCATATTTTAATTGAAACTGAACAGTGGCCGCTTCACCCCTTCGCAGGATACGCTATAACTAATATAGAATCTGAACCTAGAGCAGTTCAAGAAATTTACATAGTTTATTTCAGAACCAATTGGATTAGAGAGAACTTCTCTCTTGTTTCCACAGTCAATAGTTTCTGGGGAGGTTTTTTCTGGGAGTAGACGCCAGAACATGCAGCCATGGGAGCTGTCTTAACTCTCTGTGGGAGGGTCCGCGAATATCGCAGACACTTTCTCACCTAGATCCCAGACCTTCTTAGCTGTGGTGAAAGCAAGAGGGGGGAGCTCAGAACTTTATTAGTGGGCCTGACAGAGCTCGTAGCCAGGATCATAAGGAGCATGGAATCCGGCAAGGTGATCCAGACTTCCGAGTTGGTTAAGATCGTGGAATTTATTACGTCTTCTCAGAAGGTGATCCAAATTCACCTTACTGCTCTTGATGAGGAAGTACTCGGTTGTTTTACTATAGTGAGAGAATCACTGTCCTCATCTCTGCACTAGAAACTTGGCCTACCACACCTGTAGATGGGTTGAGGTACACAATGTAGTAATGATGGCTAGGAATTATTTTCTCATGCTCTATGATTAGAACTCATTCCCACATTTAATGTTATTTTGTTTATCATATGGTCGCATCTGAATGTTTTTCGCCTTACCTTTCGCAAAATATATTTCCGAACATTGACGAAATTCGTCCATGTAAAAGCCATATATATATATACGAGAGCCAGAGCCAATACACATTGATATTTGACTATCATTAGCAATATCATTAAGTAAAAAAACAAATAGCCGCGCAAGAAGCGCTGGAGCTAAAGAATAAAAAACAAATTAACCGCAAAAAGAAATCTCTCCCTCGGGGAATCGAACCCCGGTCTCCCGCGCTTATCGGTTTTAATGACAAGCGGAAATCATCACCACTAGACCAAGGAAGATGTGATAGCTGAGTTACTGCTCGGCCACTTGGCTGGTTGATGTTGGAATTTGCCATGTTGGCAAGATGAACTCATTCTTTGACGATTAGGCGTAGCATTACGAACATGCACATTAAATTCTACATGTCTATATATCACCTTTACTGTGCACATTGGAGCGCTTCGTAGTATATGAATATCATTTGGAAAATTTAATATCTGTTTCATACTGGAATCGATTGCATAACGGCAGAGAACGCAAAATCGTCCAGACAATGAGACATCAAATCCAACGCAATACGCAACATAAGAGATCACGACAACGATAAAATATCAAAGACACGGCAGGCACAAGCGGCGATTGGCACGATTAAAGAATCGGGCGGCGACACAGAACGAGAGCAGGGACTCGAGCTGAGAACGAAGTTTGGTCACAGATGATTCCCTGATGCCTACCCAGCGGCTGACGCCCGAGCGCAGTCACACCCATACAGGGCAGACCACACTCGGTTCCGGGACCTTGAAGCAAAACAGCTTTCAGATCATGGCGGATCAGGTATTGATGCTCGCGGAAAGGTCGGGGTGGGTGTCATCATAAAGATGAATGTGAATTAGGAGGTAAACCAGACAGAGTAGATCCGATAGGGATCACACATGTTGGACGTAATCAAAACTGTAGAGCAGAGCCATGTATTCAGCTCTCTTTGTCCTGGCTGCGGAGCTTATCGAGGCTGTCACGAACAGTCTCGCGAATACTGAAGCCACCGAATAGCCAGTCATTTGAGTGACGACCGTAGTGGCTGACGGTTCCACTGTAGCGTTTGTAGTCGTCGCTATTCTTGCGGCTGAGAGTAGATGCACGCTTAGTGTAGTCCATCTTAGGGAACTGGGGTGAACCCATGCTGGACATCTGGGTGGGGCTGGTTGAGATGTAGCCTTGATCCGGGAAGTATGAAGTTCTGAGATTCTGCGGGATATCACGAGGCTGCGACATTGTGTCTTGGTGGCTCTTTGAGATATCTATTGGTGCAGAAGGCTTGGATCGGAAGGTCTTTGAAAAAAAAAAAAAACAGTTTGGAGTGGTTCTACTCTTGAGAAAACTTGCTAGAGCCTGAGGTAGCTGATGTAGTTGAGATTTGGAGATCGATCTCTTAAAATAGATGGCCCGAGTGTGAGGATAAATATGAAGTAGAGGATGAAAAACAGAAATGAAGAAGCCTGCGGGAGGGATTTATTTATGTTCAAGACACTCAAGTAATTCCCCAGTTGAGATCGTCGGTGCCCTGTAGGGCAACCAACCAAACTGCAGCACAAAGTACAAAATTGTAGCTATGATGTAGTCAAACACGGACAAAGAAAAGCCTCTAGTAGAGAGATACCAATCAGCTTTAGAGAAGATGACAGGGAAATAGACTAGTCTCCATCTCAACCAATAGAAGAAATGAACAAGTTGAATCCACAGGGTTTAGTGTGTCGGTGAGATTGACAGGTTTGGAGGGTCAAAGTGCCCTGTTGCCCGTCCATCAGCCAATCAGAAATTGTTTCTGCCTTAAGAGCCTCCTCTTCCCGCTCTTTGGACCCCGCAGATTCACCGACCTTTGTGTTTTCTTGACACGTCAACAATTCTTCCAAGGTTTTCATAAACCTATTCCTATCCTCTGTACTCCTATACCCCGTACTCTCTTCGGAATATATGCAAAGAAAAACATAGATATATTTCTTCCTTTCGGGATTGTGACTTATTACGCCCAAGTGGGTCATTTTGGTGGGTTCTCCAGGTTAGAATAAACAAGAATTCGGAATGGACGAAGCCCTGTTAGACATCCCTGTGCTCCATTTTCTTCTTTCGACCAATGAAATATGCTAACTTTCCTTCTAGCACCCTTCTAGAATCCCGTGCTAACCGAGGGACACGGGATACCTGAGTGAGTCACCTGGCCCCCACAAGTCTGTCAGCTCAGCGAGTGCATAAAAGCGATGAAGACAAGTAATTGGCTCCAACCATTTAAATCCCCCCAGTGGGGAGGTTATAATGATGTCAAAGTTTAGAAAACGCTAACTATCCTTGAGAGAGATTTGGTCATAACCTATACGACAGTCTCCGAACTCATTATAACCATGTCTTCTCGTTTATTCCTTCCTTTTTATTCTCGAGGTGCAGTGGTTTGTTCAAATATTTGATATTCGGCCATTTGAGTAGTATCAATAAACATTGTATCTTTATTCAACAAAAGGGAAATAGCCGAACTCCACCACTCCTTCAGGTAGAGCAGTTTGGCGAGAACACCTTGCCTTGAAAAAATAGCCACATTGTGGGAAGAAAACAGGCTTTATCCGGAGGTCTCAGGTTTTTTTTTTCCCCCTTGAATTACTGTCTTAATAAAATAAACAGTTGGATATTATTATTCTCTCAAACAGAAGGCAAATGTATAGAAAAGCCATTTTTTGGAAGCATACGACACTAAAGAACCGTTGGAATACCTAGGTACCAGCCATCTGTTAAATAAACACAGGTCGATTCAGTATGGCAGTAGCCCATTGAGCCACAGGTACAGCCTGGGTCTAGAGCCCTAGGAAAGCACATTCGCCTTCCACTTTTTCCTAGGCCACTGACCATCTTCTAGGCTCCGCATGACGATTAATCCTAGGAGAGATGCCTGTTGACCTTTATGTATTTCAGGATTTGAAGATACCAGAAAGTAGATATTTTTGTGTCAACCGAAAAAGGCAAAACCAGCCTCATCGGAAAGTCCAATGAGAAACGTTGCTATATCCCTGTGTGAGACCCCTTTCAAATTTGCAAATATTTGTGACAAGATATATTGTGATCCACGGATTGCATAAGAAGTCGTGAGACATAAAGTCGTGGTGTGACATTCGACTAGAGGATGAAGTACTAGGTCTGTTCTTGCTCCTCGGGACACAATGCAGGGCATGTTTCATTGTGAGACAAGATGGGGTCTACAAAGGATGGATAAGTCTTGAGAATGGTGAGTTATATGCTGGAAATTATGACCATCTGTCTTTTTGGGTGCCTAAAAGGTGCTCAAAAGAACTGAGGTGAAGCAAGGATTTTTTGCTAGTTTCCTAAATCAAGATTTCTTTTCTACGTAAGAGTTAACTTGAGCCGCCTAATATCGAAGAGATTCCAAGTTTCCTAAATAAGATCTGAATGAGGTATAGATGATTATAAGGTTCAATGTCTCGCAAAAGTCAAAAATATAAAAAAAATAAACTTCGTACTTGCCGTCTCCTTATCGGCAATTCCATTCTAACCTTCAAAAGTCGGAAGTAGCGAATTGGATAGAACCCTTCAACCTGTTAAACATGTTGAACCTTAAAATTCCGTACAAAAACCCACTTCGTGAAATGACCATACGAAATACTCCATACTAAATCCTATACCTTCATTTATACGAAACCACTCAATACTCAAGTTTCCGCCATGCACCCCACTTAAACACCAGTTCGGCGATTGTATCATGTTCCGGCACGGCACGAGCTGCAGGCGAAATATTGGCCAAAATGATCATTCGTCGCTCATATGCAGAATGTCGTATGTTTCTACGTGGGTCTTGCCTCAATAGGTTAGGAATGTTGGAACTCGATCCGCCTAGTGGATATGCATATACTATAAACCGGAACTATAAATCCGGATGTCTAGTCAGATTAGGCAGGCTTTTCCTTTTCCTTTTGTTCTTTTGCTGATGCGAATAACCTTGGAAGTCTCTATGCTTAATCTAGTATCTATATTGCATATGAGACTTGCTGACACGTGTATAATATATATATCTGCCCCTCTCATTAATATATTCTATGCAAAGCCTGTGGATACACGAAGCCAAAAGTTTGCGCTACCGGCCCCATTCTGTTTATCACAGCGGCTATTTATCGTCCCTTTTCTAGAAAGAAAATGGAGATACTATTACAAACCTTATTTATAGCGGTGGATGCTTATCTCATGCAAGTCATTATGAAACAGGAATCATGACTGGAGTGAGTTCACCCGGAACTAGAACATTCTACAACATACTGGGTGATCACCATGCCCATTACACTTGGCAAGGTTTGATTATGGGGCCATTTGGTCCTTTTGCCCGGAGCCGAGAACCAGTAAGAAGACGATAGGAATATCAATATCCCCGGGCTGCCCCGGGAGGACATTTTGCGCGAGGTCGGGATTCAAGACCGGTGTTTGAAGAAATAGGCGGTCACCCCAGAAGCCTACATACGCTAGGAGGGCGAAAGGAGAAAGTCCCAAATTTTTTCCACATGGACCGAGGGAAAGCGGTCGTGATTCGTTCTTAACTATTTGATATGCAACGACGTTGAGATCTGTGGAGATTAACATTTGGTCTGGCGTTGGTTAGTGTATGCGCTAATATATAAAGGGAAACTCTTTGAGACCAGGAATAGTCAGCGGCACATGATGTGATTAAGGGTACGAATCAGAAATTATCAGAGATAAAGTGATACAAATTGCGTGAGACCAGTTGATGGTCCTGCATTTGAGAAGGACATATTACTCTCCCCGAAGTGGCAATCCTCCGCGTGTTCAAGAATAAAAAAGAACATTGAGGTACAGGTTAAACGGTTAAACATGAGTAACGCCGGAGATTCCCCGAATCAGGTAAAAAGGAAGAATGCTTTACATCATTCAGTCACATACGCTGCCATGCGGCGATATCCGCAGCGGAGATGTCCAAATTTTCAGCCGTAAGCCGCTGTAGTCGTGCCACCTGGGTGGGAGCTAGAGTTTTGAGTATCAGCAAAGATCTGAAAGAAGCAAGCAGGGGGCTGCAAATATTGGCCCCAATAGGAGGAGTGTCATGGCCGAATAGGGGCAGATCAACAGACAGCGGGAAGGAAGAGAAGGAAAGGTAAAAAGGGATCCGAAACAAAGCGCAAAGGAAATTGACCCACTTGGCCGTTGGGCAGCCGCACCGGCGTGGACATGGATCACTGTCGAATCAACATACTCCTTCGTTACCACGCCGTTATACGAAGCTGCGCTAAGCATCACTCGCAGCCGAAACCTGCCAGGCTGCGAGACAGTGAGCGGACTGAGTTTCGCATATCCACTCATTGAGTTGTCGGCTCGGCTCCGAACGCTCGCCGTGAGATTACCACTCAGGCCAACGGCTGCTCCTGTGCCAGATTCGTCGCGCAGAGAGGCGCTCACGACAAGATGCTGCACATCTTGCGCCGGTGTCCCGATTGGGTTCACGGCGATGATTACTGGGATTGTGAAAGGGGAACCGGGTTTGGCGGCCGTTGGCGGAGTAGTCTCAAAGGACAGTGTGAATTCACGACCGGCCATTTTTGTTGCTGTGGAATGGTATGATGTTTTGGGATAGACGAGTTGCGTTGGGTCACTTCTTGATATCAAAGGGATTCAGGCTTCTGCTTCAATCCAATTGAGAAGTAATGGGAGTGAAGAGATCTTGGACCTGTAACCGTGAAGTATAATTAAACAAGAGTTGGATGGAAGAGAGACGAGAAGAATAGGGAGAGATTGATGCGATGGGATCAGGGTATAGGGCAACCCAATTTAGAGCTCTGAGAATAATGGATACGAGAATCAGGTCAAGCATACATGGTCGTACCCAGGGCTTCATATACCTTATGACACTCGCCCAGAACAATACAAGACATAATTTGGACCCATAACCTCAATTGTGGTACTCACGATGGGGCCGCTCAAATGTCGCCACCATCCAAAAGTACATAAGTACACGATTAGCCTGAGCGATGGTCTGTGAGACCAGGTAGCCGGGACGGCCATGGGTCGTCATCCCCGCAGAAACAAATTTGTGAGCTCAATAAAAGGTCTGCGGCATAATGCAGGATCCTTGCAGCAACACGTTCCGGCAGCAGAATCCAACAGTGGGGCGAGCGTGTACGGAGGTACATACTTTGTTCCTATTTGGGATGATCGACGGGTACGTTCTAATAAAATACCAAGCGTGGAGAAGCTACGGGATCTGTGGGTTCGAGATGCACTGCACGAGATCTGAAGCTAGTGTCAGGATCGGCCCCGGGATTCCCTCACGGCAGGGGTTCCACTATAATCTCCAGAACAAAGCTATTTCGCACACCCTGATGTACCCGAGAAAACCTGACAAATCTGACATGGAAACGGCTTGGCATGCACGACTGACGTTCATGCGATGGGAATTTTGAATTCAGACACAGGGCCTCAAGGGGATCGTGTGGTGACTTGGGGGCCTATCCTTTCAATAGTTCCGTGCACGGATCAAGCAGCGGGGTCCTGCCCAACGTCGTTTCGTCCCTCTCGCAGCATCGGCCTCTTGTCATTCGGCTACTGGCGCTTGGGTAAGTCGCAAATATCACCGCTGAGCCGGGATGTGGCGCACCACTAGTATGAAAGTATGCTGGTCCGGTCGTGTTGGATGTGGCGCACCACTAGTATGCAAGTATCTCATCTTGGTCATGGTATCATGGTATGGAGCACCACATAAAAATGAGTTAGCTTTGTTATGGAGGGGCCTACTCCTACTCCACCTAGTTTGATATGATCCCCGACTCGGGCCAAAGGAATTTCTGGCTTTGTCTAATCCCTTTACCCAGCAAATGCAAGCCGCACCCCAACGGTAGACTGTGGCGTCTGCGGAGCCGAGTGAACATCATAGCCACTCGGAAACCCCGATATATCCCATTTCGAACTCTGCCTATTTTGCGAGATGAGAATTCTTATTCTTTTTTTTTTTTTTTTTCAAAATCTATCAGAACAGTGATGCCTAATGTGGATAGAGAATGTTGGATTGGTGGGTAAATGTTGTAGCCGCGGGCTTTTAACCGGATATATCAGCCCCACTAGCCCCGGTCGAGACTTGCCTCTTGATAGATATTCCATGTGGATGACAGGGAAATTGGTTCGCAATATGAGGTGAACTCCACCAGAAGCTTGAAACATTTGTCTGATCCTATCACTTCATTTAAGAACTGGGCGATCGTCCCGACGATCTCATCAATAATTCAAATTAGTTGACGCCTCGTCGGTGCGGTGGAAATAAATACTCTGCGGAGTACCGGAAAAAGATATATCCTTTGATTTTACTGGCCCAAAGCCCTTAATTGGGCAGAAGATTTTAACGCAGGCGCATGCAGAATGAAGTCTGATCCCAAGTGCTGGGAAATGATGCAGCTGCGAGACAGGACTTGGTGCTGAACCTAACCAGACGAGAACGATGATCATCGAAATAGGATAAAAGGAAACCCATCAAAACTGGAAATGATAACCCTTGCATATGCAGAGCCTGAAGCCCGACAAAAAGCAAAAGCAAAATACAGACACAACCTTGTTTCAAAAAGTAATAATCGCACCGCCACGATGCCAGCCGCAAGTGGCTCGAGCGTGGCTGATTTGTGGCTAGAACTGCAAGGAGTGGAGTCGGTGTGGCTGTGGATCGATACATTTCCTAATTTGGCAAGTGGACATAGATCGAGAGTTCCCCGACTCGATCGTCGATCATTCCCAAGGGTCATGAGTTCATCTGAGATCCATTTGCTGATCTCCGAGATTTGATCCTGGATTTTGGGATTTGTTAGTGTCTCTACTTTCGTATTTTGCCACGCTAATGGTGCCTGGTACGTCTAAAATTCTGTTGGATTCAGATGAGTCGTCAAAAAATGTGAATGCCTGGAGCTGCAAACTTCGCACTACGAACTATACATGAATGTGGGAGATATCCACCATTGCTATCTAGCTTGTGATTATCAGTGGAACCCAAAAAATAGAGGATAAGTCACGGAGATAAACAGCATGGAGTCCTGAGTTATGGAACATTGTGAGCCGAATAGAACCCTTCTCCACGACTGATCGAGGGGGATCTTCAGCAGAGATCAACCACTACATTGTATCCGTTGCCAACTCTGAATTGCTTGTCCGCACAATCCGGTCCATCCGAATGCCTACGCTAGCCCTAAACAGAGGTCGAGCATAATTAGGTAAACGTAGCCGTATATTGACATCCAACAAAAATATATATGGTGATCTGATTAGATTCTCCCAAAGATGACTGTATTGGTTGTTACGATGAGGAATGGTTCATGTTAATGCTTATTCACTGTCTCGATGATACCTGTGCATACACGGGTCCTGACTCTGATGATGTTTCTATATTCAATAGTAAATATTAATCCTTTTGCTCGTCCTTGATGGGCGATGACTTGGAGGTACCGCAAATAGCTCGATATAGATAGACGTTTAGGTCCATTGTAGAACATTTCGCAACCATGTAGTATTTGTCATTATGTTTTCATCGCAGTAATAAACACCCTGAAGAGACATTGCTGTAATAAATTTGGAAAGAAATGTCGAAGTAAAAATGGTAGGCAAGTTCTGTGCCTGACTTGCAACTTCCTCATCTCTCCACCCTCTCTCTCATTTGCACATTGCGAGCAGACAGTCTTGACGACGCCTACTCTATATCTTTACCGATTTCTGGACAGTATACCAAGCTTTCACTAAATGGCACCACTGAGCACTCGGCAGAGCCACTCTCTAGTTCCTGGCATCCCACGTCCCCCAAACCGACCTCCAAACATTGCAGTCAAAGTTCATAAGTCAATCGAACCCTCGGTATTTGTTGACCTATTGGTTGGAACTGTTGGAATATTTATAATTGCAGTCTTGTTTTGGAAAACTGGGCGGTTCATCAGACGATTCAATCGAAACAAGGTACTGAGAGCAGGCAAAAATACCAACACCCGATATGCACGCACATGGTATGGCTGGGTCGCGTGGCCAACACACGAGAGAAATAAAAGACTAATTCATGACTTCTTCGCTCGAATTTGGAAGTTAATGGGGTGGAAATCTACCCGAGACGACTACAGTTGGATTTGGTGGGATCCAGGCGATGTGGAAAAGCAAAAGCGACAAGAACGGAGAGGATTTCGTTGGATACCAAATTGCCTTAAAAGCTATGATGATTTTCCGACCGCCAATGAAATTTGGAATCCTTGTTCCCCACCGAAGTGTCACGGAGCTTTGGAGGACGCAGTCTCAATGCCCCAACCTATTCTAGCGACGGGCTCTGTACGGCGGCAGCACGCGCATGAGGAGATATCGGAAGCAGGCCTGCCACGGCAATCCAAGCTGATAAACAACCCGCCAGTTATTACTCGTTCAATCATGGAGGAACTCCTCAGAGACCCACTACAGCCAAATGATGGCAGTTCTGACCACCAACCCTGGTTTAATTCTCGCAAGAATGCAGCAAAGCCATTTACTCGCCCATCAATGCCACTCCACCAAGTCCAGTCATTACCATCTCGACAGAATCAATACTACCAAATGCGAGGATCAATACCATGGTCACATGGTGAGGGGTCTCGAGCTATGTCATGTCAAATCGAAACTGTCGTGCAACATGAGGGTCTTCAATGTGAAATAGCGGAGCCGAGTGGCTCAACGTATACAAAAGAACACAGACCATTTCATCGACATGATAATCATCGCAGATACCGTGGGTGGTCAGCACGAATGCAGATGGGACAAAAAGAGGCAGCATTTGACAACTTAGGGGATTCATCTGGCCCTCCAGGGACACCCCGGACTGAGTTGTTGGTCAGCTATGTCTCGGATCCGAGTTCGTCTCTTCGTGGCCGCCTCAAGAGGAAGCGAAATAGCACTGCAGGGCACTTGCGTATCTCGGAAGATAGAACGTCGTTGACTTCCAGAATCCTCTTTGGAAATCAAGTTTTGTCCTCAAGTGAACAGCAGACATATACGAAAACAATCCAATGGAATTCAGCCCCAGCAAGATGCCATCCTGAAGGAAAAGCGACCAACTCGAAAGCGAGACCAGCATTGTCCGATGAATGGCGACTTTTGTGTGACCGAAAACATCCTACCATCTCCCACCGTGAAGGGAAAAGGCCGAGAATAGACGTCACTCGATGCTTCTCAGATAAAATCCAGCTTAAAAGAGGAGGAGCCGTGGATGAGTTGAGTGATTGGGAGGTGAGAATGATGGAGAGGATGGATCGAAAATTGTTATGGCTCTTCAACGAATTCACTCCAGGGCAAAAACCATATCACTTTGCCTTACTAGCCAACCACTGGCTGAATAGAGAAACATGGATTGTTTACGATCCCGTATCCAGAGTTTCCACCGATGCACGTCGAGCGTGGGGAGACCCACGATTCAACGTTCCTTATCCACGGCCGGTTTTCAGCCCCAGGCCAAAATACCCTGCGTCCAAACAGAAGCGCGCGCAGACTCCTCGTATCGACTCCTGGCGGGCCGCAGTGAATAATCAGCGGAAGGTATCTGGCATACGAGACGCCATTCGCACCATTACACTGTACGATGAATCGGTCGAGGATCCGCCAGATGGCCATATCGATACAGGTTGCTGGGCTTTGCCGAAACCGCCCCAGGGCTTTGAGATGTCCACTGCGCAGAAACATGCCTGGTATGAAGGAGGGGCAGGTTGGCAAGAGACACTTGACGACTGGCAGCATGTCCGCCGAGGCTATCGTGTCCACAAAGCCCTACACGAAGGCCGAGTCAATCGGGGCAGGATCAAGGAAGTGGCAGCTCAAGTCAACAAGCGTTGTCGTACTGCATCCGGAAAATTGATCCCAAGCTATGATCCCGGCAAAAGAAGAGCTTGAAACTTCTTTGTCTCATGATTTTTCTCAAACCGGTCGCCTTGTACACAGTCCCTTGTGTTCATTCTGTCTTGCCTTACTCGTGGACCTGTAGCCCAATATTTTTTTCGCACTCCGCATTCATTTGAAACACATTCAAACTCCTGGTGCTATACGCCCACTACCACCATGTCTGTCGCTGCATCTATATCATTAGTATACCCCGGGAATCCCGGGATTGAACAAAAAGAAATATCCTTGCCAAAATGCATTTGAATTGAAAGCCTGATCTAAGCGCTGGGGTAATCATGGAACATTGTAAGCCACCATCCTCTTCAGAGTGGCCGCGCTGCAAATTCCAAAAAGCCAAAACTCCGGTTGTCCATATGTTGTTTTTCGCTCTGACAAGTCCCCCGCCAGAGTCGAGTTCGGATGTATAGTACATGTGCGGGGGAGAAAAATCCGTTTAGAAACCGGGAGGGTTGACACGTTGGCTGACACGAGTCCACTTGGGGAGCTCTGAAGGCGAAGAAAGCGGTTAGTTCAGCCGATCCACGCAGTCATAAAATGCCAATTGGCATAAACATGTAGATGTGGGAATAAAACATACTGTGAATGCTCTTCCGGTAGCTCTTCTCCTTCTTATCGAAGAGAGTGTATTTGTCCTTGGGCAGCATTTCCTCCTCGCGCGGCATCTCCGCAAACCACCGGGTCACAGCCTTGGAGGTTTGGCCATTGCGCTCGAGTGCAGCACTGACGGTGTCGACGACCCGATCCACGTTGCGCAGGCGCTTGCGCTGTCGTGCCTTCTGAGGGGAGGAGAGACGCCACGGGGTCTTCCTATTATTCGGCCAGAAATGTTAGCTTGGGTTCGATTAATTATGACTCTAGTCGTAGGATCAAGACGCACCAGAGAAGACCGCCGAATAGTGCTTGGGTTGATTTGAACATTGTTGGTTGGTGGTGCTGTCAGGGTGTAGCCGGGAGAAAATCGTGCTCGGAGTCGGGAGTGTAGTTGGTCCGTGCACTTGATGTATAAAAAAGTTACTGATTGAATGGATCATTTACTGAGTGATATAGTTGATATAGGGATATTGCTAACTTAACCTTAGACAATAAGCTTAATTGTTCATACTGGCTCATTACTATGCAGTTTATATTATTGAAAAGTGGTAAGGCTGGCCTCTGTTGATTCACTGTGAATGGTTACCCCAACCAAAATCATGTGATTTCCGTAATCTGTCGATTTCCAGGGACGCAATAATTTTCTACAACTACACTTGAGTCAATTACGTCTGCTCTTCGGAGAACATACTCCTTTCCAAGCTATCATTAGCTTGTGTAAAGCGTTTTCTTGTTCATGGATTGCGCATAGCAGCTTTATACCATCCATCATGGACTCGAGCGCAACTGCAGAGGCCCCGTCCCTCCCTTGGAGGGCTTTATCCAACACAACAATGTGGGGAGTGGCGGGTCTATGTCGCGGTTTCCTTTCGGTTTTCTGTCACGCAGAATGCCACGGGAAAGAGGCATTCACGGAGCTGTTAGACTCTCGACGTGACGTTTCGCAACGGACACGAGGATTGATTACAGGTATGCCGGGACACAACAACGTTCATTCGACTGATACAGTTGCTAATTGATTTATTTGAAAATAGTCTCTAATCACATTAGCGTGTACGTGCCTCTAACAGCCTCGGATCGAAACAATCCATACTCCAAATGTGAAGATGGCTGACATTGCGCCGGGATACCAGAATGGATGACCCATTACTATGGGGGATTTTGCCTCCGCGATTTTGGAATAAGCGGTGGTCTTTTGGAAGCTACGATATTTGTTACCAAACGAGGTACATATTTACAAGTTTACTGGAATCCTTCTATGGATTGTTGTGCTGATTGTAATCGCAGACCACTGTCGCTCTTCTTTACCATGGGACAGGTGCTGCCCACTCACCGTTCCGCGCATTCTACATTTGGTGGCCTAGCTCAACCCGCTATGACCGAGGCTATTCGCTTGTTATCGAAGGGTCCTTTCCCCCTTGACCACCACCGCGCCGTACCTGAACGTCAACGCTGGAGCTGGCATAATGTCTGTGTGGATCCCTTTTCTGACCTCCAAGTTGCCTACACAACCGATGGCAAGGACTCGCACCTGGCGCCTACCGCATATTCCTGTAACTCGAATTCGTGGGTCCATATCTTCCCCGAAGGCAAGATTCACCAGTCACCGCGAAAGACCATGCGCTATTTCAAGTGGGGAATCGCGCGACTCATCTTAGAGCCCAAAGAGTGTCCTGATGTGGTTCCGATGTGGATTGAAGGCTTCGACGATGTCATGCACGAGAGTCGGGAATTCCCGCGATTCCTTCCTCGGCCTGGCAAAAATGTTAGCGTTACCTTCGGCTCCAAGGTAGAATCGGAAGTTGTATTTGGGGAAATGAGATCTCGATGGCAGAAATTGAAAGCTAGGGTCGAGAAGAGCCACCCCGATTCCCGAGATATGCCTCTGGGGGTGCTAAGTGATGAGCTGTTGAACGACAAGGAAGCTATCGAGCTGCGCAAAGAGGTCACCTTGAAGATTAGGAACCTTGTATTGGACGTTCGCCGATCGCGTGGATTGCCTGATGAAGACCCGAAGGAGGGCTTGGTCGAGACCTGGCTGGAGGAGGGTCCCAAGCGTGAGGGCCATATGAAGGACGATTCGTGGGTTCGGGATATCTGAGCCCGTATGCACATATTGTACAACATGTTATAGATTTGATTATGAGCAACAGTGAGATATGGGCACTGGTACACTTTCTACTAGTTTTTCTTCTTGTTGTCTATCCCTTTCAGCCCTAAATGCCAACCTTTTGTGCTACAAAAGGTAAAGATCTGGCAGTACCAGGGCGGTGACTATTGTATTGGATCAAATGTGGGGGCGATAAGCGATAAAGGCGGGACAGCTTCCCGGAGGCACTCACAAGGTTGGCCAAACCTGCAGCTCGACCGATGCCCAAAAAGCGCCAGCGATTTTACGCAAAGCCAGCCAACTCTGCACATCATAGACTTGCATTATCTGGGTCTCGTCAACATGGCGGGTCTGGGGTGCAGGGATCCGCGTCAGCGACGTCAGTCAACGACCTGATCAGTCACCTCCGCCGTACACAGACGCCTAGTGCTTCCGATGATGATTCCTCAAGCTCTCAAGTTCCACAGCGCTCATTTGTGGCTCCACGTTCAGTCCATCCCGCTCTTCGGGATGTACTCGAACTCCCCGCGCCGCCGCCGCCGCGACCTCGCCCCGGCGTTCATCGCACGGTATTCGGGGTTCGTCCATTTCGACCAACTGTTGGGCCCCCGGCCCCTGCGAGTTGGCTCTCTGGGAATAATGAATTGGGAGACCAGGGATCGCATAGGCGGATGTTGGGAGATTTAGGGGAGGAAATACACCGGCTAAGCCGCCTTCGGGGGCCGCGGTTTCCGGACCAGAGGAGCCTGGTACATTTGATGCTGAAATCCATGGCTTTGAACTGGAGTTGGCATGTTGAATATGATGGACCTTTTCTGTCCCATCTTCCAAATCATATCAAGGAATTGCTTTTGAGTTACATTGCTGTCTACGCAAGAGGTTCGCCTCTCGCAGGGCACATGAAGGGGCTGAAGCCGCTTTTCTTGACCCGGCAAGATCAGGATCAAATTGGCGAGCAGAACCCAGATTTCAACGAGTCGAGGGTTGTTGACGCGGACTCCAAAATAGCGCGGTTGGATCTGGGAAATGCGCTGGGAAACTGGATAACTTTAAAGCAGCTCACACACGAGATGATGGTCTCGCCAGATCCAGCTGTGGGTGTCTCAGGTCACGAAATAGGGGAGGATGTCCCAAATTCATGGGACGAACATGTTCACAACGGCACTGCGGAGGCTATACTTGATCATTTGCCAGCTCCGCCCATACCCAAGGCCATCACCCAGACCCTACGCTTCCCCGAACTCCGTGCTTTATCCCTGGCACACCCGACTCCTAGTGCTGCGAATTGGACCGCTCTTCTCAATCTTCTAGCGCATTTGCCAACCCTCACTCATCTCTCGCTTGCGCATTGGCCTATACCGTGCCGAAATCCACGCGCTGCGACCGCTCGCATTCGCGGCCAAGTGGCCCGCTTCTTGACCCCAGACGCCCTTGACGACAACTGGGCGGAATCTGCAACTATCCTTCGCCAGCTCTCTCGTTCGACCTACTGCCTGAAATGGCTGGATCTTGAGGGCTGCGGTGATTGGCTACCAGCCTTGAAATGGGTTGGAAAAGACCCGGATGGGTTTCCACAAAGCCCTGATACTGTTGGCCCGGAGTGGAACAGATCTTGGAGAGATGTCGAATGGCTTGGGATCGGCACTGGCTTTCTGTATTCGAAGTCTCATGACTCGTCGGAGTCTTCTATCCTTGAAAATCACCTCCAAAATGCGCGTGATGTACTGAAGCACATTCGGCAAATAAGGAGGGGGAGGAAATGGCTCGAAATCGAGCTGGGGTCAGGGCTACAAGACGTTGAACCTGAGATGGTCAGATTGCCGGATGGGCAGGACTTCTCAGTTTACTTATGAAAATCTGCTATATGCACAATGTAATATTGAGACCTGTGATTTACTGGATGTAGTCGGTTTTGCCGTTTCTGCCCTAGCGCCCCAATACACCGTCCTCTTCCTCCATAGATTTGACATGAAAGACCCGACCTCACTCTGTCGATCACTTTTCTCCTTCCTCTCCTCCCTTCGATTCCTCTATCGTGCACTCATCGCTGTCCCCTTTCTTTCCCTCTAGCCCCCACCGACCCCTGTGCCTTGGCTTTCAGCCCGACGCACTGCCCCTTTCATTTTACAGGAAATGCCGCTCGATCGATTGCCCAGCTAGTTCTTGCTCTTCCCTTTGAATGGCAGGTGCATAGGGGTAGAACCACTGGGGTGATCCAGCTCGCAGTGGCATCGCGAGCCAATCCCTTTCAATTCACTAGTCTCCTCATTTTTCTGAGGATAGTGTTGAAACTAGTGCTCTTTACCATGTGGAAAATCTAGGAGACTACAAGTTGGTATGCTCTCTGGAAATCTTGTATTGTGTAAAGGAGAAGGAGAGCGAGACTACAGAGATGACTAGATAGCTGGGAGCAAACAGGACAGGTCAGATGACCTCAGACAATAATACATTAATAACTTTGAAGTTATCCTATTGTTGAATACGATGCCTGTTACCTACCAAAAATACCAATAAGTTTCCAAAGCGACCGATCACGCTCCTCATAGGTTTAAAGTTCTGTAAAATACATAAGTACGGCTGAGAAACCACTGGATACTCTCTACACTTAGCTAACCATTTTAGGCTAGCTTACTTATGCGAACTGTAAGACTGTCTGCTGTCTGTGGCGGAGCCTTTCTAACTTAGTACGAGGTATGTATATAGATCACATCTGCCAAGTAATGGCCCGTAGGATGAATCGCTAATCTAGAATAAACACAGAAGTCGAGATTGCAACCACCTTATTCACTCCAAATGCTTGCCCAGTTGAAGAGGCCAATAACCTCACTGGGCTATCTCAGGTCGATCTCAAATATCACAAATGCAGTCCAAGACACTCAACTTGACTCAGGTAAAGATTTCAAGAAATTCCCTGAGGTTGAGTTTGACGAATGATTCTGACAGAAAGGTCTAAGTGATAGTAGAGAGATCAAGCTCCGTTGTTGCAACGACACCCCAGGAACTACAATTTCTTCAAGCTGTTACAGGGGTCAAGGTCGATAGCGACGAGCAATTATCCTCTCATCAACGCTCATGGCTTGAATATGTACGGCAACAAGTCCGTCGCTACCCTACGAGCGAGCTTTCAGATCTGCTTGTCCGAGGCCAATATTCTGGAAATTCTCATTCTTCAGCAGAGAGTCTCACGACAGAATGTTTCTTGTTGCTCACCCGGCTGGGTAAAATCATGGGAACAGAGCATCATTTAAGCCTTGATGATGCGGTGCAGTTGTTGAGTGACCCGAGTCACCAACACTTGAGTTCGGATGCCTTGCAGCCGCCTCTCAGAAATAGAGCCCGCACCTTTGTCTTCAGCTGCGTTTCGTGGATGACAATGCTTTACTCCTCAAGCTTTCAACCAGACTTTGAAAATCTATACCTGGACAATGCCCAATGCTCATCAATTGTCCACGCTCTACCGTCTGACAGGGCCGAGACTCCACTTTGTGAGTTTCTTCAAGAATTTGGTCCTCTCCTACCGGTCAAGAATGATCCGATCATATCTAGGACGGCAGGCGCCGTCTTCTTTGCCGACTCTCTTTATGTGTCTTTACTCAACGCGGCAACTCTTTCAAATCTCGGTGGGATTCAGATCGAATGGATTGACAATATCAGCTCGCATCTTCATTTTGACTTAGAGGCCAAAAAGCTTTTCATGTTCCGTCTTCCTTCTTTTTGCCAAGTCCATCACCATCAATCTGTCGCACTATCCAGGTAAGTAGGATCGATTTCTTAGATTCATTATATCGACTGCATCTGACGCTAGCAGATTACTCGATGAATACTATGACGAGTTTAGTCGTCCGACGGGTTTTACTCGTAACGCTTTTTTTAAGGAGATCCGATTATCGTACCAGTTAGTTTTCGGTGATTCATCCTCCTCACGGCGTTTCTTCAAACGGAAAGAGCTACGGCGCCTGCGCAAATTTGGGTCTATAGACCCCGAAATTAGCCAGCTATGCGGCGTCGTCTCACGCATTTCTCATCCACGGGACTCGTACAGCATGATAACCGACTTTCCAATCTTTGCTTCACGATTATCTACTTTACAGGACCACCTTCTACGACAAAACCCGAATTCACTTCGCATGATTTGGCGAGACACGCGCAACTCATACCAGTGGTGGACGTTCTGGGCGGTCGTGATTATTGGTGGGTTCGGCATCTTGCTTTCGTTGATTCAGACGGGTTTGGCAGCCGCGCAAGTATATTATGCCATACATCCTGTAGGCTCAGGACAAGGGTGACCATGACTATGAATAAAGGAAATTGCTAAATTGGCTCTGAATTACTTATGTGCTAAGGCCTAGGAAGGGTATATCCATACCACCATGATTAGCCATCAATATTTCCGAATATAGCTACATAGGAAAAAGCAATCAATCAAAGAGACTGTGTATATGAAGTACGTAAGATACCCCTCAGCCTATACCAGGGGTTACAGAAGTGAGGCGGTCTAGTCATGCATTTCACTCCAATTAGAGACAAAGGGGGCCACATCTATTAAAAGCCCCTCTTTCCATCTAGGCAGCGGCGGCTCGAAATTATAGCAAAGCAAGAAGCTGTAAAGGGCAAACAAAGATTACGACTTGACTGAATAGCGAGTCTCTTTTAGAGAGTGGCTTGCTGCAGTTTGCTTTTAGCGTAAAAGTTGTCAATTTATCATCACATGCAAATACATGTGTATTTAATATATAAAATCTGTAACGTGCATGCACTTAATACAGTCAATATACAACTGTTTACATACAGGCGTGAAAATTGAGAGCGGTATTTTTCAGTTTGAGCCTTAAGCTTGGCATTTCTGGGGGACTTGCGTGCTCCCCCCACTTATCATTAGCTTCCTCCACTATTCCATGTTACGTACCTAGTGGTACGAGTGGTATAAACCATAATTCCAATGCGATTCTGCTCTTCACAGCTTTTCCTTCTGGCTTCACCAGTACATTCCTGTATTACTTTGCAGCCATCCCAATTTCGGTTTCAATCTTCCCTTTCTTCGCACTTTTCACGCCTGACTATGTCTTTCAACCCTTTAACAGCGACAGCGGCATCTCTCCAGGAGAGACTAAACAACGGTTCCATTACCAGCAAGGACATTGTCCAGCAATATTTGAGCCAAATAGAACGATATAATGGGTACCTAAAGGCTGTTATTGCTACCACTCCCGAAGATCTGCTCTACCAGCGAGCCAGCGAGCTCGATAGCGAGCGTGCCAGTGGCTCTGTCCGTGGACCTCTTCATGGAATCCCAATCCTCGTCAAGGTGAGTATATACCCTCTGAACTAGAAGCAATTGCTCCGCAAATTTTGCGCACATTTCATGCAGCCTGACGAGAGTTCCAGGATAACATCGCGACAGGCCCAGAATTAGGGCTTCCAACCACGTGTGGCAGTCTCGCGCTCGTCGGCTCAAAACCACGGAAGAACGCGTCTCTCATTGATCGAGTACGTCGAATTCCTGTATCCAAGGATTGACTACTGATTGTTCTAAAGCTTGTAGCTGCCGGTGCAATCATCCTAGGCAAGGCCAACCTTTCGGTAAGTGGTCACCCTCAGTATATGATTCTGTGGTTGCCTCTTTCTCACTTTCATAGGAATGGGCTTGGTACAGGTTTGTATATGACATTGTCAAGAAACAGGATGATAGTTAATTTTTTCACCAAGATCCGACTTGGCCGATTCTGGCTGGTCTGCCGTAGGTGGCCAGACTCAGTCCCCATATGCCCGAGGCGGTTTCCTCGAAGATGATACTAGTGGTGGTCACAGCGTAAATTCAAAGTTTTTACTCATGGGAAAATATTTTCTGACTGCTCCATAGAACCCCGGTGGCTCTTCCTCGGGCTCTGCTGTCTCGGTCGCAGCTGGCTTTTGTCCTATCTCGATCGGCACCGAAACCATGGGATCCCTCATCATGCCAAGTGATAGAGCAGCTCTTTATACAATCAAACCCACAGTCAAGCTCATTTCGCAAGATGGGATTATCCCAGTGACTCACGAAGCCGACTCTGCTGGCCCAATGGCCAAATCAGTCCAGGATCTTGCAGATCTTCTCGATGTTCTTGTGGACTCAGAAAAAAATAATATACCTGAAGGCGGTTATCGATCCGCTGTTACTGGATCTTGGGGAGATATTAGGGTCGGTGTTGTAGAACCGGAGAAGTGGTTGTTCCCGCACAAGGTTGAAAAGTATGAAAAACAAGCAACGGATCAAATGGTAAGTGTGGAGCCCTCGCAACTGTGGAGCCGCAGCTCATATTTCCTTCAGCTACGAGATTGGCAGTCTGCCTACGAAAAACTCAAGACTATCGCCAAGGAAGTCAAGCCCGTGACCTTGATATCGATAGAAGAATCTACAGAAGACGGCAAGATGGACGTTTGGAAAGCGTTCGGTAGGTAATCCTCCACCTCATTAAGGGTCACGCTAATAGGTCCATAGATTCAACTTTCAGCTCCCTTCTCAGAGAATATCTTGCTAGCATTGACGACTCTAAAATCCAGACTCTCGAAGATCTTATTGAGTTCAACAAGGAACATGCCGAGCAGGAGCTTCCACCTAGTAAGCTTCTCGTTTTTATAAACCAGCACACCAGCACCACCTCACTAACTGTTATAGGTGCCGATAACCAGGCCGGGTTAATTAGAGCCCTCAGTGCGAACATGTCGGATGATGAATATCATAAGCTTGTCAACTTTGCTAGAGATGCTTGCGGCCGTCGAGGTATTGACAAAGCGCTTGAGGAGAATGGTGTGGATATCCTCATGGGTCCAGGAGATGGACTACTGTTTCAAATTTCCGGCGCAGCAGGTTAGTTATCGTAGCATGCCAAGTCTCTTAACTCTTCTGACGATTATTTAGGATATCCCGGTGCAACATTGCCCCTAGGGTATCTGGATTTCAACGGAAGACCCTTTGGAATGCAGATTGTCGCCAAAGCACATCAGGAAGCTCTTTTAATTCAAGCCCAGAGTGCATGGGAGGCTACCTTCCCTGAACGTCACCCGCCAGCACTGGATGAGTTAGTTTTGGAAGGGTAGATTCCCCATGGTCCTAGGGATATAAGGGCTATGGTGGTAGGTGGTAGGTAATGGGCCTTGGTAAAGAATGTGTGTCGCCATAGTGTAACTCTTGTTTGGTTATAATGATTATCTTATTATTGATGGTCCTGTAGTCACAGGCTCGAGGCCGTGGTTGACACCGAGGGCAACTGGGAGAAGCGATTATGTATAAAAATATGCATACATAAGGGCTTAGGGTTTATGGTGTAAAATGTACCTTTCGGTGGTGGCCCCAGGGGTCAAGGGGATTCCTAAATGGGACTACCCTGTGCAATATACGTTCTTGCCGCGTTCCATTCTAGATTCTAATTTAGGAAATTTCTTCGGTCAAATATTTACCCCATGCCTTTTGTTCCCTGTTTACAACAGGATACATCATAAATCAAATTAGATTTTGGGTGAGCATGAATATGGATAATGTGAGAATTGGAATGAAACTTGAACTAATTTGAAAACTGTACGGAGGATTACCCCTCTGTGCTTATGAAACTTAAAAAAAATCCATTTCCCCCAGTGTTTCCCTAATTTATCATTCCTCTCAAATGGATTTGAAAATGGCTGTCCGCTCACTTTTTCCAGCTGCTCCAACGTCTCGTATCAACCTCAATTTCCTGGATGATCTTGCAGAATATGACCATACAAAGCCATATCATTTCTCTGGTCCTCTTTCAAAGGAACTTGAACCTTCACGTACAAATATTCAGTATAGGATGCTCCATGATATACCCGTATCAGACCTCCGGCGAGAAGAGCGCAAGTTACTGATTTCCAAGCACGGCTTTCAGTTCATCCAAGTCCCAGAAGATGTGATAAAACTAGATATTCGTGGCTCAGAGAATCAAAAGCAAGAGTACATTGAAAGTATCACGATTCTTATCAAACAGCTTCTTGGTGCTTCCTTTGCCCTCTGTTATGACTGCCGGGTATGTAGTCTACAAGTTTCTATCCATATTTACTAACAGAGGCAAAAGTTTCGATCGAGTACCTCCAGCAAACCGACTGATCGAAATATCACAGTGGGAACAGCTGAACATCCAGATACTCCGGCAGAGGCCGCGCATATTGGTTGTCCATCAAGACCTAGTAACTTGTGTTCATTGACCTAACATTCATAGATCTCACCCCAATCGGGGCAGCAAGACGCACAAAGCGACATTTGACAAACGAAGAGGCTGAGAAATATCTGAACAGAGACTGGAGAATGCGAGTTGTGAAGCAAGTACCAACTTCTTCGCCAGTCCCAACTACGCTGACAAGACAAATTCCACCACAGTGTGTGGAGACCTTTTGAAACTGTCGAAGACTGGGACTTGATTTGTTGCGATTTCTCTACAGTCCAGCCAGACGACTTGGTCGCTGTCGACCGGGTCTTAAGCGAGTACGTTGGCGAGGTCTACATGCTCAAGCCGAGAAAGCATTACCGCTGGTACAGAATTGATCACCAGAAGCCTAATGAGGCTACTATTTTCATGAGCTACGACAGTGACCCGGGGAATGGCGCCCCATGTATGTTCCCATTAGCTCAAAATGAAGGGTGAGACTAACTATCGGCAGATTGCCCACATACATCGGCAAAAAACCCAACGCTCCCAAACTCAGTATATACACGAGAGAGTATTGAACTAAGAATCCTTCTCTTCTCGCCAACCTCAGATGTATCTGCATAGAAGATTGTTATGAATGTGGTTGATAATGAATGACTTATTCTGAGCCAACTTGGCTAGCTACTTGAATGGAATTGCATCCGAAGCAATTTTTCATGCTCAAATCAAAGACCTTTACGGATTGCGCTTTCTTTGAGCCCCTCTTTGAGATACCAAATACTGTTTCTCACATTCAATGTTTCTGTAATACCTCTACGTTGACCATTACACCCTCGTTTGTAATGTATTAAAATGAAATGTTTTCTTTTCTTTTCTTTTCTTTTCTTTTCTTTTTTTTTTTTGTGAAATTTCATTATTACACCTGGGATTACTGTGATGAGCTCCCACAGGCTCTTTCCTCACTCGTACCACCCACATCTTGATGAATGACTACATGACTAGTATGAGGTCTGAGCAATCAATATTCATATGCTGTAGCAAGAGAGTATCTGCTGAATTGGTAGTGCCAAATGATGACCAGATTACCAAGGACCCCTGGTATACGGCAGACAAGTTCTAAGTGGCGTTAAGGGAAGCAAACCGCAAAGTTCCCCACTCTTCGTATTTACTGATGTATATATGCATACTCCGTACCGCTAGAAATGGGGGTGGTCAAATGCCTCGGGAATATGGCAGATTAGACACGAGAGCTATGCGTAACGGGCTGCATATTTGCCCCTCTTCCTGCAAAAGGATGGTATGTTGTATTTATTGACGCATACCGCTGGAAGAAGGAAGATGGGCAGATGATCAAGTATTCCGGGACTAAAGCGGATCAGCTCTAATTGGAGCTACAGGAGCCGCATATCCCCCCCGCCCTCCCCGAGAATAGTATCTACCGATGCATAAGCCTCTTGCATGAATAGCCAGTAAAAAAACCACTGTGATATCATATGAGTTGGCCAATTAAAATTTAACTGATATCCTCTGTGATGAGCATCATACTGCTGATAGTTACATACTGTAATGGGGAACAGCTCTCTCCTCATGTACTGCCCTATATTGTCCTTACGTGTTTCTTCTGTGCTGTTGTTGGCGGTTATATAATCAGCGGAGGAGATATAGATAGAGAATACACACCCCTATATCTCTCTGAATTCGCTCTTTGGACGCAAGTCTAAGAATCCTGAACATGTCTTGGTAGCTACAACGTGGAATTACGGATGCTGAATCAACCCGTGTGCCAGAGTGTACATAGCCTTGAGCGTTCCCCTCTTCAATACGTAGTTACAAAATCACCCGGGTGAATCGGAATCAGCCCGCGGTTAGACCGCCCCTGAGGGGTATGTATATTGAGGCCTGTTGGCTTTGAGAAGGATCAAACCCATTTTCCAGGCTCAAGACAGTTATTTGCAATCTGTTTCGTTCTGAAAATTCTCCAATTATCATATCTGGATCAACATTGACATATCGAAAGGTAAAACAATATTCTTACGTATATCTTCCAGTATCTAAAAATGTTAATTGACTTTATTTGAAGATTTTCGATACAAATGGATCAAGATACCAAAGAGCTGAAGTCAGGCGAGGCTATCAAGAAGGCTCCTGCCAAGGTTCAACCTTGGAGGGCTTTCCTCGCCGAACCCGAGGTTGTGCCGTTTTTGACGGGGAATGGCTCGCAGACTGTCATACGTCTCAAGGCAGAAAAGGACGAGCATGGTCTTGGTGGCTAAATGTTCGACTTGAAACTTATCCTTTCTACTATTTATGTAAAACGGAAAGGCGACGGTAGTTTTACTGAGGGGTTAAGAGGGCCTGTGGTGTAGATATGAGTTGAAATATTTCATGGCTTCAAAGCTCATCATTTCGATATTTGCCTTCATGGAGATTGCGTGTAGTCAACCAAGTATTATTTCTCAGCAAACCAAAGATTGGAAGCTTGTCCCCCTCTTCTAAAGAGCGGGTCTAGAATGGGTGCTGGGCAGCATGTACCCACTAGTATAAGATATTGGGGATGCCCACCTTTCTGACTGCGACTACGTTCCCCCAAGATGATTTCCGCTACCCTCACGTTTATAAAATCTCTACCTCTCTACGACGAAGAGAAACCATATTTCTTAAAAATTCCGCACAATGAAGCCTCGCAGGTTTTTCGTAAAACAAATCTTGAGTATTCGTCACGAGATGGGATTGCTATCGAAGATATTCGGGAACAAGGCCTAGACGCGTTCTCTCTCGCGGAAAATGGCTTCCAAGTCTTAACCTACCAGACCAAATCTCCACTCGACCTTGTAAAAGGGGATATCAAACCTTACTGCCATGAGATTACCGAACTCATTTCCAGGGAGTGCAATGCGACACATGTAGTCTGTTATGACTATCGGGTAGGTCTATGATTTCAAACGCATGACGAAAACCCACTGACTATCTTGATAGCTTCGGCGAAGTGACTTGGAGATCACCGCTTATGAAGAAAATGAAGAAAGAGGCAGAAACATAGCTGCACCACCTGTATATCCTGCTCACATTGATCATACGGTAGAAGGAGGACCAAACCGAATTCGAAGGCATCTGACCAAGGAAGAAACTGAGATGTATATGAACGACAAGTTTAGGGCTCGCATTATTAAGTATGTAATTGTCTCCAGCTCCTTTCGAGAATTATTTTGGAGGCTGACTATACATAGTGTTTGGCGCACCATAGACAATCCAATTGAGGATTGTCCACTCGCCATATGTGACCCTCAGACTGTTGACACGAAGGACTTAATGGCTACGGATCGTGTCACTCCGGATTTTGCGGTTGAAATGTATTACGTTCAATTCAATCCCGATCAGCGCTGGTACTGGTTACGGAATCAGACCACATCTGAACTCCTTCTTTTCGTTAACTATGATTCTATGTGCAAGACTGAGGGATCCAAATGGATGAGTGAGTTACCCATGAATATGGTTTCTTGTTCTTTTCTCGGGTGGAACTAAATGATGCGGTTAGCTTGCCCCCACGCGGCATTCAAGAACCCCGAAGCTCGAAAGGACGCACCATTGCGGAGCAGTATTGAAGTCAGACTGATTGTTTTCACTCCGATTGACAATTAATTGATGGCACCATAGGTATCAGGACATAGGAGGTCAAGAGGGTTAACATGAGAGCGAGCTTGATTCAGCCGAGTGATCAGAAGGAGAGATCTAACAAAGTCACCGAGGCCTGTGGAAGGACCGGGACAAGCACAGAAGACAAAAGACGATAATGACCTCGTCTACGAGTCATGTTATAGTTCTGTCCATTATGAGTGATTCTAAGATGATACATGAGCTCTGTTTATAGAAATTTGTATGATATAACCAGCTACTAATAGGTATACCGTATACACGTAGGAAGTATTTACCTGTTTTAGAACAGTCCGTAATTACCGTTTTAATACGTAATGTCTTGTCCTCAGCACTGTACTCCATTGGGTACTACTATGTACTTCCCCCACTTTGGGTACCCATTTGCTTTTCAGTCACATTCCTAAACCGCCTAGTTACAAGGTCACTTACTCGTAGTTGACAAGTATCAATGATCTTCCTGTTTTACTTGGATTTTCAGCTGATACCTAAAAAAATGCCAAGCCTTACGTATTGCCGTGCCTAGGATGTTATAGAGCTTTTCTTGCTGAAATTATCATTTTTTCGTGCCTTGTGAAGCTACTAGTGTCTACTTGTTGCAACAAATATCTTGTTCACCCATCAAATATCTTGAGACCATTCACTCACTCTTCACAGGATTCACAGGATGTTGGGGGTACCTACTCCCGCTAGTCCCGACGATGGAACCCCCCCGTAAGTCTTCCTAGTAGGAGTAGGAAATACAGCTGACAGTAAGTGTAGATTAGACTATTGTCATACGAAATGGGCGGAGGCGATCGCCATCTGTGAAGAAAAACTCAACGAGAGTGAGCGCGCAAATTTGAAAAGTATCCAGACATTTGAAGACTGTAAACAGAATATTTCTATGATTCGGATGCCAACTGCACAACCCACTGAGCCTACATTGTTACATAAGTTGGCGCCAATTTTCTCTCCCCTCAGCAGTTTTGTCTCACTGCTAACGGTGTGCTTGTCACCTATTCCTCGAGAAATTGGGTTAATATGGGGCCTGGTGAGCTTGTTAATTCGTGTTTGTATCCCTCAGGGCGTGTTCGCAAATTTGATCTGACGTTATAAAGGCGGCCGGTAGAACTGAAACCCTTCTCCCTCAAACCATCGAGATGCTCCAAGAGTTGGGACATGATCTCGAAATATTCCAGCTTTACGGCGAGATCTGGCGGAGTAACCCTAGAGTAGGAGACGAGCTGATGAATGTTTTTGTGGAGATCATCATGTTTTGGGCACATTCAATTCATTTTCTAAATCGTAACAGACGAGGTAAGGTGGTCCTGGTCTCTTCTTTGAAGTATTGACAGACCCTGATGGCTCTAGCCTCGTCTGCACAGCGTTCCTGGCACAACGTCGAGAAACAATTCGAAAATACCTTAAAACGTATTCGCAAGCGGACTGAGCAAATCAAAGAGAAGGCGAACGCTATGGCCCAGGTTCAAGGATACTCCCAAGCAGATTTGTTGAAAGAGTTGGATCGTCTTGGGCTACTTCCTTCAACAGCGACACATGCTTGGTTGGCAAATGGGGAACCGGATATTTTCCCCTGTAACAACCTTCCTGTTGCGCGAAATGCTAATTTCTTCGGCCGAAGGCAAGAACTCGACACAATTTCAAAACATCTCGACTATCCAACATCAACCGGCTCCTTTCGCAGCTTCGCTCTCTATGGAACTGGAGGCATCGGCAAGACACAAATTGCCCTCGCATATGCATACCAGCAGAAGGACTCAGGTACCCAAGCAATTCTGTGGTTTAACTGCGAGACCGGGCAATCTCTGGCCCAAAGCTTCCGTGATGTTGCCTCACTACTGCACCTAGAAGGTGCTAATGACGATGAAACAAACGAGCAAAATAAGATCCTAGTGCTAGCGTGGCTCAGGCGTACGAGTAAGTTTTGATCATTCTTTTACAATGTTTTTAGGTACTAAAATTGTCCTCCCCAGATAGAACATGGCTTTGCATATTTGATAACGTTGAGGACTTGGACCTCTTTCGTAATGCCTGGCCCGCTGCAGACTCGGGAAAAGCCCTTGTCACGTCTCGCAAGGACATTGTGAGCATAGATCCGGCAGCCGGTGGTATGGAGATCGAAGTATTCGACAACAGCAGCGGGAGGGACCTAATTTTGCAGCATGTTGCAAGAAATACATACGACGAATCCGAAATTCAAGCAGCTAGTCAACTTGCAACTCGCCTAGGAGGTCTTGCACTGGCCCTGGTCATCATGTCTTCACAAATTCGCCTCCGGAAGTCTTCCATAACAGCGTTTGTACAGCTGTATGAGAAATACTCCAATAAGCTGAACAAGGAAGTCCAGGGAGTTAAATCGTACTACAATCTGTCTCTTGCAACTTGCTGGAAGACAACATTTGATTATCTCACTCCACCCGCCAGTCGTTTGCTCGGCATCATTGCTCATCTCGGTCCGGATGCGCTGCCCGAAGAATTATTTCACCCAGCTGATAGCTCAAGACTTCCAGAGGGCATGGAATTTTGTTCTGATGACTGGGAGTATGCATTTCAACCCTGAATGGATCTGGATCGAAGTAATACTGACCCAGAGACAGACTTTCGGAGGCTCTCAATGAGCTCTTAAGCTCATCTTTAATCAGGAAACATCCCGCTGAGAACCTACTTTTCGTTCATAGGCTGATACAGGAAGAATTCAGAAATTGTCTGGACGCGGATGGACGGCATGACTCCTTCGTTGCGGCTTCGATCTTGCTCAATGAGGCTTTCCCAAAATTAATTTTGGGTCAGTCAATGCGACCATACTGGAAAGAATGCAAAAAGTACATACAGCATGTATTGATGCTCTGCACCAGGTGGCAGGACTACAAATTCCGGCCGAAAAGCAAAGGAGAATTTGATCCATTTTTATCGCTTTCTACTTCATGTGGCTGGTAAGAAAATGAACCGCACATCATCTACCCTGCTTACAATTTCAAGGTACCTCATGGAGTCTGGCGCGTGTCTAGAAGAGATCCAGCTCATGGAAGTAGCGATGAGTCTCTGCGAAGACAAAGAAGGAGAAACATACGCTCTTCTTGCGAATTCAAGAGGTGAAATGGAGTGTCAAAGGGCACATTGCGACGAGGCTTACAAGTATATGACGCCGAGCTTAGCAATCATGCGACGAATCTATGGTGACAGCCATCCAGAAGTCGGAAATGGGTTTAATAACTATGCGAATATCATTATCCAGGACTTGAAAGAGGGAGCCTGTGAAAAGGCCATCGATTACTATCAAAAGGCGCTTGACATCTTCACGTTGAACGGCCCTGAGATCTACACAAAGATCCTCCATATACCGCACATCAACCTAGCAGCATCTTATCAAGTTTTGCAGCAGTACGACAAATCAATTGAACATGCAGAACAGAGTCGCAAATGGGCAGTCGCATTTCTGGGAGAGGGTTGTCATTTTGATGGAGTGTAGGATATTACCTTCTACATGAGGATGAAATTGCGTTCTGCTGATACAGACCATGTCTAGGGCCGATTATCACGTTGGAAATTCTTTATTCTCGCAAGGGAGATATGACGAAGCGGAGCGGCATTGGCTGAGAGCCTTGGGGGTATTCAATCGTGAGAATGAAACACATCCAACGACAAATTCAACACGAATGAAATTAGCCATGATCAAAATGAAACGCGGGGAATTTGATGAGGCAATGTGAGCTCCCATTCTTCCTTGGTTACACTCGCCGCCTCTTGTTGGCACAATTTTATCAAGCAGTACTGACCATGAGTTTTACTTTCAAGCTTGATGCTTCAAAAGGTTCTCGTCATAACGAAATTGAAACAGCCATCCAAGGGCGACAATGGAGAAGTCGCCCGTGTTCAACGAAAGCTAGCTGAGGCTCTTGAGCTGAAAGGTGATTTACTGGAAGCAACGCGGCTGAAAGTTGAAGCTGAAGCAATGCGAAGAGAGATCCAAGGACAGCGATTCCATGAATTACCTGATAGTGATCTGAGCTACGCCATGATGAATTTTCATGCATTCTGGTAGATCATTGTGAATGATATACTCACATCCAGAATCAACTATCTAGCTGACCACATGCGTGCATGCCCGCAGCTTCAATTTGTACATAGTTGATTTTGCCAGTATAGGAATTTTCCTGCATACTAAAACATAGCCTCTCTCTTGTTAGCTATAGAACGAGCTCTGATGTGTTCAGCCCCGGGGAGAGATCACTACAGCAGAAATCCCGTGACGCCACCTTGGGTTCCGTTCCAATTGAGACACTACGTTTAATCATCTCCTTGGAGGCCAAATCATCGTCCCGATGTAGAGAGCCTCGCCTATAGAAAGACCACAGCGCTTGACAGTGCTAGGTGGGTGTAGATCAGTGGTGTGACAGGGCAGTGGGAAGAGGTTGGACATCCAAAGTTACGGAAAGGAACGCATTTCTGGCGTCAAAAGTCGTCATTGTCGGCGTTTCACAGGTCTTCATATTCTATACTTAATATGTAACATCACTGAGCGGGAAAAACCCATCGTACACATGTAATAAGAAATGCAATTGAACCTATTTTATTCATGTCTGACTATACAATGGTATCCGGACAAAACGCCCGCAGATTTTAAAACTATGTCACTATTTTTTCGAACGATTAAAAGTCTTCAGGGGATCAACCTTCCCACCAGACTTTCCACGAGCACGGTTGCGATCTCTCGCCTTGCGGATGCGATTCTGCTTAGTCTTCGTGAACCCAACATACCCAGCACTCTCCTTCGAGAGACCCTTGCGTCCCTTAGCAGGCATCAGGTAATCAGGCACATGCTTGAGGTGCGCCTGGACACGCGCGGCACGCAGCTCGCCGTCATGGCGCAGCTGCCGCAACTCTTCAGGGTTTTCCTCGAAATGGCGCTTGAGCTTTTCACTCTTGATCAGTTCCTGGCGAATCTCGCGTCCTCGCGCTTCTTGCACTGCGAGTCTAGTCACGGAACGCAGGGCATCTGTCATACGGTAACGGAAGGCGTCCACTTGCGTCATCTCGAAGTGATAGGGCTTGACTTCGTGGCCAAGCTTAGCTTGCCGCTTGATGATCTTGGCGAGCAAGGCTTCGTCGTTCTTTGTGCTAGGAATTGAGGTGGGTCGGTGCTTGCCGTGCTGATCGGCGGGGATAACGAAGGAGAGAGCCATTCCTGCTTTGCCAGCGCGGCCAGTACGTCCGATGCGATGGGTGTAGGATTTGGAGCTGGTGGGGAGGTCGAAGTTGAGGACGCAGGCGACATTTTGGAAATCGATACCGCGAGCAATGCTGTAATCCTTCTCTTTGCTGGTCATCTTACGGCGCTTCTTGGTTTGCACCTTCTTTCCGTTTCCGCTCTCATCAACTGCCTCTTCATCTTCACTGCTTCCCATCTCTTCCTTTGCTTCCTCCTCAGCTTCCTCCTTGGCTTCGATCGACTTCTTAGATTTGGTCACTCCCAGTACTTCTTGCTCGTCGGCGGCGATAATGATATCGTAGACACCCTTATTGAATTCTTCAACAACGTGGATTCGCGAATTGATGGGCAGTTCTGAGTTGAGGACACAGCTCTTGAGACCGAACTGTTCGAGGAAAAGCTTCACACGGTAACACCGGTCGACATCTGCTACGAAAATGATGACCTTGCCCTTGATAAGCTGTAGTTTGAAGATAACGTAGGTGAGAAGGAATTTCTCTTCTTCCGCGCATCTGTTGCAAGTTGAGTTAGCAACTGCTAAAATGATGGGTGTAGCATATTGTCTTACCGGACGACAAACTGGCTGACACCAGCACCCTTCTCTTCCTTCTCCTCAAGCTTAAGAATGACAGGGTTCCGGCAGTATAAGTCCTTCAATGTATCCACCTCTGAAGTGAGAGTAGCACTCATCAAGAATGTCTGTGCTCCACGTGGGATGGCCTTGGAGAGGGCATTGATTTCCTCATCATATCCGTATGACAAGACAAGATCCGCCTCATCGATAACCAAATGGGTGATTTTATCGAGCGACAAAGCGGAGTTGTTAACATTGCTGTAAACTCGGGTAGGGGTCGACACAATGATATCCGGGAAATCGGCCAGCATCGAGCGCTGAACTTCGTCAGACACCTTCTGTGTTAAGTTGACGGACCGAATATCCTTTCCACAGAAACTGGCAAAAGACGTAATCACTTTCTGGACCTGTTCTGCAAGCTCGCGGGTGGGGACAAGGATAAGAGCGGTTGTGGCTTTTGAGGAGGGATCGGCCTATTTGTACACAGTTAGATCACTCTCCATACAAAGTATAAATAAAGGGAGGAAAAGAAGGAACGAACTGTCTTCTTCTGGAGGATGGCTTGCAGGATTGGGAGTACATAGGCGGCGGTTTTGCCAGAGCCAGTTTTCGCACGGGCTATTTCTGTTAGCAACTGTGTTTTGTTTCATCGATTGAAGATGCTCATCTCACCAAGAATATCCTTTCCTTCCAGGGCGAGCGGAATCGCCTTCGACTGTACAAGAGTGGGCTTGGTGAACTTTTCTTTGATCAGAGCCTGGCGCAATCGAGGATCGAGGTTGAGGGCTTCAAAGTCTAGTTCTTGCTCCTCAGCCCCAGCAGCGTCGGGCGACGGGACATCGTTTGCGTCCAATTTGCGTTTCATTGTGATTGTGCTAGGCATTTGCTTGATCGAATCTGCGAAAGTTGAAACTTTTTTGGGAAATCTTGTCGGGCGGTGAGATTATTGCGGGCGGTGAATTAGAATATTTTATGTTGACATAATCTTCTCTGCCTCAGGCGGAAACTACATTTATAGAACTACACATGGGCGACAAAAGTCTGTGAGTCTTTGAGAATTCGCTAGTATAATGGTTGAATGATGCATTCAATGTTTTACTGTTGATTTATCCTCTGTAATATAATTTACAGATACCCATAGACAAGACTTTTTTGGCATCTTACTCCAAGCCGAAAATATATATTAGCAGTTACTTGGCATACATCATGCCCTAAATAAGAATTTTGATAGACTGCCGTTTCTTTGCCAAGATCGGACACAAATGGTATGGAATCGAAGAATAAGCGTTCATATCAAAAATTGCTGTTTATTGAATCAAATAGCTTCAGACCTTGTTGCATACCATCTAACGTATCGCCCTGCTTAACAAAATCAAAAAGAGCGAGAACAATAACAACAAAACTGAATTAGACGATAACTTGCCGAAGCACATCCATACACCATGTAGACTGACAACGAAGAAATCCTCACATAAAACAATCCCCCAATACCTCGCGCGCTTCATTCCTATTTGACAAACTCACTCTGAGCATATTCTAGGAATCTTGCCCGAGACGCTTCAGTGATTTTGCCCACGGGAAGGACTTTGATATTGTGCTCAACAGTATAAACCTTGCCAAAGTTCACTCGAGACATGCAGTCCAGCTTCTGATCAGGCCTGGCAGGATCAACCTCCAAAGGCTGTTTGGCCATTCGGGGCTCGCCCTGCACAGTCCGGGGTCTCTCACCTTGCATATGAATGACAGCATGTTTACTTCGGTCAATCCCAGCTTTGGCCACGCCTTGCCCACTATAAGTAGTGATGGGTCTAAAACGAAGGATTAGTATGTTGCAGTGCAACCAACGTTGGATGAGAATGTGGACACGTACACACACCAGCAGCAGCCCTTCTGCTCTTTGACCACTACCATGCGTCGGATACTACTGTATATGGGCTCTTGATACTTTCCCTTGATGAAAGGGCTTGATGATGGACGAGGAAATCTCTCGCTGAGTACAGTTCCATGCCAGCCTGCATTCTCATGCCAGAGCATGGAAAAGACCTATATGATAATCAATTATTAGCAAGGGATTAACAATAATATCTGATAGATGAACGAACCCTGCCAACCCGGAAAAACTTCCGAGGATCGCTCTGCCTCTTGTAGCCTATGAATTATCGTCAGTTTATTTCGGGTGTGCATGAAGAGGCCATTGCTTACGAGGATCCAGCGTCCCACGTTCGCCGTTACTGCCGGGGATCACGTATGCTGGCTCCAATGACTTTTGCTGAATTTTTAAATCAGCCAATAGTCAAAGAGAAAGTAAAGAATATTACTGACCACCTCCCTGTCATACTTGCGTTGGGCATCCCCCCGAATGGGGTCATCGCGATGGCTGTGACTGCTGGCCCCATAGGGTAGTACCACATGCGAGGCTGAATCCCCGAGACTCAATCCCTGCAGATCGTTGACGTGGACTCGTGGAGCAATGGATGCATCACTTCTTGATGAGGCGGTGGCTTCGCTGCGGTCGGATATATCCGACCCGGTTGGGCGACCGGCTGTTTTTCGCGCCTCATACTGCATGTCTGGACTCCATTCAGGCGGAATGTTATCTGCTACTGTCCCTGTACTTAAACTTGGGTATATGCCATCGTGCATACAATGATTGGCGAACTGTTGATATACGGTGGTAGGGGATCGGTCGAGATCTGTGGGATTGGTATATGCTTCAGCTTGACTGTCTCGCATATTCTCTCGGCGACGTGCATGGCGGCCTCGCCCTGGGACAAATGGCCGATACCCGTGTGGATCGTCCTGCTTGGGAAATGCGGATCTGGATGTGCTTCGCTGGCGTGGCGCAATGCTTTTATCCGCGTTAATTACTTGCACTTCTCATACAGGATTGAACAACTAACCTTGCTTGACCTGATATCGCAGGACTTATCGCGCCACCTGGGTAGTCCCACTCGTACAGAAACTCCCCTTTCATTTTGGTCAGCTAAATCATCCTTTATGTATCCAGTGATGCCTACCAGAATGGTTGTAGATGGACCGAACCCATCGGTTGTTGTCAGCATGAAGTATCCAGTCCGAAGCCATGACTTTTACATATCTGACAAAGAAATAGAGAAAGTTCAGAGAAAATATAGGCCTTGGGGGTTCTATATTCCTCACCAGGAACTCGTCAAGTACCTGTACCCTAGCGGCCCGGACCGTTTTACATCAATGTTATCTGGATATGATATGCATGGCGCGTATGGCATGAATCAAGTTGGTTTTTTGTGAAGCGCTCACTCGCAAAAGAGCAGCTTCGGAAACTAGTACATGATCATGGACCACAAGTATGATTTCAATGAGCCAGTTAAATAAATGAGGTATATTATTTATGGCTGACATACAATAATTTGGCATAGAAGTTGATAGGGCACGGTCACCAACCGAAAAGTGAAGCGCGGGCACTAATGCAATGCACGAGATTTCCAGAACAACGGCCATTGGAGATTTCATTTTGGGCACCAAAGAGTAACTGCGCCTTCGACAGCCCCGCTAGAGTATCGTGTGACTTTAAGGACAAAGATCCCCTTCTATTTGGAATAACCCCTTTCCTTCACTATTCAACCCTACCAACATTCGAATCTGTTGGTCTATAATCTCCGTTGCGAAATGTGACCGGGAGATATTGTGAAACGCTTTAACAATGACATCTTGGCCAGGGGTAGCGGAATGTGGATCCTGGGTGAGTTTATCTATAATATATGCATTAAACTCGAGGCTCATCACGTCTTACTTTGTAGCCGCCGTGCACGGCAGACGGCTATACCAACGATAGGAGTGAAGTCTGCCTTCCCAACATTTCATTTGCTCCAACTTCACGGCCGGAGTCGCAAAAGGGGGCTAGAGCATGGAGTTCCGTAGCATCGGAAACTCTGCCATTATCATCACTTATTCCCGGAGACTTTGGTCCAATAACGACATCAACAGCGCCAATATTCGGCCACACCGGACCAGACACGGTCGATTATGGCGATGAAGCTACCGAAAACGAGCCCTGGTCACAAAATCTCCAACAACGGAATGAATATGATGCCTTCACCGAGTCATCCGTCGCATCATTTCAGATTCAGTACTCCCCTGAAATAGATGAGCCAACCAACTGGTATCGCGTACCTGCGCCGCCCCCTGAACCGGCCCACACCAGCGCCAATGTGGCAAAACTTATAGGAGAAGTATTAAGTGCACATGAAGATGTGTCAGCCAAGCGCTATCGTATCCGGGAAATGCGGCATATACTTCGACAGAAACGTGATGAGGAAGATGATATGCGGGTTGCATTACGGAGCAAATTGAATCTCATAACTGCCGAACATGTACATGAGGATATTTCTGCTATTAATCACACTATCAACGACCTCCAAGCTGTGACATCGTCTTATTTCATTCTTGAAAATGAGTATCAAAGACAGGAAGAAATACTCGCGCAGCTGGAATACGATTACGACAGACGGTTAGAAAGTTTACACACCATTTTCAAGAACCAAGGCGGCTCCTTGGCACACCTCCAACCAGTGAACTCGGACCCCGAATCCTCCTCGGCAGACTATACCTCGGACTATGGAGATCAGGTGGTGCCCCAAGTGGCTGACTACCTCTCGATGATTGGCGAGGCGCGCATACTCGCGGAACGACTGTCACAGCTAGAGACGGAATACCTAGTCCTTGTCGACCAACGTGAGCTTCGCGAACGAGTTGGTATCCCACTCGATAGCGCGGCACTCAACTTCCTCCTTCGATACGAAGATGAAAAGAATAAAATCGAGACCGAGCTAAAAATAACCCGCCATCACATCGAGTCGCACCCGGAACATTCTAATCGCTCTGCGCAGATGGAGGAAGAAAACGAAGAGAAGATGAGACAAAATTTCATGCTCAATATACTAGAGGATCAGACGTACAATGATCCACTACACTCATCAGAATTTGAGGATTCATCACCGTTCTTTGCGTCCGCGCACCCACATCCTATCAACAAAGGCACTTTCGTGAATCGATGGCTTCTTCATCGGTTGCGGCACTCAAGAGTTGAGATTATGCGCTTTAAGTCTGCACCTGAACTGATAGATCTGGATAATAAGGGCTGGGGGTCGGATAATATTAGCAAGATGGCGATGATGCTTTGGTTTCAAGATGGAGCGGCCAGTGTGGAACATATTAGGAGTCAATCAGCTATGTAGTGCATACATACCTTGGCAGCATTAGACGTTCATAGACAGCATTGAGCTTGGATATCTTTTTGTAGTAATAGAACAATATATCAAAACTTGATTTACCTCTTGACTACATGTTGATGATCGCACATAATACACGGTCATGGTATCTCAGCCCTAATCTGGACTACTCCTCTCAGCAATACTCCCCTCATATAAAGCCTCGGTTACACAGCACTTTTGGCTAACAGTTGCTCAGCATCTTTTATGGCACACAGTAGGTCTTACTACTGGTGTAAATAATAATTTCTTAAGTCATGTATAGGCAAGCATTGCCAATGAGCTTCACTATAACCCAGCTAGACAAGTCCTCACTCTAACCCAAAAACAAACCCCTCAAGCTCGAGATAAGCCTTCTCCAGATCATCATTAACAATAACTCGATCAAAAACACCCGTAGTCTCAGCAAACTCAAGTTCCCTCCTCGCTTGATTCAGTCTAGCCTGAATATGTAGCTCACTCTCGGTCCCTCGCCCTCTAAGTCGCTGCTCAAGCACAGCTAGATCCCGCGGTTTAATAAAGACATATCGAGCCTTAAACTTGGGATTTATTGTCACCTGCTGCACGCCAACCATGTCGATATCAAGAATCGGAATGAGCCGTCTGTTGAATATCTTTTCGAGTGCTGCTTTACTCGTGCCGTAGAAATTATCGGCGTACATTGCATCTTCTATCAGATCCCCATTGGACTTGAGAGTATTGTATGTCTCGACGGAAACAAAGTGGTAGGATATACCGTCTGTTTCTCCGGGACGTGGTTTCCGGGTTGTGTGGGAGACTGTTAGTTCGAATGTGTTTGGGTGGGCATCAATGAGTTTTTGGATAAGGGTTCCTTTTCCTGCGCCTGAAGGGCCGGAGATGACGATAGGCCGCCGATCCTGAGGTGCTGTTGGGGTGAGAATCAATGGTGTGGAGGTAGAAACTAATGACGTACAGGGAGCCATGTCGTCAACAAGGGGGTTCCTGGCCTGACGATAGATACTGGGTATTCGGGGTAGGTAGTCAACTGTAAGTCAGGGATGATGTCCAGATACAGAATATATTCATATGTCAGAGTTAAGATGTCATTTGAGGAAAACACATGGTGAGAGCGAAGTGTGTGCCTCCTTACCGCTCACCGCACCGACTCATGGAAGCGACAAGTCCACCCAGAGAATGAACTAGATTAAGTATTTTAATATGGCTATGTATTATAATAACATGGAGGTATACAGCTATATTATATTGTATCGAGATGTTATCCATTCGTATCGTGATTCTGTTCATTATGTACATGACCCAAACAATTTCCCATATCCATATCCATAAGTGGACCGGCAAATGCCGTAAAAAAGACGCTGATTCCAAACCCAAGTATTGTCGAAAGTTCAAAATAAAATCCATACAAGTTTCGGTACCTCGTACATCGAGCCCTAGCCCAAACTGCAGTCGTAATTCAAGAGTACTGTGTCTCGCCCTCACTATCACTCAGACTATCACGACGACGACTCCGTCCATCACGGCGGTATCCCTTCGTCAAGCCCGGAATTGGATGCTTGTAGCTCTTGGTACCAGAGTCTTCTGTATCAACGTTGGAGTATTGGTAATCGGACCGGGAGCCTGCTGATGAGAAATCCAGGGGTTCAGTGAAGTGGCCCTGCGGCACGGAGCGGCGTTCGCGCTGCTTGCGGGGGCTGCTGGTACGAGATGAAGGTGCGGACGGTGGGCCAGCTGGGTTAACCTCGCTGCGACGTTCACGACGGCGGTTGTGGCGGCGGGTGGATGGGTCGCGGACACGAGGCTCTTCGGTTACTTGGCTGATAACATCTTCGCTGCCTTGAGTGAACGAAAAGCCCGAGGGATCGCGGCGGGCATGGCGTGGCTGCTCGTAAGCAAAATCATAAGATTGGCTCATCTCGCTCTGTTGGTAGGAGGTGGGCGGGACGGAGGTATCGTAGTCGCTGCCGTTATAGGTTCCATCGGCTTCACGGTTCATGCCGCCAATGCGAGCGGGTTTCTCTTCTCGGTAGGCGCGTACGTCGGCATCGTCTGCGCCTTCCCACTGCTCGTGCTTGTTTCGCCGGAGAAGCTTCTCTTTGGCGGACTCTCTGAATCTCTTGCCCCGTGACTTCTCCTCTGTAACGGTCGTCGCTGTGTCGGTATATGATCCTTCTGTGTACGAATATCCATCGTCGTTGTAGCCTTTGCCGACAATACTTCCGCCGCCGAGGTTGGTACTCGCTGTGGCGTTACTGAGAGTCTTGCCGTCGGGTCCCTTCCGTCGTAGAACAGTGGACTTGTAGTCATCCCAGTCGCCCTTGCGCCAGACGAACCCGCCGTTCTTGGCCCAGAAAAAGAACCAGATTGCTCCTACGGCAAACAATAGTCCAATAATGGCAAATAAAGCCATCAGGCCTTGCATCTTGATGCTGTGTGGGTCAATCGTGCCTTGGCCATATTTTGGCTTGGAGGAATCTTCTGAATCGGCTCGTGGGAAGAGGTGGTGTGCATTAAGGTTGATGGCAGGTAAGATATTAGCAGTGTTCTCATTGCTGACATCGCGAACATAGAGCCCGTTAACGGCCGCTGCTGGAAGGTCGGAGGAGTCCCCGTTCCGCCAAAATGGAGGCATGATGCAGTATTAGAGTAGTCAAGAGCACCGGGCCCAGGACTGGACTCACTATTAGATTATTAGTATTTCGAGCATTTTGAGAATATAAGGTCAGGTATATGGACATACATTGAAGCAAATGATCAGCACTAGATGTAGATAGAGATGGATCCCTGACACACTGGAATGTGGGTATAGAGTGCGTGGAATGTGGGCAAAAATGAAGCGGTGTCTAGATGAGTGTCAGTAGAAGATTAAAGATAAGATGAAAAAATTATCAACCCAGATATTCAGCTTGATTTCGCACAAAATTGAGGAGGTTGGAGAAGAGGCTGGGGATCTTGTGTTTACATGATGGTTGTCACGGGAAACGAGCTTACATCATCCCCCACATGGGTCCACCTGGACACGGGTGGGTAGAGTTGGGCCCGTGGGTCGATCTATAAAACGGAGATCACAACTTCTATTTAGATCTGAAACATGGCGTTTTTAAGACGAATTTAATTATGGATTATATGAAGTCAACAAATGCCACCCGCTGGAAGCCTCAGAGGCACGGCCAAAAGCTGTGATCCCAGCTTGCGGGGTATCAAAACCAACTAAACAGCAAAATCAGGGGAAAAGCACCGTGGAGGATAAAACAGAGGAGATCAACGAGACTGCGAAAATCAAGAAAATCAACCGAATCAATACAAAGCCCGAGAGCAAACCTACGAGGCTCCCAGCGGGGACAAAATACCAACCAAACACATAAAATCATAGATATGGCCAAAGAAAAAGATGACCTGTTGAGACATGACAAGTAAACAGATATGGGTATAACCTCTCTCCGCCACTCGGAGTCGCGAACAAAGTAACCGGGAGAAAGACACAGACCCAACAAGAAAGGCTATACATGAAACGCTGACAAAAAGAGACAGAAAGTAAAGCACATCAGACTTGTCATTGCAGGTCATCAGAATCGTACAATCATATCGCCATAACAAAAACACATCATGGGGTTCGTGACCGGTTTGCCACACATAGAAAACTCAAGACAGTTGCAAATGAAATCACCAAAAGTCCTCCCAGTCTAGAGACGCTCTGTCGGGCGACAGGCAGCTCTGGACTTCATGACAAAGTCCAGTCTGTTGCCCAAGTCGCCCAACAGAGTCTCACTTTAGGTATTCACCATTGCTTTTTGTTCCACAAGCACCTGATCCCGAAGAAAAGAAAAAGAAAAGAAAAGAAAACGCAACATATGCGACACAATCGAAACTTTTGACAAACGAACAAGGCCGGCCACAAACGGCTCCGCATACACAAGATGGAATCACAACAAAATAAATAACCTAACCAAGAAAAACGAAAAGTAACACAAAAAGGATAGCATCTAACAGGGTAACAAGATCAGTGGTGGTACCGAGTACCCCCATAGGTTGACTGGCTGTCTCGACGACTAGATCGTTCTGACCGCCTATCATCCCGGGGACGTCGCGCCACATCTTCAAGTGCCCGGCGACTGGAGCCGCCCGTATAATCAGAGCTGGTACCGTTCACATGCTGCTTGGTTGGCCGCGGGCCACCGATGTTTAATCGAACAGCCCCGGTGTCCCCAGCACGAATGTTAATAGATTTGCCTGCAACTGCTTCAGATGTAAATCCAATTTGGAATCCGTTCAACGTGAGGGTCATATTCTTGTCATCTTCTTTCCGTGAGGTCGTGACGCTTCCGCGGCTGCTATTCGACCGACTCTTCTGACTGCCACTATCGCTCCCGTTGCCGTGCGCCCCTTTGGCAGGGAGCAAGGATTCCGCGGAGAGAGGGAGTGCAGCTGTTGAGGCTCGGCCGGATCGGGCTGCCTGGTAGTTCTCGGCTTCACGCTCGCGGTCTTCGAGGTCGCCGGCACTGGATCGTTCGTCGTAATAGTACTCGGTTGGCCTGCGCCGCCGAGAGCTCGCCACAGCCACCTGAGCAGTCCGTCGACTATCCTGGTAGGATGTTGATCGTCGGGTATCTCGTACGCTGTGGTTTCTTTCTGGCAATGCGGCCTCCCTTGACATTCGACGATGACTGCGATCCTGAATCGCCGGCAAGGCAGATGCAAGTTCCGGCATGTCCAAGCGGTCTAGATCTCGGTCGATACCTCTATCTCGAGGGTCCATGCCTCTATCCCGGGGGTCCATGCCTCTGTCTCGGGGGTCCATGCCTCTGTCCCTGTCCATGCCTCTGGATGGACGACGTTGGGGGACAATACCGGCGGAGGTATGCATCTTCCGTGGTGGATCTGGCCGCTCTGTTCGCTTTGCCTGGTGAATCTGCGGGGTAGACCTGGGCTTGGGCTTAGGTGGTGGCAGCATCCGATAGTAATCTTCATCTTGTTCCTGGTGCCTTGTAGAAGGACGGTCATGGACATCTCGCGGGGAATAGTGTTCCATAGGTTCGTCATCATAAAAGTCATATGGCCCAGGATCCATGGGTGGGGGAGGGGGTGCATAGATAGATCCGGACCGAGGGCGTGGCTCCCGGGACTCGGACCGCTCCCGTGGATACTCCGAGGGGGCGTAGTCCGAGGCAGATGGAGCGTAAAAGGACTGTGCTCCATATGGAGATGATGAGTATGGTTGCATGTATGCTGAGCTGGCTGGTGGTGGGCCATGATCGTATGGGTGCTGGGAGTACATCGGAGATGCCATTCCTGAACTCATTCCATGCGGTACCCCTTGGAAACTCATGGGTCGCCCGTTTGGGTGGTAGGTGTGGTAAGAATGAGAGCGGCTGGGTCGACCAGGGTTACTGACGTGAATGTGCTCTGTGACGGCTGGATATCGAGCAGTATGCGGGGACGATGAGTAATCTGGCATAGGTGGGCGCTGGTAGTAGGAATAATCGCTCTGTCGATGTTCGATCGGGGCTGATTGATGGTACTGATGACCACCATATTCGTAGTAATTGTCGTGGTATTGGCGGGCATGGGAAGATTCTCGTCGACGAGACTTGGACGACGACCGGGGCACGTGAGCATGATGGGCAGCGCCCGGATAGGCACCAACCATCTTCTCTTCGCGCGAAGGTCGAGACCGTTCCTTTTCCTTGCGTTCTCTGGTTGAAGTTTTTCTGGCGAGGTCGGTACGTTTGGGGTTGTCCAGCTTAAGAGGAGGGGGACTTTTTCCGCCCGACGGCCCAGATTGGGTGCTATTAACCGTAGCGGCGGTGCGACTAGAATAACCTGAGTCACTGGCGGCGTCGATCAGCGGCTCCTGGAATCTTTCCAACCTCGAGGATATTTTGGCAGCTGTATTGGCAGCAATATTGGCAGAAAGCCTAGTGTCGGGTAGAGCGGCGTTGTGTTCTTCGTCGTAATCCTCGACGCAGGCAGGCCGGGGGCCCTTACTGGCCATTATGTGGGCTGCAAGGCGATCGGGTGTCTGAAAAAAAAAAATTAAAAAAACAGGGTTGGTCCCGTTTCCGACAAGAGCGACGTGGGTGGCTCCCACAGGGCTCCAGACAAGTTCAACTTACAGCAAGCCACTGCTCCCCTTTGACGATGAGTCAGATATTATTCTCTCCCACCCCCGTCCTAGATCTGAAATGGGCTTCCTTTTTTTTTCTTTTCTTCTTCTTCTCCCCAGTGCCCAACCCTTAGAAGCGGGCCACTCAAACAAGTAAGCGGACCTGCCGATCGCAACGGGCGATGGCAGGCGGAGGGCGACGGGTTCTGTCAAGCGGAGAGAATAAGATGGTACTTCTCAGATCGCAACGTCTCCATCGAAGTGGAATGTTAGGCTAAGAGTCGGGCGGAAGTGTTGGGTCAAAGAAAGGAAGAAAATAGAAAATGACCTCTCTGGCAGACGATGAGTGGTGGAGCGTACTGCAGCTGCACAGGTTGGGTTGAGAATTTGGGATCCTCTGCCTGACGGTCTTAGAACCCAGTGGGGAGAGTGGAGTCAATGGGCAGCGATAAAATAAAAAGTTGAAGTGAGGGGTGATATTGATATCCAGAAGAAAGTGAAAGAGAGATATCCAGAGAATAAAATAAGGAGAGAAGTATAGTAGAGAAAGAGAAAGAGGAAAAGGGAAAGAGTAAACACCCGAAGGCACAGGGCACAGGGTTTAAAAAAAAAGGGTAAAGAAAAAAATTATTGAGAAAGTTTCACGAAGAGGCTCTCGGTACCCAACACCAAAGAGAGAGAGAAAAAAAAAAGAAGGTGGGGGATAGCGTCATCAGTGTTTTATCTATTTAGAGAGAATTATATATATTTTACTCTGTATACTCTGGTAGTTAGAATACAGAATGGATATGTGTATATTATATGTTTTTTTGTAAGTTGTAATGTAAAAAAATTGTTTACTTTACTTTTTTAAGCTCGGGACCCGCTGGAGGGGAAATCCTTGGTTTAATTCTTTAGGATCCATGGTTGGTCTTTACTCTTATCTTTATTTATTTTCTTTTTTTTTCCCTCCCTTTTTTCCATCTATTTCCTTCCCAATCCCGTGTTGGAATAGATTTTCGTTGATGTTGTATTCCTATTTCTCCCTAAAGTCCATCCCACCTAACGCCCAACCGGGTTTGCGGCCCAATGATCGCCTCCACCGTAAAGGGTCTTCCCTGTTGAAAAGGAACAGGTTCCTCTAAATTCGGTTGTTCGGTTCTCGGGTTTAGTTTATCCATTTCTCTGATCGTTCCATTTTCGAATTTCCTCATTTTCGTGGTCAATGCAGGACAAGTACAATGACAATGTATCCGGGACACGGGAAAAGTCGGTGGCCATCCTGCAACTTAGGCTGCAACACACTGAGATGCCTCTTCTTCGTACTCACTTATAGTATGTACAATATAGGCAGACCCTGTATGTATCGAAGGCAGATGTCTGTTTGTGTTGACACAGAATCGCCACTGTGGAGTAAAGTCAGGTTTACTTTACCATAGAAATCACAAATGTCAAACGACACTAGAAGTAGAAGAGGGACTGAGCACTGCATGGCATTCGTCCTCAGAGCCCCTCGTCCATGTGGCAGGATATCTTTGGCCGTTGTCTCTTCTCCGCCTGCATATTTCTCATTTGTGACTCACAATGGTGGAAAACCTGGGACAATATGCCATCTCGGTACTCTATACTTTGTACTCCATACAAGTTTCGAAGTATTCCATACACGAAACACTAAACTGTACTAGTGATGAACTAAATTGCCGGAACCTTCTCTCAGAACGCAGAACTGGCTAGATCGGTATGACTTGCAGCATAGTCTATCATTCTCATTGACTCCTTCATATCTTTTATATATCCCTTGCGTCCTTTGAGAGGCTCGCAGAGTTTTTCACTCCGCACGTGTAGGAATGATACCATGAGAACGAGGTATATAGCAATGACCACTTTAAGCTACACGTAGCGGGTAATATCTAAAACATCCTAAACCCTGCGTGTTCCGATCTAATTAAAATGCTATATTAGGCTGGAGTGGATATCTTCAGGGTAAGAGGCTGAAAAGTCGAGCGAAAAGGGCTCCGCTCCAAATATAACTAAGGATCTCCATGCGGCTCCAATATTGTTTTCTCACTTTCCTTTACCGTAACACCTTTAAACGATCACAGGTCTTTGCATCGGGCCCGGAAGTACGAGGAACATGCCGTGCGCACCGGGAAATATCTGAATTTGAATTGCATGGCAAGACAGCCAACAAGCTTTGCTCGCATGTCGAATTAGTGTGGTCATGTCAACGTCTGTCGCCAGTAATTCACCTTTGAGAACTAAAACAGATCAAGGGAGCCACCCCCTTGCTTCATTCTGCAAGATGGCATCAGCTCCTCGAGGTCGATATGTTCACCGCTCTTTTGTGATGACCGATAAATGATATTCTGGGGGTGAAGATGAGGGGAAACTAGTTCAACTCTATTCCTTTCTCGGTTTGAGAGGCTTCGGGGGTTTAAGCGGAAGATAGGCTGCGGAAACATAATAGAAGTTTCGTGTACATTGTACATCGGTATACATGACTTGCATGGTGATCGCATCCTGTTTTCCTTTGTATGGGACATTATTCGTCAGTTTTAGATAGCCTTTTCCACGGTCAGGGCTTGGCACGCAATAATGGATAATTAACATTGTCTGATGTCGTACGAAAGACAGTGTAACTTAAGTGTCCCCGTGGCTACGATTCAAAGCCATCTTACTAGGGTGCCACAGAACCCAAGTGTGAATTTAGGGACTGTGGCGCCTCTTCAAGGTATCGAGTAGGTGGCTGCCCTTCCGGATGAAGCTCCCCGAACCTTGCCCAGGAAGCAAATGTGGTTTCAAAACAAATACTTCTCTATTATGTTCACCTAGCCTAATTAATATTCACAAGGAGAAATATAAGCCCACGCTGCAGTCTGTACCGCTAGCCTAACCAACCCTAGAATTTACCGGAGACAACTCCAGCTCGGCCCCTAATTCTTGCGCAGATAGAGAGCAATCCAGCCAAGGATTCGATATCCCGCAATTATGCCCAAAAGAATTCCAACCCACTTCCCCGTTCTACCAGTGGAGTATCCATACGATTCTAGCACCCCAGTGCCCCGAATAAGACACTGATCTTCCAGGTCAGTAGACCACATGCACCGGCAATCGGCACCACACGAGTAATTTCGCTTAGAGAACTCATTGACCATCATGCCCTGGAAGACATAAGCCTATTCCAGTACCATCGCGTTAGTGATCATTCTAAGACAAAAAGATAAACCTCGGACCATAGTGGATCATACCTGGTAATCAATGTAGTGGAACACGTATTTCCAGAAGGGGTTGAGGATCGTCTGCGTGACCATGAACCCTCCGACACTCATCCAAAGCCCATTTGCAAATGCGACAAGCGCCAAGGCAATTACGAAGTTTGGGAATATCGATGTCACGAGAACTACTAAGGATTCCGCCGCCACAAGGTCAAGGAATATCCACATCACCCAGGTGAAGAAGGCCTCTGCGGTGGGTTGGAAATTGGAAAGCCAGTATGAGACAATAGAGAAGAGGAGAGATATCAAGACTGAACAGATTAGAAAGAGGGCATTGTGGCAGAAATGGTTGGATACATACACAGGTAGGGAAGGCCAATGAGAAAGTTTGAGATCATGAATGGCGTCACACCATATAGCCCATTGGCTCGTTCTTTGGTGAAAATTGCCCGATCTTCGAGGAACGCTGGGACGTATGCTACGGCCATGAAAGACATGAATGCGGAGCCAAAGAACTATATCCAATGTTAGTATCAATATCCCTTTCCTTTTAAGCACATGTGGAACTCACAATGGCGTTGATAAACGGCTGTATATACTCCTGCGATGGATGAAGACGTAGCCACACTGTGCCCATCATGATAGCCAATCCTGTGCCACGTTAGCTCCAGTAAGTTTTGAAAGGCGAATGATGGTTCGTACCAAGATACATAGCAATGCGGATTCCATAAGCGATGACATCGCGGTAAGACTTGACAAATGAGCGATGCAGTAGAGCTACAGTAATCGAACCGGTTCCCGCTCGAGCCGTTTCTTCCATGGAGTCTTTGTTGACAAGTTTCTCTGTCGAGCGTACACGCTCAGATACTTGCCTTGTTCCTGATTTTGCCTGAGTGGAATTTGCCCAGGCAGTCTGAATCGCCCTGAGTCTCTCCTCCGCCAAGTCCTTCGAGTTGTCAAAATCAGAACTCACAGTCTCCAAGAGAAATTCAGCAGGGTTAGTATTCGCGGGGATTGGATAGCCAATTTCACTGAAGTAATTCTCCACGGCTGAAATTGCCCCAAAATAGCATGTTTTTCCTGCTGAGAGAAGCAGCAGCTTATCAAAGAGCCGGAAAGTCGAGGTTGATGGTTGATGGATACTCGCAATGATGAGAAGCTATAATAAACAATGTTAATACTAGCGGGCGACATCTGACCCATCTGATATGAACGTACGTTATTGGCCTGTGCGAGCTGCTTTGCATACGACATCACCTCAAAACTGGCGGTCGAGTCTAGACCGCTTGTAGGCTCATCCAAGAATAAAATTCTTGGATTAGTGATGAGCTGGCTAGCCACACTCACACGTCGCTTCTGACCACCACTGATACCCTTCCGAATCGGCGTGCCGACCAACGTGTTTGCCTGGTTCTGAATACCAAATGCTTCCAAAAGTGTCCGGATCCGATCCATGCGCTGACGTTTCGAAACAGAGCTTATAGATAGAAATGGTAAGTATCGGATTGTATAGGTGATATTGGACGGTTGTTATTCCAACTTGGCATACCTGGGCAGCGAAAGATCCGCCGCGAACTTCAAAGTCTCCTGCACCGTCAATGACCCTATCAACACATCTTCCTGTTCGACGTACGAGGTCACCCGCTGGAAAGTCCGCGAGTCTACCTCTGCGTCATTCACGTAGGTCTCCCCGAGAACCTTCGCACCAGATGACGCTGCACGTCGAGCCAGCACGTTGAGGAGTGTGGTCTTGCCACAGCCTGATGGGCCCATTAGGGCAACGAGCTCCCCTGCATAACCGGTGTCAGTATGATAGTCATGATGTATAGTATAGGCAAGGACACAAACCATGCTGCACATCACCGCTAATATCATTAAGCAGATCGCGGGATCTCTTTGTTTCACGATCCTTGACGGTGACCGTTAAACCCTGCCAGGAGAAGTTCCGAACAGTCTCATTCATCAAGAAGTGTCCGCTGTCATTTTGCTCCAGGTCCAGGGTCTTGGATGCGTTCAAGGGTGGATGATCGCCCATGCTGCAAGATAATGTAAATAGTTACGGCAGATACGAGAGAATTAGAATCCAACCCAGGTCTAGGTTCGGGGGCTCAGGTTTTATAATTTCAAACACACCCATATTCTATGTACCTAGACCCACGGACTTACAAATCCCTGTCAAGGGTCGAGACAAACACATTGTTGTCCGAGGTGGTCCCCGGCTTAGGCTGAATATAGGGCTCAACCTTGGGACTCGAGCCCGAGCTGACATAAGATCTCAATGGTCCCCGATCCCCCGAGACCTAGAACCCTAGAGACGACATCTTCTGAAAAATGCCGATGGGCTTCAAAGAAAAATCTATGAACTTAGAAAGCATTCCCCGGATCTGAGTCAACGAAATAATGGCGCTTTTGCCATGTGTGCGTATGAGTTTGTCAACGCACGAGTTTCCAACAAACCCCGGGCTCGGGGATCCTCCACTTTTTTTACCCTAACAATGCGGCCTTTGAAAAAAGCAAAGAAAGAAAAACAAAGGATAAAAAGTGGAAATCTGAGAATGATTTGGTAAAAGAATAAGCATACAATGCCATTTTTATTCGTCCCGCTCTTGGCGCCCAATGCAACTAAATTAAAATCAAGGTATACCAGAGACACCAGTCTTTGAGAAATACTCAGGGAAAACACCACACAGAAAAGTGAGTAAAATCGAGCGAATAAGCCGGATTTACATACTAAAAATAATGCGTTAGTGGTTATTTGTTTAATAAATGCGGGGAAGACTAACCGCTCAACAGGGCTGAGACCAAGAACCCGCATGCCGTTGTTCAGAACTTGGCGGGCCGAGGCATACAGTGCCATACGCGCCTGCTTGACATCGGGCTCGCTACCGATCACCTTTAGCACATCGTAGCTAGAGCTCAACATGTGTGTCATGCGGAACAGATAGCTGAGGACAGTGATGGGCTCAAGAGTCTTGGCAGTTTGCAGGAGTACGTCGGGCCATTGGGCCAGCAGGCGGACCAAGTCGACAGCGTGCTGCTCGGTCAAAAGATCGAAGTTGGCGTTAACCAGCTCGTTAACATCCAACTCGGACTTGCGGGTCATCGAGCACAAACGAGCGTGAGCGTACTGCAGGTATGGGCCGGTGTCACCCTCGAAGGATGTCATGGCATCCAGGTTGAAGTCGTAGCCGTTAACACTGAAAACATACAATTAGTAAACCGATGGGCGAAAGGATACGGGTGGGAAAGAACTCGGTACATACCGCTTGCCAGTCATGTCTTGCACCATAACGGAGGTGATACCCAGAATATCGGCAGTCTTCTCAGGATCCTCGACCTGTGCATACTTGACTTCGTTCTTCTTCATGACCTCGTGCATCTTGTCACCAACATCACGCAGGATGTCATCCAAGAACTTGACGGTACCCTTACGAGTACTCATACCACGGACCATACCAAAGTTAATGTGCTGGCAACGGGAGGCCAGGTCCTTATGGCCCATAAGTTCAGTGACCTTGAAGAGCTGAGCCAGGTGCAGATCTTGCTGGGCGGCAACAACGTAGATCATCTTGTCAAAGTGGTACTCATTATCACGCTCAGTGATGGCACCGATATCGCGGGTCAGGTAGAGAGGGGTGCCGTCCTTGCGGACAATGATAGCCTTGCCCAGCTTCTTGGCACCGTGCTTAGTGAAATCCACAATGACAGCACCCTCGGACTTCTCGGAGACACCGGCCTCCTCCATAAGCTTGTAGGCATCGGTCATGCTCTCAGACTTGATTTGTGATTCGCCGGAGTAGACATCGAAGTCAATGTTGAGACGAGCGTAGGTCTGCTTGTACTTCTCAATACTAAGATCACGGAACTTGCGCCAGAGAGCAAGAGCCTCCGGATCACCGTCCTCCATGCTCTTGAAGTAGCGACGGGCCTTCTCGTCCTCGCTCACATCCACAAGCTTGGCAAGCTGTGCCTCGAGCTCAGCAACATCCTCGTTCTTCTCCTTCTTGGTCTTGATCTGTTCCTTCAGCTCCTTGATAGGTCCATCCTGCTCACTGACCTGACGGTTGACCTTGACGTAAACATCGAACAGGTGGTTGATAGGGTCCTTGATAAGAGCTTCCTCATTGCCGTAGTCCTTGAAGCCGTTGGCCAGCAGACCATACTGCTTACCCCAGTCACCGAGGTAGTTCATTTTGATGACGTTCCATCCCATAACAGTGTAGATATTGGCGAGGAAGCCACCGATGATGGTACTGCGCAGATGACCAGCGTGGAAGGGCTTGGCAATGTTGGGCGACGAGAACTCGATGATGATTTTCTTCTGGCCCTTGGAAGGGTCGGACGGGTCCTTTTGACCCTGGTTGCCATTTGTTCCATAGGCAGCCTTCTCCTTCAGGATACGGCCAAGAACATTGTTGGACAATGGCTGACGTTTGCAGAAGAATTGAATATGAGGACCAAGCTGAGTTGGGGGGTGAATAAGGTCGGAGGCGGGGAACTTGGAGACAAGATCCTTGGCAAGCTCCACGGGGTTTTGCTTAATTTGAAGCGAAGCCACCTAAGTGTATGAAATAAGACATTGTTAGTCCAAGGCCTCATTATCACGCGGAACATGCGAATTGCGCTTGGCATGTGCCGCCACCTACCGGCAATGAAAGGTCACCCTTGTCCAAAGTACTGGTCCAGGCAATGCGTGGGTAGATCTTCTGAGCATCAATACCGGAGGCTTTGCTCAACTCCTCCGCGATGTGCTGGCGGTAAATATCCATCGGGTTCAGTGTCGGGAAGCATCCTGGGAACTGAGATGTCTGCGCGGTGGATTGGAGCGAGAGAGCCTCAACAGAGGCGGGAAGAGAAGCTGTGGACATGATTGAGAATCTTCGTGTACCGAATGCGCGCAGCAAAGTCGGAAAAGTCGAAGGTTTAGAGGGGCAACGTAACGGAGAAAAAATGGCTGTGAACCGCCGAGCCCCGCTTAGACAATGACCCATAAAGAGGGGGGGAAATCTCTCGGGGATCTTTTTTTTTTTTTTTCTTTTTCTTTTTTTCCTTCTTTCTTTCCTTTTGACTCAGAATCGAACAGGGCGGTGAATCACGTGGTAGGTAGAAATTCCAACCCAAAGGCGATAAATCACGTGGCTATCTATCTTATCCTTATCTTGGTTATCCACCCTCCAGGGGCCATCATCCATCCACTGGAAGCGTCACGTGTTCATCCAGCCCTGAGACCTTATGGACTTCATAAGCCCATACATACTACAAAACTCATGTTGTCACCGTAGTTCCCTGATCGAATCTTAAGCGTGGGATATCGCAAAGGCTACTGATACTTTTGTTAAGCTCCATACCGCTTCCCTTTCGTTCCTCAAATGTAGTTATACTCCAATGCGCCGGGGCCTTTAGGCGGCGGGGTGCTTCAGACAGGAGGTGGCCAGATATTATGGGGTATGATAGAATTGCAAACGAACAATGAACGCTGAAAATAATGTCAACGCTTTGTCTCTTGATTCATATTCATCAAAGACTTGACAATGGGATTGGAGCATAATGCCTTTGTTCTCGTCGAAGCACTCAAGATAATATGTCATAGGGAACTTTCTTTTATAGCCGGCCAGTGCCAGGTATTTATTAAGCTTGAATCCCAATCACCCAGTTTGGCCAAAAAAAAGCAACATTATCTCGCAACTAAATAACCCGACAGCATCAGTCTCCGCATGTGTCGCCGTCTGGAAAACATCGGCCCTTTAGCTTTGAAACTCACGAAATTTGGGGGCTAATCGACATGTCATATTATATCACCATACACCATGGCTCAGGTGTGGATGAGAGACCTGAGAACCTATGGGTCAACATAGCCTTTACTGTCAAGGACTATTTTTACCTTCGCACTGACGGGGCGCTGATTTGCTTTATTTTGGAACGTATTCGAGAGAAGAAATTTAAACTAACTTCTGAACCGTGGGATCGACAACGTCGGTGGTGTATCTCGTTACCAGTCTCCACGATGCATGAAACCAAAGATGGAGCTGCTGAGGACGCTTTACATCTAGCGGAGTGGTACAGGGTCCAGATTCTCAATGGGAATGCAACTATCAACCGCGAGTTGCTGTTTGATCGGAAGCCCTTCTATGAAGGTAAGGAATGCTGTAGAGGTAATGTGTGCGATCTTATACTGCATCCAGAGTGGTGGGCCCCAGCCTCAGACCCTTAGTCGGTTAGTTGGTTGATTTGAATTAAGACACAATTTTCACATCCTTGAGTTCTGAGTTATAATATGACTAGTGTGCTTTCAATGTTTCGGAGCTTTAGAATCTCATTAGATAAAATAACCAACGCGTTCTCTAATATATTAATTGTAGCTGGCATCCCGTTAGTAGCTAGATTAGACAATTAGCGTTCAGAGGACACAGGCCGACCTTGGGAGACTACCTTGGTGGGTATGTACTCACGACAAGGGCAGTGTATAACAGACAAGTTCAGTGGGATCGCGTAGATCCATGGAATTGGAACGGATGTAGCCACAATTAGTGGTTGCAATTCAAACATAGAAAGAGCGACTGGAGTGCTATGTCACCGAATTCGATTCAACCTTCAAAGGTTCAACACTAAGTTTTATCATTGAACCTTGGAAATCCAGACCCCTTCGTCGTTCCTTCCGCGTATAAAGCGTGAGGTAATTGGAATCCTCGATTCGGAAGGCACTAGGTCCCCATCTCTGAGTATAAACCCCCCCTTCTTCCTCGTTCCCCTTCTCATTCTCATTCATATCCATATTCTCACAATCGCTCGGTCCCACGTCAGTGTACAGATTACCGGATTACCGATATCGTCTTTCTTGCAGCCATACTTCAATTCATTTGGCCTTGAATTGGAGTCAACAACAATGTCCAAAGCGTCGGGTATACACATACGACGAAGATCAGAGTGGGTAATAGGTAAATAGAATTACATGTATACAGTTAGTAACGTTGATTAAGAGTATCCATGGATGGTATTGATACCACAATCTAGGTGGATATTCTAGAAATTTAAGTCCCAAAGGACACCATGTAACCCCCTTTAGGCCGAGGTTGATTGACACATCTAACCAAACACCAAGCAAAGACTATGCATCAAAACAAAAATGCTTCGCGGTCAGGTCCAGCTAATATTCTAATAGCCAATTCACATATATAAATGGCATGGGAAAGCTTGAAAACAGGAACTTTTTGTTCGCAACGAATCCCTTAGAAGCAGAAGACCTGGTCCTCCAGCTTGCTGACGGGGCGCGCCTTGGTGTATCCAAGAGCCTCGGTGGACTTCTTCATGGCGCTGACCATGGGAGGAGGGCCGCAGAGGAAAATCTTAACATCCGCAGCGGGGGCGGGAAGGCGCTCCTATAAGGGATTTAATTAATACCGATGTAGCATAGCCGAGCACAGCACTGAAACTTACCTTGATCATATCGGGAGTCACGAAGCCGACACCACCAGTCCAGCCCTCGGGTGGGTTGTTGAGAACGTAGTAGACGCGGAATCCATCGTCCTCCTTCTCCAGCGCCTCGAGCTGGTCCTTGAGCAAGATGTCTTCGGGGTTGACGTTGGCGAAGATCAGGTCAACTTTGGTGGTGTCGTTTCCACCGTTGCGAGGACGGTTGCGGATGATAGCCTTAATAACCTGCAGCATGGGGGTGATACCAGTGCCGCCGGAGATCATACCAATGTGACGGCACATATTGGGGGTGTACACCATGGCGCCCTTGGGACCGCGGACTTTCATGTTGTCGCCGATCTTAAGCTCGGTAAGGTACTTGGAGATATTGCCCTGGGGATAGGCTTTGACGAGCAGATCGAAGTAGCCGGCCTCATTGTCGGAGGAGATAGGGGTGTAAGAGCGAACAACCTCCTTAGGCTGACCGGCGATAGTAGCAGCGAGAGAGATGTGCTGGCCGATGGGAAGGCCGAGGATATCGGTGGGGCGGGGGAGGGCAAAACGGTAGATGGCGACATTGTGGGAGATTTCCTTCTTCTCCTTGAGGACGAAGTCCTGGAACTCCGTGGGGTTCAAGACCTTGCGAGGCTGTGCGTTTACTGGGGTCAGGTCAGTTAATCAGCTCCACTCTGAGATATAAAAGATGCACGCACGGTTGCTGAAAACCAAGTAACCAGCCAGCATTCCAGCGAGGGCGATTGCATAGGCGATCAACTCGGGCTTCAAGACGTAAGCACCCGCGATGAGTACGGCCGAGGGCGCGAGGGCCATGCCGATGGTGGCGACACTTGGGAGAAATCAGCCATTGTTCGATATAGTAGGGACTAAAGAGGTGAAGAACATTAACTCACCTCATTATAACAGAACTCGGATATTGTAGTTTTAAAAAAATGAGCGATAAAAGGAGAAGAGAGAAGAAGACAGAGATAAAAAGAAATGAGGGGACCCGTTGACTCCGCCCAACGGAATTTCCAACCTTTTGGGGTTACGATTTCCCCGACTTTCTGTTGACTTGTTTACTTCCACTAGGACTTTGGCGGATTTACATTGCTTTTATTTCATTTACAAAATTCTCAAAATGACCGTTGTACCGGAAGTCCCTGCCTTTAATCTAACGGAATTGGACCACAAGCTCCTAGCCATGACCGATGAGGAGTTTGTATACCATGACTGGGAAGACTTGAGAAGCATCATCGGTAAGTGTTCCCATCTCTCCAAATCTTCTCGGGAAACATTTCCTCTCATGCCACATACGGTAATAGCGCGAAATGATCTCGGCGCACTTAAGCGGAAGCCTTCCGATCTGCGCCGATACCTGGCCTGGACACAAGAGACCAAAGCCCAGTATGGCACGATCATGAACTATATTTGCCAGCAGCGATTAAAGTGGAATTTACCGCTAGACACTGCCAGCGGAACCAAGCCGACCTTCAAGAATGCACGTCCCTTTGCGGATCCCGATGACTACAAGATCCTTCGCAATGACTGGCCATATGGGGTCACCCCCGGAATCTCACATCTCGTCGTGTGGTTGCGCACTCCCATCCCTGTACAATCTATTGAGGGCCATTTGACCGATGAATCCCGTGCAATGATCAACTCTTTTGTTCGAAAGACTTTCGTCGAGCGTTTGGCTAAGGATCCTCAAACTTTCTCGGATCCTGATTCCCATGTGCTGTGGTTTAAGAATTGGGTTGGTCTACAGAGCGTGAGGGCATTGGAGCATGTCCATATTTTGGTCCGTGATGTTCCCGAAGATATCTTATTCGAATGGGCAAACGAGTGAGGCTTAGAGGGGATTGTTGATGACTTTTTTGCGTACCGTACCAGTATCATAACCAACGCCATAAATAATAGACGATAGGAGAGGAGGTCACATCTATTCTTGAGGTTCTACATAGTAGATATGCATCGGAGATAAAAATTGACTTAGATAGTCTAGATTGAGACTAAGTGACCATATAGATTCATATATACATTTATAGTTTATACAGAAGTCCTTCCAAGTGGTTCAGTGCTACATACAGGAAAATGATAAAAAAACTACGTACCAATCCAGACCGTTATAGAGGATATAGAGGTAATCATAACGATAGTGACATTCTACATACTTCGTCAATCATATCTTGGGCTATTAATTGATTAAATGCAGTGAACGGTATCGTTCGCGGAGCCGACACTATACAACTATTCAGTCTTGGGTCTATTTGCAGTAGTCCTCGAGCTCCACATAACACAGTAAATTAATAAACATCTGTGCCGCGGGGTATCAGCGAATAGCTTTCTTCCAGGTAGGCCCCGTCCCCCATATACGGCCATAGGTAAACCCCTCCCAGGGAGCACTTCATTCACCCTGGACACGGCGGCTCTGGGTCTTCCTCCAATTCCTCAACGACTTTAACATAATGACGCCGGCTATCCTTTAATGTTTGTGGCCGGCCCCCTGGAAGTGGGGCGTTTTGTGTCTGAAAATTCTCTTCGTCAATCCCAATAAACATGCGGTAACTAGGAAAGCGATCGAGCATATTTTGCTCAGTTGCCCAAGCTTTAAAATGAGTGCGGACCTGATCTATCGATACTTCATCGAACTGGGAAGCACCTTCAACGACGCGTGGCTTGTACTTGACCCAGATTTCATCCCAGGGAGTTCTAGTGAACCCATCTGGCCTGGGGTGGCGGAGGGAGGATTCGTATTCTGCATAAAATCCATTCTTCATGTACGCCGTGGCAAGGTCGACCATACGCGGGAAAACGGCATCAGATTGCGGAGTGTAGGTTGTCCGGTAGATTGTGTAGCCCCATGTTGGTTTGTAAAATGATAAAGGTCAGACGAGTGGTTTGGAAGCTAGGGGTATGGCGTCTTCTGTAATCGAAGTGATCAGATTCGCGACATGATGGGTGTTGATGCGATCTTGCGGTGGTTGGGAGGCAGGGAGTAGGTACTGGATTTATATTATTCCAAGTTTCAGTACGTCCCCTGTACGAAAAATTGCCCACTGGATTAGGAATACAGATCATAGAACGCGGGTAAGAAGGGAGAAAGAGAAGCTGATTAACTGGGCAAAAATATGGTACACGAGCGATAAAATGCAATTGAAAATGGAATATGCATCTTGATATATGTCGGTAGAATATATATGTTAAAGGAATGTGGTTTTAGATGATAAACCATCTGTTTTTATAGGTATGGTTGTTTCGTAAGGAGAGGCCGCCGTTATAAACTAATTCGTTTTGGCCTTTATAAAGAGGGTGACATGACTAGCGTTACTCCGTACTGTTTACATCTTTTCACAGCATCGAGAGGAAAAAGGTTGAAAATGAGCGTTCTCTAAAAATCAACGGTGATAGCACATAGACCACTTCTACCATGAAGGTCGTGGTTCGTGGTCACCTTGAGGTCTTGCTCCATACTCGATCTTTACCTGATCCGTGCGATGAATTTTGCCGACCAGATGGCCCTCTTTCTGGAGCTGATCCGAGTTCAAGATGCTTTGCTGGCTACCGCTCCTCGTAGTCCCAATATTCGTGGTCATAAGGATATCATCGTCCTCGCGAGTGCGGTTTGATTTTTTCGTGGGTCTATCCGTGTAAGAGCGCATCTTGCCGCTGTCATATCGCCCGTGAGAACTCCAGGAACGTTTTCCTCGCATCATTTCGTACATCGGACCCAAGGTTGGGATGCAGGATGCCATTATGATAATATTCGACTCGACGCTGGTAGAAGAGGTGAAATGTAAGTCTTTGTATAACAGTGTTTAAGGAGTGACAGAAAACATACCTCGTCCAGATAACAAGATCTGCTGTTGCATCTGTTTATGGTGTGTCAGCTATAGATTTCTCGCTTTATGCAAACGACTTACATGTCGAGTCTTCCGTATTATATAAACCTGGGAGTTGTAGACACTTGACAATAGCCATCGCACATGCTCTATGTGGACGATCAGCTACTTGTCCCAGACGATAATATAAACCAACTTACACGGAACCCAACCCCAAAGCCGCGCATAGGGCCATTTTTTTCTTAATCGACATCTGAAGTCGTAGCAATATCACAGTCGGATAAATTGCAAGATATAGATCGACTATCGCGGATAGAACTGACCAAGGTTTAGTTGTTTGTTTGCAAAATACATGCCCGTCAACGTACCTCCAGTAAAGATCGCATAGCCCACCAGGATCTCTGTCGAACGGCATGTTGCTCCTTCAGCCATGAGATGAATCTTCCATAAAGCCTGGGGAGGATCACACATAGTGAAAAGAACGATGATGCAGATAGTTGATGCCACGAACACTGACCCTGTCAATACCCACAGCCATATTCGTTGAAGCCGGCTGGGGTTCATTATCCGATTCAGGAGAGCAGCGATTGCAAGTTTCGGAGTTGTGAAAGACATGATTCCTAGCGTGAAGTTTGCATAATTAACGACTAGAACGTGTTCGACCAAGTCCATGCCGCCTTTTGCCATCAACGTAGGGGTATGGCTTCCGTAGCCCAGAAGGACATTCACCGTGGTGAGAATTGTATAAGCGGTAACCATGACCTATAAAATTAGCATTAGGTGTAAATTAAGCTCAATTGAAAGATACATACCATTGCTGCCACAATAATATAGTCATCAAGCCCAATGTTCCTTAACATCCGGGCTCGAATATAAAGTCGCGCAGATACCATTACCACGCTTACACTGAAGAAGGCCCAGAAAACGCCTAGAATGCGCGGACCCTTTGTCTGGTTCATGTATTCAGCGTTCATGGCTGCCATGCCGAGAGCAGTGGCTGCTCTGTTGATGATAGGAGAGTTACCACAATATCCTTTATTTATTTTAGAAGAGGGCTAGAAATTACCGAATAGACGGGAAACCGCTATCAAAGCTAAGAAATAATAGATTAATCAAAACATCCTATGTATTACTTTGTTCCGCTGCCAAGAACCCTGAAGTTCGCATGTGGCTTGCAAGACAAGTAGATTTGACTTTTGGCCCCCGGCCATATCCTTGGCGTTTTTCTATAAGCGAGGTTGTATATACAACATCCTTCATATTTTTATATTATATTGTTATAGATCTACATATAAACTATTGTTTCTGCTATAACTCTTGTAGATAATCCTTGCGCATCATTTTTTCCTTCGATTTACTGTCAAATTTCTAACCAATAAGTAGACCCTTAGTGGAGACGGGATCACTATGTGGAGCTCTCAATGCCGTAGGATTCCCTCGGTTAGGATAATGGTTCTACATTTAATAATTTGCGGAGTATGGAATAGAAAAGAGCCAATTAACTAACAAACTACCATACTAGCCGGCTTCATGTGGGTTAAAATATAGTGCTCCTGTCAGGGGTTCGGCTATTCTTTACATGTGCATGTTAGCTATGTACTAGAATTTAGTGTACATATGTAGCAGATTTTGTGATTACGGGGCTTTTTTTTAATCCCACCTGTTCTTCTCATACATATGCATTGCAGTCATAGTCGATCATGACGTACACTAACGGAAATTCGAATGGCTCAGTCAAAGACGTGGCGGATGTAGAACGTCTTGCTCTCTCCTCTAATTTGCCAGATACGGTACCTGATCTCCTTGAAACGGTTGCGAGACACGGCAACGACCTTCTCGCGCAGGATCCTGGAGCACGGGCCAAACTCCTAGAAGCTGCTCGGTCATTGACCTATGCATTGGAAACACCCCGAGAGGCAATTATTCGACACTGCTGGTCCGAGGTGTGTTGCCTACTGTCCCATGTTTTTTTTTTGAAGCGAGTGGAAAGCATTTAGACTGACATGTATTGAATTTGTTTAGTCTACGAGTTATGCAGCCCTAGAGACTGCGGTTGATATAAACCTCTTCTCTGCTCTCGGCACAGATGACAAACCTAAGACTGTCGCTGAGCTTGCTAAGGCAACCAGCGTGGATCCAATCTTGCTCGGTTAGTGGCTTGTTTATGCAACCAAGACGAATACCTGACAAATTCATATAGGGCGATTGATGAAGCACCTCGCTGCAATGGGAACAATAACCGAGACTGGCTACAATGAATACTGCCCTACTGGGTTCTCAAAGGTCCTCACGATTGAGAGATATAGCGGGGCATTCCCGCTCATGTACGCTTATAATCAAAACTCCATGCCCCGAACAACAACTGACAATTTCAGGACCCGCCGTTTCACCAAAGGCATTATGGCCCTACCAGCCTTCCTCAAGAAAAACAAATACCAAAACCCCACAAGTCCCACAGATACAGCTTTCCAGATGGGCTATGAAACAAACATGGGTTTCTTCGGACATGTGCAACAGGAGCCGATCACAGCAAAGCAGTTTAATGACCACATGTCAGTCTACGCTCAAGGCCGAGTCCGCTGGATGGATCCCGGCTTCTACCCAGTCCAAGAGCAACTTGTAGATGGGGTTACAATCGGCCAGGACGATGTTCTGCTTGTTGATGTCGGGGGTAGCTTTGGCCATGATCTGTCTGATTTCCGTCGGAAATGGCCTGGCGCCCCCGGCCGTCTGGTGCTGCAGGATCTTCCTGAGGTAGTGGCTTCCGTGAAGGATTTGCACCCCTCTATTGAAGTTACTAGTCATGATTTCTTTACTGAGCAACCAGTCAAAGGTATGGAAGCCGAAGACTGTGCCCTATCCTTGCACATTGCAATAAATGGCTGGAATTTACTAACTTTATATCATCATAGGAGCCCGCGCATACTATATGCACTCTGTTCTCCATGACTGGCCCGATGAGCTCTGCCGCAAGATTCTCGCTAACACTGTGGCGGCCATGCGTCCCGGCTATAGTAAGTTACTGGTGAATGAGAATGTGATTCCGGACACGGGGGCCTACTGGGAAACTACGAGTTTGGACCTGATTATGATGGAGATCGGATCTGGCGAGCGCACAGAGCGCCAATGGCATGCGTTGCTCGAGTCTGCTGGACTGAAGATTGTCAAGATCTGGACCGCTCAAAGGGGCGTCGAGAGTTTGATTGAGTGTGAGCTAGCTTGAGCTGTGAAGACATAATGTATAAGTTTCCCAAGCAAATCAGTCTATAGTTGTTGGCAAAGAACGGCCTGTCAAATATATACCATGGCACTTTATAACAATTTTGTGCAGGTAAATAAACATCTGGTACAATTCATTGAGATGGAAAGAACTACGTCTCAAGAATTGGAATGAAAATAGAATAATAATAAAAAAAAGAATTCGGTATTCGAGTACGCCAGCCAGCTAGTCCATCGAAGCAAATGTTGATTACAATATACAAAGAGCACACCTGGGCAATACGACGATTACGTCTTCTGTTCCTCCACAAATTTCAGAGCCTCCTCACGCGAGACAACATCAATAGTACTGGCCTTTTGCCTGAAGCTCACACCATAGCACTTCTCCGCCACATGGAGCATTTCAGGGCGGAAGGTAGTGCAGATGAACTGCCCGTTGGTCGAATCCGAAATAGATTTGAGCATCTGTGCAACGGCTGTACGGTACTGAGCATCCAGGTTGGCATCGATTTCATCAAATAAATAGAATGGGGCGGGGTCGCAAGCCTGGATGGCGAAAACGAGTGCGAGAGCGCAAAGACCTATGAAAAGTTAATTAGCAAGTGTAAAATAAAAAATAGATTCGGACTGGAAAAGCTCACTCTTTTGACCACCACTCAGCTGCTGAATACGCTGTTGATCGTCGTGCTTGCTATTGAAGCTCACACTGATGCCGACTCCGACGTAGTTTTCGACACTCTGCCGAGCTTCCTCGTCATCTGAGTCAACGTCGTCATCAAGTCGTGTAGCACGGTCTGTCTTCCGTTGGATGATAAGGCGACCGCGACCGGCGGGAACAAGCTTCTCGAACACGTTGTGGAACTCTCGTGAGACCTGCTTGAAGGTTCGTTCAATAGCCTCATCCTTGCGCTGATCAAGAACAGAAATGAGGTCATCAATGGACTTTTGAGATGCATCCAGCTCGGAGCGACGTGTGGTAAGAGTCTCGCGCTGCTTGGTAAAACTGTTATACTGTTCAAACGCCTTCTTGTTGACGTGCGAATATTTCTTAAGAGCCTCGTTGGTCTTGTGGAGTTTCTTGACAACAGTGTTAGAGTCGGTGTTTTGGTACTTGGTGAAAGCTTCGTCAGGAAGAACACCGAGGGAACGGATGTTAGCCGCACACTCGGCAGCCTGCTTAGTGAGTGCTGCTTTCTTTTGCATGCTCTTCTCCATACGGCGCTGATGCTTCTCGATAGATCGAGCGAGCTCTTCAATTTCTCGCCGGGTCTCCGCATTACGCTGTTGCAGATCCATCACGCGAGTATTGCCTTCCTCAATTGAGGTGTCAACCTCCTTCAGTCGTGCATTGAGCTTCTCCAATGCCTGAGCAATGCGCTTCACTTCACGTTGTGTCTCCTTCAGGTTACCCTGAACTTCCTCGTCAGCGATATCAATATCTCTGTTGAGTAATTGGTCAAGGCGAGGGTTGAGGTTCTCTCGAAGCTCAACTTCTAGCACCGACTTCCGGGCCTCTAGCTCGCTGCGCTGACCCGAAAGCTCTTGATATTGACGGCGCAGATCTTGTACGGTACTGCTTAGAGTTTCTAGTCGAGCTTCCTCTTCGCTAGTAAGAGCTTTCTGGAAAGGCGAGGACAGCTCGGTCTGGAATGCATTGACCTGGTCGTTTAGTGCCGCAAGGTTAGACTCAACATTTCGAAGAGCGCGTCGCTTGGCATCAAGAGTATCTTTCTTGTTTTGTAGGAGATCACGCTTGGCCCTCAACTCGTGTCGTAATGGTCCACTGCTGTTCTGGACTTGATGTCTCTGTTGCTCAAGCTTTTGCAGTTCACCAACAGCCTTGGTGATCATCTGGTCGAGTTTCTCCAACTCTTTCCGGATTTCCGTACCGCGATTTCTCTTGATCTCATACTCATCTCGCCACTTCGCTAGACCCTTGACAGCGTCCAGTCGCGACTGGCGGGAGTCGTGGTATCCACCAGTCAAGGCACCACGCTTGTCAGAGCGATCACCCTCTGGTGTGATAGCATTAACACCATGGCTTCGTGCGTACTGTGACGCAACCTGCAGGTTGGGGCAAATGATAGTCTTGCCAAACACGTGCTGGAAGGCTCTTTCATATGCCGGGTCATACTGCAATTTGTCGATCATGGGTATTGTGTCACTAGCACGAGGCATGTTCATAGGCCTAGAGCGAAGTCTGTTCAAAGGCATAAATGTTACACGACCAGCCTTTTCCTTTTGTAGAATCTCGAGAACTGTTGTGGCAGTTTCATCAGTGTCCACAACGTAGTGGAATAAACTCTGGCCGGCAGTGACTTCGACTGCGGTTCGATATCTATCATTGACATCGAAAAGCTCGGCAAGAGTACCGTAGACTCCCTCAAGATTATGCTGGCGTTTGATTCGGCGCACTGCGGCCGTTCCGCGACTAGTGTTATTATCCATCATTTGCGAGAGATTGCGCTCGGCACGGTCCACCTCCTGGGATGCATTGGAAAGCACGGAGTCAAGTTTTGCTTCTTCTCTCCAGAGTTCCCTGTGGAACCATTAATATCTGGTTTTAGCTAATTAGTGATTCAAGGAAACTTACTTTCTTTGGTCCATAAGACGATCTCTTTCATCCTTGGCATCTTGAACTTGTTGATCCACGGAATGCATTGTGTCGCCGCGTCCATCGATTTGTTGGCGCAAGCGTTCAGTTTCCGGCTCCAAAGCGGCAATCTCGCCTTCAAGCTCTTGGATATCTTCTTGCGTCTGAGAGATCACACCCTGGACAGTGCTGATAGAATTATGGCTCTCGCGAACTTCCATGTTCAGCCACTTGTCGCGCTCAGATTTGTTCTTGAATCGCGAGTTTCTGCCCTGCTTCGCATACAGACGCTGGCGCGAGGTCTCAGCATCTGTCAACTGTGACTTGACCATATCTTCCTGATCCTTCAACGCATTAAACCGAGGGAGAATTTCCTGATGTTCGATTTCACGCTCGCGGATTGCGGCCTGAACAGAGTTAAGATCAGAGTCATAGCGTGATTTCAGCGCCTGTGCAGCAGCCTGGTTATCGGAAAGAGACTTGGCTTGCAGTTCAGTTTGAGCCAGAGTCTTGGATGCTTCACGTCGTTCGTCCTCCAGTTGAGCCTTGTCAACCTTCAGGAACTCAATCTGTTGTCGGCAATCAGCGATCTCAGCATCGATTTGAGCCATAGCCTTCTCGCCTTCGACGAATTGGTCGCGGTTGTTGTCGGCATCCTCAACTCCGTTCTGTCGTCGCTCTTCGATTTCATTGAGGACCTTACCAATCTCCTGTTGTTCGAGGGAGTAGATAGTGTACTCTAGGCAGCGGCGCTCCTTGTCTTTCTCCTGATAGCTCCGAAGCTCATCCTTTTCTTCTTCCAGTTCGGCAAGGCGTTCATTAATGTAGTCGAGGAGTTCGTCGATCTTGGCGCGCTTGCTGTTGGTCTCATTCATAATCTTCAGAGACTCCGAACGACGAGCTTCGTAGACCTGAGTACCGGCGACCTCCTTAAGCAGAACTAAGCGCTCAGAGTCTTTCATGTTGGTCAACGCAGTCACTCTGCCTTGGGGAACAATGTAGTAAGGGTTTGACCGAGAGAAACCAGCCGACTCGAGAAGGTTCATAACATCGTTCTTGGTGGCATTCTTGCGGTCGAGAGTGTATTCGTCCTTCTTGATACCGATAGTACGACGTAGGACAACCTCGGGCTTGCCGGTAGGGAATCGATCGTCGGAGTTGTCGAAGATAATCTCGACGTAGGCAGACATCACAGCCGAACCGGAACCTTCCTGCTTGGGGTCAACTTATGTAAATTTGAGTAATACCAGGATACATACGTGTAAAAGGGCTTGGCGTTCCTCTCTGCCGAGATGAGTGTAGGCATCGCTCAGGACGAAGCGAATGGCCGCGAAGAAGTTACTCTTCCCAGAACCATTGCGGCCGACAATGACGTTGTGTTTGGGGGAGAATGGCTCGATGACCGTTTGATCTTTGTAGCTGGATTTCATGCGAAGTCAGCAAAAAACCCATAAAAATAAATATTGCGTTTGGGGTGGAAGATACCTCTTAAAGCCTTGGATGATGATCTGCTTGACATACATCTTGACAAGAAACGCGCGACGCGAGCTTCAATCAGAACACCCTCGGCATAACGCGCTTGGCGCAAGAGTAAAATTAAAGGTAGAATATGCCACAATAAGCACAACCAGCAGATCTTTCCAGCAATGAACAAACAAAGGCGGAGTGGTATGGTGATTGTGTTGCAAAACCTTGGAGATTGACTACGCGAGGAACGAAATTAGCGCGTCTCGTTGGGCGCGGGGTTCTGCCGGGCGGTGGCCCTAATTTGGGCCACAGAAAAAAAAAAAAACCTTGGGGACGGACGGACATATTCAAATCTCTACATTCTCAACATTGAAGATCCAGAATGGCTTCAATTGAGAAAACCCCCCAGGCAACTGGTATTGCTGATGGCCTCGCGCCGTCGCATACCTACGTGCCTAACGAAGGCTACGTGAACCCTGATACTGCAGACTCCGCCGAGGCGGGGCAAGATTTGCCCGATGAGCAGGAGGAAGAGTATGAGGAAGATGATTACTACGATGACATTTTCGACGACGAATTGGACCGTGAAGATATTCTCTCTTCCGATAACTCCGATCTTACGAAAGCATACAATCGCCAACGCAGAATCAACGACCTCGCTAGCGACTCCAATGTACCGAGATGGACATACCCCAAGACGAACACACAAAAGCCTACCGTAAACACCTCTGCGTCTGTCGATGACCAGGTCAAGTCTCTTACTCGCCACGCCGCAAAGATCAAACTGGACGACCAACAGGCTGGTATTTCGGGCCACAGCAACAAGCATGGAGACAAGGCAGACCGAGCCACATCGGAACAAGTGTTGGATCCCCGTACGAGGATGCTTCTGCTGCAGATGATCAACCGAGGTCTTGTCTCGGAAATTCATGGATGTTTGTCGA